GGATTCCATGGATATGTTTTCTGCCACAAATCACAAGGTGTAAAAAGACACAGTACCACAACCTCATGCCAGAGGTTTTATGAGCCAAACCTTTTTGATCAATTTAATTTAGGAATAAGAATATACGCTGCAACTTCCGCCTACCAAAACGATATCATTTGGGATAAACTCATTGTCATTCCGGAGGAGCATTCTCTCGGACACCTTGCCTGATACGATAAAGAATGTGGAAAACGTAGCCAAATTTAAAAAATAAGAAAGGCATACATGCCTGGTATGGAGACAAATGTAGCTGTAAAATATGAAAATAGGTAGATTAACATTGTACTTTTTTCACATGTATATAAATAGTTGGTATTAATTAGTTTTGCATAATTATCTATGTATATTAACTATTGCTCAAACCAACTGTAAATAAAAGAGGTTATTATTGTTCTTGTTATTATTTTATATTATTATTATTATTATTATTATTTTTATTATTATCATTATCATTATCAAAGGCAGGCAATATTGAGCGTGCTCACTACCTATTTAACCCTTCAGTGCCTATTTAAATTTTCTGCCATAGAAAAGCTTTTGTCACAAAACACGAAGACGCAATACACCACAACCTCATGCCAGACATTTTATGAGTCAGAGCATGCTCAGCACCAATTGAAACCTTTCTAAGGTCGCAAAGGCAAATATGGTTTTCTGCAGTGGATGAGCTTGTGCTTCAAAATGCCATGTCACGCAAGACACAAAGGTCCACAGCCTTATACCAGGCGTTTTATGATCCAGACGTTTATGATCAAGACAAGCAATGTTGAGTGTGCTTAGTAGCCAGTAGAACCTTCTTTGTCCCGCACAGACAAACATAATTTTTGGCTTGTGCATTAGGTAACCCAGTCATTGGCAAAAGTGGGCTAGGCAATCCTTTTTATGAGCACCAGTGGCCAGTGCCTACCGCAAGTTACAGCTAAACCTGGATAAATAAACGAGCTCATTGAATGACCCATTCCTAGAATTGAAATTTTGGTTTGGCTTAACTTTGTCCAACATAACCAGGGTCAAGACCTGTTCCCATTTCCATAATTGACTTTGATGTCTCTTTAAGTAACTCCATTCATTAGATCTGGACATCTTACCGCGTTCTTATGGCTGTGAAGTGAATTCACTTTATGCAATAGTTCACAGACTGTTGCAATAAATCTGTTGCAATCATTTAAAGTTTCTAAGCGATGAGGATCCCAAAATGGTCTACTTACATAGGTTTTTCGTTATTTCTAAGGCCCGTTCTTGTGGCTCTTGAAATTATTCCAATGTCTGTCTGTTATAAAGGTAATGTGGCTTAAGTTTTGAAATTCCGAAAGCGTTTAAAAATTGAACACGTCGACCTTTGTATCGAATAAAAAATGCGTGTGTGTTAAATGCATAAATTGGACCTTTCTTTACTTCGATCTAGTCAGTTTTCTATGCAAACTTCCAGTTAAGCAGTATGCTAGCATTCATCCATCGCATCTTGGAATCAGATTTTGTAAATTACGTGGAGCGTATTCAGTTTTTATTGACATATTATTGAGCATGGACTTGGGTGGCTTCAAACGATATTACAGTGGACGTCATTCGGCGAAGTGACATCTAGACGAGTTTCAACCTTTTCCCCGTTTTAACTTTCAGTATTCTATTGGAATAGAAAGAACTGAGGCATAGGTAGGAATATCAAAGCGGAGGTCGACAGCTTACTACAGCAGACTTTTGAGGACCTTTATGGTTTAGGGCAGCAGATGGGCGTAGCTAACCGGGGGATGTAGGGGGTGTAACACCCCCAAAATTTAGTTTGTCTGCAAAATCCTTAGTTTGTCTGTTAGATCATCTATCAGTAGGTGAAATAGTACCTAAACTCTTCTCGATTTTTGTCGAAACTCGTCATTGTCGGTAAATTTTTCTATTGATGGCCCTCCACCCCCTTGGAAGATCTGGAAGATCAAGCGACGCCACTGACAGCAGAACTTTGATTTTTCTCCATTTGATTACTACAAATTTACTATATAGAATTTAATGTTTCTGAGTTCACAAAATAGCCGTTTTGCAACATATTGTTAGTAGCTCAGATGATAAACTGGTATCATCTTTTCTGTCCTGTAAACACTAGAAACATTTGTCAGTTTTATTTTTTCTTTTGATTTTCCATCTGAGGCTGTCCTTACGCTGTTCTTCGTTTTTCAGCAAATCGAGCCTCAATGTCTTAAGTAAGTGTGTTTTGTAAAAAGGGTATTAATAGTGAGACTTTTACAAAAATGTTTACAAATTTCGAAGGCAGTCTTCCAAGTTTGTGCAAGTAAAGGAGAGCAAAAGGGAAGTTGTGTCAACCGAAATATGGGTTTATTTGAATTCATTTCAGATTTATATTATCCTGTGACACTACAACCATCAAGGCATATTTTGAAGTTTTTTTGCTCGTTTTGTCTCTTGTTACATTTTTATTATGTGTTGGTGGTGAGGTCTGAACCACTGCAGACGTCATTCTTAATAAATGCACGCCTTCTGAGCTCGGTGCGGGCTCGTATTAAGCGAAAGCCATGGCCCATGCACTCCCCTATTTTTCACTTCCAGTATACACCATACATGGAGACCCAATCTTGTTTTCCCTACATAGCCTAATCATTGTGAAGCTCAAATTTTGAAATATTTTTTCATAGTGTATTTTCATCGGGATGTTTTTGTGATAGTTAGATGTGTAGACCTTTTCGCTATTATAAAACAATTATATTCCTACATTGTTATTCAAGTTGGGTTTTTGAGTTATTACAAGTTGCCGTAAAGCGTTGAGTGCCGAGTACAGAGGTTTTACTGGGTGCTGACCGATTTTGAGGTTGCTTGCCGCCTTTTTTGCCCATAGCCCCACATCCATTGAGTGTCAGGCGATGCCGAAAGGTTTGGCTAAGTTAATTCACTAAACTTGAGATTGTCGTTCGAAAAATGCCCTCCTTAGCCCAATCCAATTTATCGCGTTAAGAATTTTAGACTGTTTGTGCAAAACTACATAGATTGTGGTTTGGATATCACAGTCAAAGGCATTCTTGATCAGATGGTGCTTACGCTTATTTCGCTCATCTCATTTCGTTATTCTTTGCGGTTAAAAGCCAATGGTTTTGTCTTGTCACATGAAGGATACATTCACAGGCCATATTTACCATCACAGTACGATAATAAATACTTCCAGTGCATTGTGTTCTACTTAGAACCCGATTGTTTTCGCTCGCTTTGAATTTGTTTTATTCTGTGGTTATTTATTTTTACGCGTTATGCTTTTTAAGAGATTTTCATAGAATATAGTTGAAATGTAATGTCTTTAGTAAACGAAAGGGCATTGGACATGACCTTCAGCCGTCGTAAGTTCGTTTAGGAACATAGCATAACGATGGTTATGGTTTAATGATAATATTTTATTAAGTCCAAACTGTAGCTGGCCACGTCATCTTGGCCTCTAACATCATTAACATAAACGTTTTCAATCACCGTTACTATCAGCATCAATTACCGTCCAATCATCATCAAAGTCATTGTACAAAACATCTGCAATCATTGGCATCGTAATCATCAATCAACATTCTAATCATCTTTATCGGAGTCACAATCATTGACAACGTAATAATCAATCAACATTCTAATCGTCATTATCGCAGTGCCAATCATTGACAACGTAATAATCAATCAACATTCTAATCGTCATTATCGCAGTGCCAATCATTGACATCGTAATCATCAATCAACATTCTAATCGTCATTATCGCAGTGCCAATCATTGACAACGTAATAATCAATCAACATTCTAATCGTCATTATCGCAGTGCCAATTATGACAACGTAATAATCAATCAACATTCTAATCGTCATTATTGCAGTGCCAATCATTGACATCGTAATCATCAATCAACATTCTAATCGTCATTATCGCAGTGCCAATCATTGACAACGTAATAATCAATCAACATTCTAATCGTCATTATTGCAGTGCCAATCATTGACATCGTAATCATCAATCAACATTCTAATCGTCATTATCGCAGTGCCAATCATTGACAACGTAATAATCAATCAACATTCTAATCGTCATTATTGCAGTGCCAATCATTGACATCGTAATCATCAATCAACATTCTAATCGTCATTATCGCAGTGCCAATCATTGACAACGTAATAATCAATCAACATTCTAATCGTCATTATTGCAGTGCCAATCATTGACATCGTAATAATCAATCAACATTCTAATCGTCATTATCGCAGTGCCAATCATTGACAACGTAATAATCAATCAACATTCTAATCGTCATTATTGCAGTGCCAATCATTGACATCGTAATCATCAATCAACATTCTAATCGTCATTATCGCAGTGCCAATCATTGACAACGTAATAATCAATCAACATTCTAATTGTCATTATCGCAGTGCCAATCATTGACATCGTAATCATCAATCAACATTCTAATCGTCATTTTCCCAGTCACAATCATCGGCATCGTAAAATTAATTAACATTGTAAGAGACATTATCGCAGTCACAATCATTAGTACCGTTATTATTATCAATCATTAGGATAATGACTTTTGTGAGCCGTCATCGCTATCATCAATTATCGTCCTCGTCAGGATAATCATTATCGTCATTATCGTCATAAATTCTATTAGCATTGTCATCATCCTAATCACTATTGTTTTTATATAATCGTCATTATCATAATCACTTTGATCATCAATCATCACTAGCCATCACCACTCAACGATCAGATCTGTTAATACGGACTATAACGTGATTCTTCACACAATCTTTCTTGTTTCGAAGTTGAGATGGATGCGTTAATTTGCATGATTAATTAACGCTAATTAACGTCTGATTTTACTTGTTGATGATCAATGTTAAAACCGTTGACAAACCTTTTCAGCTGTATCAGTTCATTTATTATTCTTTGCCTAATAGCTGTGTATAATATAGAACCTTTTATTATACAGGGGAGCAGCCAAGCATCATTTATGCAAATAAACTTGACATTCGCAAATTCGAGATTGGAGTTCCAGAAAATGAGACGACGCTGCTTGGAGGACTACAGGGCGTTGTGTCCGTCGACTTCGACTGGCGGTCGCAGAAAGTTTTCTTCACAGAAATTGCTGATGTTAATGAAATAAGGAGTTTCAGTTTGCGAAAGAAAAAGAAATCCCCGAAGGTTGTTATCGATGCACGAACAGGCCGCCCAACCGTGATCGCGGTCGATTGGGTGACGAAAAAGTTGTATTGGACTGACGATCATAGAAAGAGGATCGAGTTAGCAAATTTCGATGGTTCGCACAGAAAACTACTCATCGACACAAACCTCGACCAGCCTAGAGCACTCGCATTGCTGCCACAGAAAGGGTGAGTTTTTAGTGTAGCCTTAGTACAGCCAGATCACAATGCATCCGCGCAGTTAAATTGTTGGGGATAAGGACAGGACAGTGACTTCAATGAGTGACGCAACTCACTTCTTAGGGTCAGAGAGTATTTGCATTGAATTAGTTTTTTTTTTACGCATGCGCATTGACCATTTGAATCACATGCGCTTTGACGACCAAGACTGGTTTTTTCGCAGCCCCAGCAATAAGAGTTCAGTTTACGGTCTCGTTTTGGAAATAGCTCCAAACAATCAGGTTTAGCGCCATTTTTTGTCTAATTGCAATATTTCATTTCTTGTGTGCATATTTTACAGATTTATGATGATATAAAGATTAAAACATACATATATATATATTTATATAAGTGATAAAACCGCAATTACCGTGCTGAATGAGAATGTCCAACTCCATTCGTTGATCACAATTACGTCCCCTATAAAAATTTTGATCACGAGTTCTGGTTAAACTGATATATACCAAAATTTCTATTTTCAAAATTTATATTGATCTATACCAAAAATTCCACTTGATCGGAAATTTAGCTTTCATCTGGTAGTACTTGCACTGGCGATGACATTGATTCGTGGATGGTCTTATTTTATTGGATGGTCTTATTTTGTCGTCTTTACGTGCGGATCTCGGGTGATAATCGTGTTTCATGCGGTGTTTTGAAAACTTTAAGGAGTCATTCGGTTTAGTGAAAAACAGCGCGAAGACATCTGGTGGTCAGATTGTGGCAAGTGATAATGGTAAAATGGGATCAATTTTAGAAAGCAAGCAGCATTTCAACGTTTTAAGAAGTCCACATTACACTCGTTTTTTACACGAAACCGTCTATTAGAAACGGAGTCCTAAGAAGGCCAAAAAATTAACATTAACATAGTACCAAGCACCCTCAATTTTCAGAAGCTTTTCGAAATTCCTTCTTCAAAATATGGGAGTGGCAATGATTTGTTCGACGATTAGTAAATTATTTCCTGTTTAATTCTATTTTACCTTATCTCATGTTACGATTTATAAAAGGTAGCTGTTTGACATTTGGTATTAAAGAGAATATTAAGAAACTTTCCAAACAAAAATCATTCTCCTCGTCAAAAATCTTAAGTTGTGTAGAAGGCTACCCCCATTTTCCCCCCCCCCCCCTCCTGTACTCGCTGTTATATGCTTGTTTGTTCGTTTCCTTGACATAAGTACCAAATTGTGATAAGTCAGTCCATATGTTGATTGACTTTCGCAAATTTCGAAGTCCTGGGGTTTATTCAAAGTCTAATTGTTTCTTATTTTTTCTTCGAGTACTAGAGTTTCTTTCGTTTTCCTGTCCGTTACTCGTTTCTCACAGTGAGTTTCTTATGAAAATATCAGTGTAAAAAATCTTAATCTCAAATCCCTCTCTTCTTAGCCTCTCACTCCCTTCCCTTGTTATGGCCCTGCTTTAGGCCTCTAACCCGCTTTCTAGAATTTCGACTAAAAAACGAAATATTCATAACAGAAATTGATGATTCTATTTTTCCCAAATGAATATCAGTTCCCACGTTTGCCTTTCCTATGGTTTTTATTAAGATGAAAGAAAGTTTATTGTCCTAATATGCATTTCTTATGTCCTCTCTTCTTGGCTGTTGTTTTCTTGTTTTGATAACAGCAATATTTAAATTTCCCGTTTTATTTTTCGATAACATATTCCGGATATCAGAGTATAAAAGGAAGAATTCCTATCTTAGGAGGTCAACTTGTTCGTGTTCAAACTTGTGGCATTCACAATATTGGTTTAGGACATGAAGAAATATGAAAAATTCTTCCTTCTCCACTGTCTTCGGGTTGGCCTAAGACGCTTGACATCAAATGCAATTATGTTTAAAGATATTTTGCAGCTTCCCATCTTTGTTGATTTATTGATTTTGTTTTCAAAATCGTGTTTTAGCTAAGTATTATTCCTTTAAAAACAATAATAGAAAGAAAGCAAGTTGTTCCAGCCATTCATCCTGAAACCAAAGACTACCTATTTTGATAAACAGTGAATATTATTCAATTCAGATGTTCCTTTGTTTCATTCAGCGGGTGATTTTCGACGGCTTACTGTCGGCCGTCAGCCTTTGGTCCCTGTTTTGCACGACATGTCGTCTTTCATATTGTTTTACTATTCACCATTTATCATAATTCTTAGCATCATAATCAATCGTCGTCATCATCATAATCGCCATCTATCATTATCATTAGCATCACAATCGATCATTATCATCAATAATAAACGCAATCACCTTCATCATTTATCGCTATCGCCGACCCCAATCATCTCATCGCTATTTATCAAAATCGTTATCACCACAATCGATCATTATCATCAATAATAAACGCAATCACCTTCATCATTTATTGCCATCACCGTACTCCAATCATTTAATCGCTATTAATCATTATAATTATCACCATAGTCGATCATGATCATTAGCATTAATCATAAACGCAATCATTTTCATCACCGTACCCAAATCATCTCATCGCTATTAATCATTATCACTATCACTATCACCATAATCGAACATTATTATTATCATTATCATTAATCATAAACGCCGCAAGCGCCTTAATCTATCGCCATCCTCTCATTGCCATCAGTTATTGTCTTAACCAAAATCATCAACTAGTTAAGATCGTTAAAGCACAACAATCGTGAAAACAGGTTTTTGGTATGTCTCCTGAATATGTCTTGCCTTTCTTTTCATTGGCCAATGTTAAGCCAGCAGGGCATCTAATTCCCTTCAATGGGACGGGCGACCGTATTTAACGGCGAATGGAATCGCACTGTTTTGTATTTTCTGGAGAATATGTTTTTCCATTAGCAAGAGCCTCGATTTAAATATTAATACTGACACGCGGTTTATTACCAGCAAGAAGCGATTTTAAAACCAATATCCAGTGATAAAGATCATTTATAATTTGTGTTTGGTCACACATAGTACCAAGGTCGTTTTGACACCCAGACAGAAATTTGGAACGTTTTCTTTCACCTCCTTCTTCGCGGTAATGTTTGTAATTGTACACCTTCGCCGTGGTTCTTAACTTAGGGTATACGCACTTTCTGTAAGAATGTAGTTTATGGGAATAATTTGGCTCAAAATGTACAAAATTCAAGAATACATTAATGCTCAATGTTATCTGAGCATTTCTTACAATTTTTCAGCCTCAGTAATATCAATATTTTTTTATCTTGATTATATATAAACTTGGATAAGTACAACCGCAAAAGCCAAGTTTATGTTTTAAATGTTTCTCTTTGACCAATCAGCGAGTGTGATTCCACTCACACGGTTATTGATTGGCTAATATTCATTGGCAGATGCCATAAGCCCCTTTAGTACCTGTCGATTGCCTTTAAGGCTCAATCTTGAAAGAGCTGGGCCCCAGTATTTTTCATTTTGTCAATTGCCTTTAAAGACTCATTGCTAACAATGAGCCATTGCGCTACGCAAGCATCCCATAATGCATTTTCAGACACAGTTTACTGCCATTGTTTGGATCGTCGCCTGGATAATTTGCCACCCTCGCAATGGCTCATTGTTGGCAATGTGTCTTTAAGGATTCCTAAAGATTTTTGTTTAACCGAAGACTAAGAAAGAGATCTGTAGCGACGGCATATTGTATTCACGCCTTCACACGAGTCCAAATATGTAACCAATTCCAGTATCGTGTGAAAAGGAGCAATGAGTCTTATGTAACTTATTCATTCCTGAAAGATTAAGGCGTTAATTTGCTTGAATTCGAGGCTGAGGTGAGAACTTCTCATTTTAGCAAGTTATTTATTTGTTTATCAATTTTTATGCCAAGTTTTCGATTGGCGTCAAGTCCTTTCCTTATCATTCCGTGAATTAAGCACTGACTAGCCACACTGTGTCTTCAACAATAGTGCACTTCGGTGCGAGTTCCTAACAAGCAGTCTATAAGCGAATTTTCATCCCTTTTTATCTAGCATATTTATTGAGGTAATCCAATTTGATTTCTTAACAACTGATAAACGAAAGCATTGAGTTACCTTTTGTGATTGAGTCGGGGTCACGAGATTTCTGTTTGATCACTTTTTATTTTGATAGCCTACTCGGGTCCGCAAAGATGCTGCTCGTATTAATTGTTTTTTGCCTGGTGCAAATTTGAAGCGTTAGCCTCTTTTAGGCTTGTATTGTGATTATATACTCCCTGTTTTAGATTAATTGATCCTGTTGTGGGACAAGATTTTAGCAACCGTTTCCCTATACCCGGAAAGCAAAATATCGTCAAATGCTAGATCTGAAAGTATTACAAAAAATCACTCTTGGGAGTTGGCTCCCTAAGTGACAAAGGGGATGTCTTCAATTCCGTCTGTTGATCATGGTATTAAATGTATTCCGCCCTTAAGACGTTACATGTGTTGTCTAAAATATTCTCTCGTCAATCAAGACTGCATTTAGGCCCAAATCGTGTTTGCAATCATTATTCAGAAATCCTACATGTAGCCATGGCATATGTAGGAAAACTTGGCTGGCCATGGCTCCTTTTGCTGGTTCAGTGGATGAACTTGGGATTAAGACTTTGTCAGTCTTAACTGATCTAAAAAGCGACGTTGTCCCACCATACCTAATGTCCTTTTTGCTATGCTCGATGAGCGTTCAAGCTCTAGACCAGCCATTCTTAAACTCCGGCCCGCGGGCCAACTTCGGCCCGCAGCAAGTTTTTATCCGGCCCGCGGAGCGCTTTATCTCAACAATTTTTTTTGCTTCCACTTTAAAAATTTTGAATTCGTATAAGTTTTGCTTTTGGATTGCTCTGATATTTTTCTTCCTCTGCAGTAAAAGAAAACGTGCGTCCCGTTGACCAGTAATTGGTCCGAAAGGGAGTACGAAAATAGGAAATGCTTTATTTAATCATTTAAACGTTTTATAGCAAACTATTATACTACTTTCATTGAATTCAATAGGTTGTTGATAAACTCACCATGGCCTTACCCTTTCCTCCACTTTCTGAGATCCCAGGATTGATTTTGTATGTTGTAAATTATCAATTTAGCCGTTGCGGACACTTCCTTGGAATCAATGGTAATTTACTCATTCTGCCTTGTATCGTTTGCTGAAATCTAGGCTTTTGTAAAAAAGTAATTTTGAAAAGTCATTAAAATTTTCTGAAATATGCAGCCTGTGTGAATATTTAAGAATAACACAAAATAGAATGAAAACTGATGTATGTATTTTGTTTCTAAAGGTACATGTACTGGAGTGATTGGGGTGGCAGACCAATGATTAAGCGTGCCAATATGGACGGCACTGATCATAAAGTACTGATAAACAAAGACATTTCGTGGCCTAACTCTCTGGCTATCGATATGACGACATACACAGTGTACTGGGTTGATGCGAGGTCGGAGTATGCGGGAATTTACAGTATGGATTATAATGGAAAGGACCGTAAAACCGTTCTTCGACACGTTAATCTACGGCACCCTTTTTCATTGACTATTTCTGGGGACATGTTGTATTGGGCTGATTGGAAAGCCCCACAAATCAATTCGTGCAACAAGAGCAATGGCACTTTTGAAAGCGTGCTTGGAAATATTCATTCGCCAATGGGACTTGTCGCCCTGTCAGAGGAACGTCAACCAAGTGGTAAGATTGTAGTTGTGCACTACAGTATATACCATAAACCCCAAAATTGGTCCCATTCGTATATCCCCCACTCAAATAACCCCATTCTCTTATAGCCCCATTCTCTTATAGCCCCCTCTAATTAGCCCTCATCCTTGAAGTAGAATTTTTAATCCCCACCTCGAATACGCAGTCATCCTGACAACTTTGGCAATTTAATCGATCTACCACACACTACAAAACTACATGATTTTTGGACATTATAATTCACAAGGTCAACGAGAATGGACAAGCGAGGCACTTCACAATGTTTTTCAAAGGATGAATTTAACATCTTTAATTAGCCCCCCCCCCTCCCCCCCCCCTCCGAGACGACTTAAGAATTCCCCAGACTGGACACAGCTGTTAGGGCAAACCCCTAAATGTGTAACTTGAAGTTATATACATATTGGAACCTCTCAGTGTCTCTCTCTTTAAATCAGTATTTTTCTGGGAGACGTTGGGTTGCAAAATCTCGACACTTTTTTGTCAATAGGTACTGATTTTCACTAAGATGTGAACGTAGATTAATATGGTATAGTTTCCAGTTGTTTTAGAAGATTATTAAGCTGACCTTATTTCAATTATAAAGAATAATTATACAACTAAATACATTAAATACAATATTAGCTTGAACTCACATTTAAAACTGAAGAAAGATGATAAGACATAACATGGATGTTTATAGGATAGAGGCAAAGAGGTGTTCTGCACCTTGATAGTCGAAAGAGTACCCCAGTTGCTTGTTTCTGTTCGTGGAGGCACCGACACAAAGGTTGCGTCCGAGTTCTGGGACATACAGTTTTTATTTAAATGGTTTTTCTGAATAGAAATTGTGTCATGATCGTAATAATTTTCTTTCAACCCGATATCAGATGCTGTAATTACTGTTTTTACTTAGATTACTGAGATAACTGTTTTGCCCCGAAGCTAGCTTTGGAAATCTATATTATCCTTCTTTTTTTACAAATTAACTCCTGGAAAGAGGGATAGTGTCCCTTGAAAAACACTGTAGAGGTGGTTCTGGGGGCCCATCTCTACTATTAGCCCCTTAGTTTTATCTATGACCATGACAACAAACCGAAACTCAGATTTTTGGGATAGTTGGAGGGTCATGGTACCCAACCTTCTGATATAAGATGGTACCTGATGATGATGATCTCTCTATATCTTCTAGTTACCACTGATTGTCACAAAAACAACGGAGGCTGCAGCCATCTTTGTCTGCTGCGACCAAATGGGTACTCTTGTGCTTGCCCTACTGGTATTCGGCTACGAAGCGATGGCAAGACTTGCGAGAAAGGTAAGCCTACTTCTTGCTAAATATTCTTCCCTTCATAACGGTTAAGGGTATAAGGTACACGTCCCTTATGGACTCCTGCAAAGAAATTATGTATTTGCTATTCAAATGAGGTTGGTTGAGAAGACAATCATTGGCAAATCATTAATAATTGAGGCATCCCCCGTTCATGCAGTTTGAGAACTTGTGCAATAGTGATTTCCCAGTTCATTTCACACGGTCTTTGATTGTAGTGACGGGGGTGTTTCGGTAGAAACTGTTCATGGCCGCATTGACTTTGCCTTTTGTTTTTTGAAGCGCTGGAGAAGTTCATTGTCGTTGCAAGGAAGGCTGACATCCGTATCGTCTCACTTGATGTTGATCAGTATGCAGATGTCGTCCTGCCACTAAGAGGCATCTGGAATGCGTTTACTGTAGATTATGACATTGTCGAAGATTACGTGTATTGGGCTGATAACGACAAGAAGTGCATCATGAGAGCGCACCCGAACGGCACTAACACTCAGGTCATTGCGGATTACGATGTACAGACGCCTGATGGTTTGGCGTTTGATTGGATCGCGCGCAATCTCTATTGGACAGATGCCGGTGAACACCAGCTCGCACCGGCGAGGATCGAAGTTGCAAGAGCCAATGGAACGTCGAGAAAAATTTTGATTGAAACTGACATCGACGAGCCACGGGCAATAGTGGTAGACCCAGCTGAAGGGTGAGAGTGCTTTTTGTTATTATACTTAGAAGCATTTGTAGAGTGTCATCAGAGCGTGCTTACAGCCTACGCACGTGTTATCAAAATAGACTTTAGAGGATTAGTATCAACGGACGTTGGAACGCCCGTAACATTTTTTAAAAAAATTTGGAAAATCCTGTCGCTCGGTATGCCTATAATTTTAGCTCTGAATCTTCTAAAGGGTTTCTCAGTTAATTGGTTTTTTAGAACATTATCTTAACACATCTTCTATTTTCTTACTATTTATGTTATTAGCTTGCGATATAATAATGAAAATTTTTGAATTTCAGGTATCTATACTGGTCAGACTGGGGCGTGTATCCGAAAATTGAGCGTGCTGATCTTGATGGAATGAACAGAAAGGTGCTCGTGAACACAAGTATAAAATGGCCTAATGGCATCGCTATTGACTACGTCGAAAGGAAGTTGTATTGGGGAGATGCTGGAACAGACGAAATATCTTCAGTTAATCTTGATGGTACCAACAAGAAAGTTTTGATAAAGAAACTGCCACACGTCTTTGGTGTCTCGATACTTGGGGAAGATATATTTTGGACGGATTGGCAATACAGAAAGCTATCCAAAGCGAATAAACATATTTTAAAGGAAGTTGAGGTAACGTTTTACTGAAATATATGGTCATGCATTGTGATGTTTATAGTATTTCTGTATGCCGGAAAAGTATCAAATACCTGAATATGTGTTCAAGCGATTCATTCAGTGATTCAAGCGATTCATGTTCTATTCAGTGATTCTTTATCCCCGTCAAGATAGAACGCAGCAATGTGTGAAGGGCTGGGGTTACAAAACAAGAGTTGACCAGGAGAATGTCTCTATATTTACCGCAACAGCTCTATGCAACCTAAGAGTGTGCTTTCTTATTTTAGTCCTGGAGTGCGAGGCTTAAAAGAGAGGGGGCTTATTAGAGAAAGGGCTTATTGATAATTCAATATAGAAAATGTTATAAAATGACCTTATGCATTTTTGTTATAGTTTTCGCTTCAGTTGCTAAATGTAAAAAAATTCGTTATACTTACAGATATTGAAAGACCAGCCTGATCTGATGGGTATCAAGGCAACAGAAAGAGGCTTAATTTATGGAAACAACCCTTGCCAGTACAACAACAACCACTGCAGTCACCTGTGCTTTTTCACTTTGTCTAAAGCTAAATGCTCCTGTCCTCTGGGAATGGAGCTTGATAAAGACGAGAAGACGTGTATTGGTAAGATTTACATGAATTGCTTATAATACATTAGGCTTCTTTTGTAAAACGGGTGCTACGTTAGGACGTTTGTTGACCCATAAGGTAAAACTCCGCTTGAACTCGCATGTTAAGACAATTCATACACACGCACTTTCTTAAGATACCATTGGTTGCCAATACCTGTTTCTTTCCCTCTTTAATGTACGTACCGCGCGCGAACTGTAGAGCTGTTGGTTTGTATGGGCGTATAGGACACGCAGATGAAGTACCTTAAGCGGAGAGCGGCCTTACAGTTACGAGCACTCACAATCATCAACTATTTTAAAGGGAACAGCCATTAAGGGGACACTGTCTCTTAAGGAACCGCACCATATTTAAGAATAAATAGGTTACACCGCGCCTTTTTAACTTTTTACACTGGAAGAAAAGAACATTCCCATTGCTGTGTTCCTGGTTTCCTTTTTCGATTCTATCTCCCTGCGATTTTTCGCTCAGGGACTGAACAGCGCCTCTGCCATAGCATCCCCATTCTTTTCCAATTCTAATCATTTATCATTCTTATTTCGTTTTTGTAGTTCCGGCTGGTTTTCTCCTAATCATGCAGCGAGACGACATCCGTAGAATCACTCTTGATATTTATAAGCAGGACATCAAGATACCATTGGCTGGAGTGCAAGAGGCCAATGCATTGGATTTTGACCTCAGCGAAGAAAGAATTTACTGGTCCGATACTGGACGCTTTAGGGACATTAAGAGGAGCGAGGAGAGGATGTACCTTTCTGGCACTGGCCGCTTTAAAGAGATAAAAAGTGCACATATAAACGGTTCTGGTTTAAAGACAGTAATAAGGCATGGGCTAGAAATGCCAATCTCTATATCTGTAGACTGGATTGCAAAGAACATATATTGGAGCGATGCAGCCGCCCATAGGATAGAGGTTTCTCGTCTTGATGGACGTAATCGCCGTGTTTTGTTGTGGGAGAATATTGACAGCCCCAAAGATCTTGCTGTCAATCCACATAATGGGTAAGCTGCACGCTTATTTGATATGTGCAGTAGAGTTAAGGAAACGTAATGACAACGTAATAACGATGGTAGTTAGTGTAAGTTTGTATAACAACGGTGTTGTGAGTACTACTCTCTATCAAGTCCTTTTTATCTCGAAAACAGTGTAATATCGACATTCGCTATGCATAATGTTGCTTACACGAAGTAGTTCAGCGATATGCAAAAAATATTTGGTTGGTAATGATAGAAATTATGCCTTTGATTAAGCGTTTCTGGTGTTTAACACAATATGTACAATCATTAACATGCAGGCAGGCAAATTCAATTATGTTCTTCGCTCATTTCTTTGCTTTTCTATGTTGCAGCCATATTTATTGGTGTTCTGCCTGGAACGGGGGCTATAGAATCGAAGAAGCCAGACTGGATGGGAAAGAACGCAGAACGGTTATTGATGATTTAGGACACGTGACATCAATGACACTTGATTACGAGAACAACTGGCTGTACTTCGCCGACAGTCTAGTCCACACAATTGAGCGTATTGATTTCAATGGCAAGAATAGGAAAAAGTTGCTAACGAATGTTGCCAATCCACAAGCTCTTACCCTGTATAACAGGTCGATTTATTTTGGTGACTGGAAAACCAAGTCTGTGGGACGAGCCGACAAAGACACTGGCCAGAACAGAACCAGAATACTGAATAATCTTGAGTTTGTCATGGATCTGCTGACTTATCATAAAAGCAGGCAGACTGGTATGTTTTTGCTTGTGTTTTTTATCTTTCATTGGTTTATCCTGCTTGCATGCTCAAACAGCAATCAGGAAATTAGTTCATTAGGCCACTAGCTACTCAGATTAGTCAATTAGGCTGCTAGCTACTCATTAGAACGTTATGTCACAAGCTACTCAGATTAGTATGTTAAGCTACTAGCTACTCAGGTTCGTTTCCTCTCTAAGCTGTTTCTTCTCTAAGCTGTGTCTTAAAGGCTATTTTAAACGAATTAGAGAAACTCTATGAGTTTTGGGTGGTCTATTGTGGAGTTTCAGAACGCATTTAAACTAATCTAAATGTCTAGATACCATAAATCGAAGAATCTGTACACCTCTAATCTTGTGTTTGGATTACCCCTAAATCTAAGTACAACCCTAATCTAAATATCTAGACACACCTGATTCAAGAATCTGGATACCCCTGAACTAGTGTCTGGTTCACCCCCTAAAAAAACACCTGGAAACACCTGATATGAACGTCTGTTCAACCCTAATCTAACCGTCTGATACTGAGTATTTGTTATGCTACTATTGTGTGTTTTAATATGTAATGTTATATCCCCTTCAGGCACTAACGCATGCGCAAGTAACAAGCATGGCTGTAGTCATCTGTGCTTTGCGCTGGACAAACAGAATTACACGTGTGGATGCCCAACTCATTACATACTTAATGACGATGCTAAGTCTTGCCGCGGTAAGTTGCATTCTTTTTCATAGGCCATTTCGTCCCATCGTCTTTTTGTCTTTGGACAATTTCAAATTGCTTGCGTCAGAGAAAAGAGAAAAACAACTGGGGGGGGGTGTATACAAGCAAGTCTTTTTTTCCCGATGAATTACAGCGATCCCCTGAATTTTCATTTAATGAGTTATACAACAGTCTCTTGCTAACGTTCCATTTGGAGTTCGGTGCTCCGGTTTCCGTATCCTTGACATGATGCGTGGCCTATCGTAGATATGTAGAGCCCACAGACTGGATATTGTACGTTTATGCCGAGACACAAACTTATTGTGATATTTAGTGTTTTGCATTATCAAATGAATCAGCCATACAGTTTAAGTGATGTGTGGCCTATCGTTGATGTGCAGAGTGCATTCTATAAATATTTTACTGAATTGTAACTGTCCTGTACCCTTGCGGTGAAGGCCCTTTTATATATGGCGCTCGCAGAATCTAGAATGGTTTCTTGAAAGCAGCAGTCGGTTCTTGCTTCTAATTAATTACTCTTCAAACTAGATAATATTTTTGCTGTTCATTTTTTAACATCGATACCTCTATTTTACAGCTCCAACGACGTTCTTGCTGTTTAGTCAGAAAAATAACATTCGTCGGGTGTCATTCGCCACTAAAGATAATCCCGATTTAGTTCTGCCAATACCCAGTTATGAAGACGTCACAAAAATAGATTTCGACTTCAGATCTGGATCGATTTATTGGATCGAATCTGAGACGAAATCTATTGAATCTGCAATGGAAGACGGAAGTAATTACCATAAGATATATGACGGACGAGAAAATCGCGGTAATCCATATGATCTGACAGTGGATTCATATGCCGGTAGCATGTATTGGACAGACAGTGAGGCTGACAATATCAACTTTCTTCTTTTCAAAGGAGACAAAATACCAACTGTTATATTTGAGAAAAAGAAAGGTTATCGGCCAAGGAACATTGTGGTTTCTTCGGAGGAAGGGTACGTAGAAGTAATTTAGTTTGGGGAAGGGGTAACATGGTGCATGCATCTTCCATTTTAATTTTGAAATTAATTAACCAGTTTAAATATTTTTCTCCATTAACTATTACCGTCATCCTCATTTTACTCCGCAATTCTGTTTTTGATAAGATTAGTGGTTGCTAGCATTTTTTCATTATGTTTTTAACTGTGAATCGTTGCATAATACTTCTTTCTATATACCAAAATCGTGAATTTGAAGACCAGTATACGGTTACTTTTTGTAGGATATTAAGATTTTTCATACTTAAAGTCTCTAAAAGGGTTTTCAAGTACTAAATGCTAAATAGCTACTTTACAAAGTCCCAAAAAACGTGCAACATAAGATAGCATAGAATAGAACACCGAATGAGTCCCAAGGAGTCCTTCTCTTCATATATATATGTCATTACCAACATATGTCAATTGAACAGAAACTTGGTACCTAATCGTCTAACATAGTCATTTCCACTTTTTCTTTGATAGAATTATTTTTGAGCAGTTTCCTAAGATTACGGAGGATCAGTTCTATGATTTCTTAATTTTTGTGCCATCTCAAGAGTCGATTTTCGTAAAAACTGTTTCTCGCATGTGTACAATTCTAATTTTATTTCCTTTTCCTTCACAACATTTATTTATACAAAAATGTGAAATTATCTAGAATTACTAGGCGGAGAGTTTTTACGTTCAAAATGACAAACCTAACGATAACAGTTGCAAAATGAGGTGAGCTATTTGACACGTGAAAGAAAATCGTGCAAGCTGTCGAGACACATGCCCGCAGTGGACGTAAGAGATGTGTCACAATACGAAAGAAACACAATTTGAATTCAGATTGGATGTAATGTCAAGCCAATGCCAAAATCATCAATATGAGTGCAGTTTCTTGTTCCAAAACATTATTTCCATGTTACTCTTTATTTGAAAAAAATGTTTTCCCTTTAGTTGTTTGTTTTGGACAAACATGGTGGATAGCCCGACAATCGAGAAGTCGACGATGGATGGCACAAATTTCCTGACCCTTGTAAGTTTCAGAGATGGCAAGCCAGGTGACTTGGCTATTGATCACGTTGAACGAAGACTATATTGGATTGACACATACAAGCGCAAGATTGAGTCAGTGCTGTTTTCAGGTATATCCATTTGTTGAATATATAGAACAGCATTTTATAGCAGCAAGTGTACTTCATCGTTGTTTATAATAGAAACATATTATAGGCGTAGTTTAGACAGCGCTTTATGGACGCAGCGAATTAAATTATTGACCATAAAATATTGTGAGTGTCAATTTAATGCGCTCTTAATTCGCTGACTAAATCCGAGAGTGAAGCAAATAATTGAATCCGCTCATAATGCGCTCATTTGGGCGCATTATCAGCGCGTTATGAATCAAAATATGAATCAATTCAATTCACTTCGCTGTCTAAAAGCAAACAATGAATTGAAGCGCTCTACGGGCGCATTTTGAGCGCATCTAATTGAATTTAATTCGCTGCGCCCATAACGCGCTGTCTAAACTACGCCATAGTTCCTCTTATCATTTTACTTTCCCGAAAGGAGCAACAGGCCCGTCTTAGGTGCGACAGAACAGGAACAACAGGCCAATCAACAGGAACAAAATACCAAGTGTCAAGCGGTCTGTAAACTGTGATATTCTTAACGCAGCCCCTTATTGTAATACCTGTTGGCTTAACATCTTATTAATTTTTTTCACATTGTAGGCCAGGGCCGTTTTTCTGTCGTCTTGGACGGACTGTTAAAGCCTCAAGCACTTACAGTGCATGGTGATTTCGTGTATTGCGTGGACAGCGATACAGAGATGATGTATAGGGCCAACAAGAAGAAGAGTGGTCCTGTTGTAGAAATTCATGGAAAATTCAGCAATTTGGCAGATGTGGAAGCAATTGATAAAACCCGAAGTAGCGGTATGTTTTTTGTACCGATGTTCCCAGTTCGTTAGTTGCATCGTAACGTCGTCCCAAGGCCAGGAAGATGATATATGGTGGTGACAAAATTCTCAAGATGCTTTTAATCTCATCCATGTTTTTTCAAATGAATTTTAGTTTATTTTATCGCTAAGCGTAGTCATAAAAATTCCCATCTAAATTAACACTACCACAGACGAACTAACCCAGAAAATATAAACATCACACAAACAGGCTGACCCGGTATAGAATGCTCCTTCGCTGTTGACATATTTATGGGCCTAGTCATTTGAAAACATCTATCCCGATTTTTCCCAAGGTGGTTATTATACTTGCGTCTTGTTGTGATTATGCAAAGTAACCTATATCTTTCACCCTTTTAGATCATCCCTGTTCGAATAACAACGGTGACTGCAGTCATATTTGTTTCGCGTCGCGGAAGAAGAGCCAATCCACTGAGATTGTAACGTACGAGAGAAAATGCGCCTGCCCAGTGGATTATCTTCTTGATCCAGCTGACAAACGGACATGCAAAAGTAAGGAAGCATATTTATTACCTTGCTGTTTCTTTTTTTCTAACGGTTCCGTCGGAAGAGGAGAGGAAGGAGAAAGGGGAAAAGGGAAGGGGGGACGGGGAAGGGGGGAAGGTTGACGATGGAATAATAATCTGATTATTAACCGTTTTATACAACTGATTCAAGCAGCTTTAAATTTCTTTTGTGTGACCACAGATTTGTTGTACAGAACTTTAGTGCAGAAACAGCTGGTCAGAATTATATATTTATATTTGTTTTCTTTGCATACGAGTCGCCCTGCTCAGTAACGATCTGTATTGTGTACTAGGCCTAAGTGGAGAGACCATACTTCTTCTCAATCAACCTCAAGAGATTGAAATCGGAATGTATTTGAATTTTTTTGTCACTATAAAGGGCATACCTTTTACAGACTTATATTATTTTTTGCAGACACCAAAAGTGCAAGAATGACGAGTTCCGGTGCGAGTCTGACGATGCGTGTATTCCAGAGAGCAAAAAGTGTGATAAAAAACCCGACTGCAAGGATAAATCAGACGAAAGCAAAGATACATGTGAGTCCAACAAATTTCGCATTCATGTTTCGTATTTTTCCACCAGAAGAATGGGGTTGGGGCAACGAATTATACAGCAACAGGACGTCACAGAATTTCTAGATTAGCACCCACGCCTTGTTAAATATCACAGCTCAAACGAAGGATTCCGCTTGTTGGGCCTCTGAAATACTAGTTCATACATCTGGGTGTATTTTAGAAAGTTAGATCCGTTTGAGAATACAATGTAAGGATGCTTTAATTTCTGATCTGAGCCAGTAGAATTCACAAAAGTAAAGGAACGTTCCCAAACCGAGTAGCGTTAACCAATTATTCTCATCATACCTACAAACGTCTCTGGAAACAATCATTCATTAAAGCGAAAAAAGGACGGGGCTCTGTCACACAAAACCTGTAAAAAGATAAAATTCATATTATACTTTCCATTTGTTACAAAACAATACTGTAGTTTCGCTACTTGCTTTATGAAATTAATTTTCTGCAACTGCGATTTATAATTTTTTTCATGTCAATGTTAGTATTTGACTAGTAAGCGTGATTAATTTAAAGCGCTGATTTTATATTTGTGTTTTTATTAGACATGTTTTCTTGTTCAATATATAAGTGTTCGCATCATGTTCACTTTAATTGGGTTTATTTTTATGCTCTTTTTTTATTAGCTGCAGAGATGATGTCCCAGGACACCCTCTCTCTTTTTGAACCTGTGTTATTCCGCGTCCTTTTAATGATATTGCAACATGCTAATATTGTACTATGTATCAACACAGTCTTGAAATATTTTCAATATTGCTATATATTTCTTGTATCTTGTTATTGTGAAGTGTAGTAATGTAGCATTTGGCGTTTGGCAGTTAGTGTCATGGGTCTAAGTGAGCAGCAGATAGCTGCTGAAATGATATGATAACTTTGATCTAGGGAGCACGGGAAAACGGTTTCATTCGTATCATTTTTTATTTATTATACACGGTAGCCTCATCAATCGAGGAGACTGCTTTACAAGTGACTGCGTGTCAAACCTCGCCCGATGCAATTCTCTTCTAAAGATTTTGATCCTTGATATATTTGCTATTCTGATCTTTGGTATTTATCTTTCTAGGTAAGCCGCCAACTTGTGATTTGTTGATCCACTTTGACTGCCAGAGTGGCTGCATTGAAAAGGAACGTGAATGCGATGGCGTCCAAGACTGCCCCGATGGCAGGGACGAAGACGGATGCTGTAAGTTAACATCTGATGGGCTATCTTTACATCCAGCAGTTTTCAGTTGCTTTCTCTCGTTTAGTTACTTGTTACTGTCGTTTAGTTCTGTCGTTATGGTAAATGTTTTATCTTTCTGTCATTTTGTACTAATAAGTCCACAACAAGGTTTCTATCATAATCAGTGACGGACACTTGGGGGGGCGAGGGGGGGCGACCGCCCCCCCAATACTTTAGAGAACAATGGACTTTTGTTCTAAAACAATGGGAAATGTGACGTCATCTTATTAAAACAATAGGCTTGCCCCCCCAATATTTGACCAAGTGTCCGCCACTGATCATAATAGCAATATCGTTAAGCTCCTTTTTATTCCCTTAAATCACACTAGAAAAATTATGAGAATTTTTGTACCACTTGTAGAGCCTCTCAATTTTAATGTTTTTAATTTGATAGTTTCTTAAATCGTTTTATTTAAGGCTCGGGGGGGGGGGTAAACTATGCCTAATTTTGGACGGGGACGTGCCATTTTGGTTAAAATGTTGGACCCATAATTTCGCAAATATCTGAAAAAATGTGACCCATAATTCCGCAAACATGAAGAAAACTATACCCATTATTCTGCAGAGCAAAGAAAGTGTTTAAAGCACATAAAAAATCATCAACCAAACTTTGCATGTCCTATGCCCCAAAACCTCAATATTACACATATTCCATACTTTTATTTCTAACTGGACATTCATTTTGTTAATGCTATATCTCCCTCCTAATAATTTTGCAATATTTCCACAAAATGGTACCCATAATTCTGCATATTTCTTCAAATGGTACCCATAGTTTCGCACAAATTTCAAAAATTAGTACCGATAATTCCGCACTTTTCAGAAAAAAAAGTACCCCTAAATAATGGCACGTCCCCGTACCTTCAAACATGTTAAGGTACCCCCCCCCTCCCGAGATTTAAGATCTTAAAATTCATTTTCAAAATCTATGTCTTTTTGATCAACCGCATTTCTAAACAGAAGTTTTTAAATCGCTTCGCTGAAATCTTTTTTAAAGCAGCTGTTTAATAAAAAGGCATGTTTCACTTTTTTCATTTTTTCCTGTTTTATTTTCTAGTATGTCCAAAGATGACACATTTTTCTTGCGCCAATAAAAAGTGTATAAAAATTGGCAAAAAGTGCGACCGTATCAACGACTGTGGAGACAATACTGACGAGAACCCGACACTCTGTGCATCAATACCAGGCTAGTTCCAATATTTTATTCTTCTTTGACGTAATCACAGCCTTGAGTTCACGAATATCTGTACCCGAAGTTTTAGAGCCCAGAGCTAGACCCCCATTTATCTTTATACCATTTATCTACATCTTTCGTTTTATGTAAGTAACCTTTTAAGGGTGAAACTCATTACTCCTATTATTACATGGAAGTCTCTGGTTTTTCAATGTTCCTTTGGCCATTTTTAGGGAATGCAACTGGGATAGAAACAGCTGAGAAGAAGACAAGTCACATGAAAGTCTTGGCTGGAATCGTATCGGGGATAATAGTCAGTATTCTTCTGTTGGTAGTTGGGCTGGTGTTTTGGTGGCGGTATCAGAAATCTAAGCCAAAAATGCAGCAGCACATAGATCTTGGCCGTGTTCCTGTGCCGCGAATCGCCAAAAATAGTCCAGAAATGAGTATTGATGACTTCGAAGGTAGCAAGTCGTCGGTGTCTACATACGTATCTGATGTACACGTGTCACAAAGAAGTGAGCTTTACAACCGTAACTTGACTGGCACTTCCAATGCGACATTGACCACGAATTTTACACCCTTGCCAGCAAACCCACCCCCCTCTTTATTAACAGAAAGAGTACTGTCGACTATAAGTGAAAACAAAGCAGAGCCAACCAGGGCCCCTGCCCCGTCTGTGGCAACTTGCTTTTCTTGCAGTCATTGTTCTATGACGTCATTGGGAACAATGCCAAACCCGAGTTACAATTATATGGAGAACGGTCCACCTCCTCCCACCCCGACCTACTCGGATACGGGGAAAGACTCGGACTATTTGTATTATTCAGAGTGGGAGATAGAACGCCACAGGGCGCACAGACATTCGCATCGGTCTCATCGGAGTCGCTCAAAGCGCCATCACCGAAGGATGCCGCGACTTTCCTCGCCAGTTTCAACAGACTTTGCAGAGGGTGCAGAACTTTTGCCCAAGTCACAGTTAACTCAGAGGCAGAATAGTCTCGCATCAGATTTTAATGAGCTGTTCGTAGATACCGAGTATGATCAATTTGCTCCGCCCCCCACCCCTTGTACAATGTATTTGTCAGAGGGGGCCGCGCTTTCAGAGAATGATACCCGTCCGCCTTCCCCGGCAGGTACCGTTAGAAGTGTACAGCAGTACCCGCCTCCGCCATCTCCGACAAGTCAGATGTGAATTGAGTGGAACATATCGTGTGGGATACCATCCCTACTTGGAATATGGTCAGATCGTGTGGACCAGACTATTGGATGCAGACCAAGGAGATTCGGCCGAGATTTGACTACTCAATGGGGATAATCATCAACAGAGCTTGGATCAAATATGCTCGAATGCCTCTCTTTTGGTCGTGTAATTTGTCACGTGCTCCATACTCCACGTGCTATAAGTCTTGCTATTGCATGCTTTTGCTCCACAATTTGGATAGGATATTGCACTGCGCAGTGGGTTTTTGTCTACTATCACGTGTTAATTACAGAGTGCAGTAGGAAGCGAAATTGATAATCAGAGGAAAATCAAGAGAAAAACCCTTGTTTCATGTGTTGTCATAATCTCTAGTGAAAATTTGTTGTACCCTAAATGTTATTGTACCCAAGAATGCACTGGAGAAATTCTCGATAGATGTTTTCCTCTTGACCCCCCTTGAGATACTGAAGCAGGCCTAGAGCAGGTTTCATTGAGAAATGGACCTCTTTTGTGACCATCTCCTGACTTTCCTCAAAAGGCAGCCGTCCAACCCCTCGTCGTAAGCACAGATGTCAAGAGAGGCTTTTTGGTGATTAAGATTGATTGATTCAGCTGTGGATCTGTCAGTTACATGTAAATGGTTGATATCTGTTTGCAATTATCAACTTATCTATCTTTTTCATGTTATTCATACCAGCCTTTCTGTTGATAGTTTCAAACGTACCCTATCCCCTATTCTTCCCCTTTCTCTTGTCCGAAGCAGACTGAAGAAATATTTGGCATTGCGATTTGTAGATTAATGGTTTTGCTTGAAATGAAAACGGTTTCGATAACAGCATAAAATAAAACCAATTGGTTTTTAGTATTAAATTTCAAGAACTTAATTCTTTGTTTCAAATGATTTATCAAGCCTAATATTACCGTGTATATAATGTATCTAAAAGCAATGTATATAGTGTCAAAACTGGGGGTGATTGCGAGGCCGGTTTAGGTTTTTGAAGAGAGACTGTTTAGTTTGTCTCCTTCGTTCTTTCCCTTATTTTATGGAAGTTTTCTGATGAAGAGATTATGGCGCTGACCCGGCTCAGCCTTTCAGTGTTTAAATCCGGCCCTCTGTTTTCCACTCTTCTAGTGAAGTGTCCCCTCCTGATCACGCTTTCCACTGTACCGGTCCGGCCTTCCGATCCATCCACCCGGCCTTCCGTTGTGTCCACCTGACTTCGCAGTATCCGTAACCAATCATACACATTTGCTTTTTCAATGAACTGCCCCATTCTATTTAGGGTTTCGTTTAAAAAATAACCCCCGACACCATTTATGACATTTTATAAAGTTTCAATTCCTGTAGCACCGGCTTGAGTAAACCTGAACCGGTCTAAGAGAATCCTCCGAGCATTTGAAACAGACTGGTGATTAAAGCCATTCTTCAAAGCCTTACAAACGTAAATCAAGTATTGCATTTCCTATAAAAACGTCAGTGCTCTTTTGGTAATTGGTCGAAAAACTTAGAAGCAATGAAGCGAAGATACCCGAAGGCCCCCGGACTAGGATTGAATTATTCCAAATCATGTATACGTTAAAAATGTGACGTAATTGTTCACCTTGTCTGAAAACAACCCAGTTCTCTCTGTCCAAACATCATGTTTCTTGTCCAACAATACGTTTGCTTTGACCGTGTTTTTGGCACAAACGTTAATGTGATTGATTATTTTAAAGCAAACGATAGTTACGCATTACCCTGTAAATAGATTTTTTGTACCTGTACTGTCATGTTTTGTATTAATTATCGAAAGTGTAATGAAAGGACATGTTTATTGTCTGTAGCTTCTTGGTTTCTCTTTTAGCGACATCCTTTTGCAAGCGATTGAGCAAGTGTACTTTTGTAGGAATGCGCAGAACATTTGCGTTACTGCCTGTGCATTGCGGTTCTGGCTTGCGACGGCATTATGCCAGTGTTACTGTAGAACATAAATTGTTTAACGATGTGGCATTCTTATTTTTAGTGTTCGTAAGAAAACAGCGATTTTATGTTTAGTTCAAAAATATAAGCCCTGGTCTAATATTGGGAGGGTTTACATCGGGAAGCAAATTTACATACCAAAGTGTGGAGGCGGGGCTATTTTAGGGTATTACCTTCTTGATTTGTATAAGTGTCGTTTTCTTCTTTCCAACCATCCATCTTGGTCCATTCTACAGGAAGTCCAATCGTTGGTAGAGTTCTAGAAGCGGGCGAGGGTGAGAACCGCGAACGGTAGTCGCCCGCAAACCTTGAACGAGGCTGCAACACGACAGTGTTGTTGAAGCAATCGGGAAGAAAAGATGGCTGCCAACGCTCCTCTTGACGAAGAGAAAATGTCTACGGCCCTGGTTGAGCCAGACGCATGTACTCAAGAATATATTTTCCAACAGACCATGTATAGAATCAAAGACCCAGAAGTATCTTTGAACTTTTATAGTAAGGTGCTTGGTATGAGGCTGTTACATAGACTTGATGTCCCGTCGATGAAGTTCACGGTGTATTTTATGGGGTTCGAAAATAAGGCAGATATTCCAGAGGACAAAAAGGCGAGAACAGAATGGGCTTTTTCCAGGAAAGCTACGCTGGAGCTTACTCATAACTGGGGTACTGAATCGGATCCAAACTTCAGTGGATACCACAATGGGAACTCGGACCCTCGAGGATTTGGTCACATCGGGTTGATGGTTCCCGATGTATACAAGGCTTGTGAACGGTTTGAATCGCTTGGGGTTGCTTTTGCAAAAAAGCCAGATGCAGGGAGAATGAAGGGACTTGCATTTATAAAAGATCCAGATGGATACCTGATTGAAATTCTGAACAACAAGGCAATGTCAGACTTGAAGGTTGAGTAAGGACTGCTGGACTCGCATCAATGAAAACGCTTCTTTTTATTTCCTCAAAATTTAAAATACGCTCCATGCTTGCTTGAAATCATATGCTGTAATTTTTTTCCTATTAAACCAGCTTAATTATGTGACCATGTCATTGGCCCATTTAATTTTGTTTCCTTTCAAGTTTGCATAAATAGTGGTAGTCTTGAGTGCTAATAGATTTTCAAATGGAAGTCTTAGGTTATAATAAATAAAGGAAACATGTCACTGGGGGTGGGGCAAGGGGGTCAGCAGACTTTGACTTCAAATGGTAGTCTCAGGTTCTAGTAAATGATAGAAAGATGTCACTGGGGGGGGGGGCAAGGAAGGGCAGACTGCAGTCCAGTTACATTACCACACATGCTTCCTTGAATTTATACACTGCAAACAACATTCCTTTCAAATTGCTAAATATAGTAACATAGAAATTGTCTCTTTGCTGTCATCATTTCATTCACACGATCCTTTTATTATGGCCTCTACTTTGTTATCAGAGTGACTTTTATCATGTCTCTTCAGCTTAGATCTTTCAAACAATAACAAACATTTCCAAAACAATAACAACAAGAGCCCCATAGCTTTGCTACCAGTCATTGTTGGTAACAGCAGCTGTCCCTTTTCAGACTATTGTTAGCTTTTTAGATGTTTTCTTATTGTCATATTTGCTGGAACAGGAAACAGAAGGGGTATTTGACCCTAGAAGTTTTGAGAAACATTAAAGTTTAATTTGCTTTGTGTGATGAAAGGCAGTTCAGATCAAAACCTATGGAAATCCTAACAAACAATGTAAAACTTTCTTTTTTTGAGTGCAGAAATGAGTGGAATTTCGGCTGTAGGCTAGAACAGAGTTGCCTTTGAATGGTGTAATATCGTATTTTCACAGGCAGGGGGTGTCAAAATGACTCTTGTCAAAAGACGGTCCAGATAATTCTTCTGAAAACTCGTACAAATGAAGGTCTGCCTGGGGAAGATAAAATTTGGTATAAAGCGCTGAAATTAGGCAAAGGGGCGTGGTCCTCACATAGCCCTTAAACGTGGAGGTCACACGGTCAACGGCCGCGAGGCGGGCCAAAAAAACAAAAGAAACTGAAATGCAACACCCAAGTTTGCCTTGTTTTCTTACTTTTTCCGAACAATCATCCGAAGAAATGATAAACAGTTTTGTGTACCCTGGGTCCCAAAAAAGAAAGCTGGATGATAGATAGTTCTGAAGCCACTATTGTGGGGCAGATATTCGGAAACAAGGACACAGTGGCGTACCCAGGGCTGTAGCAGTGGGGGGTCTGGGGCGCAGCCCCCATCAAATCTTTTTGAACCACGCCCTTCAAACACTTGCAAATGCGGGTAAACGCCCTTTTTGAAAAATTTCCCCCATTATTTGATTCATGTTAGCTACAGTAAATAGCAAAGTATTTTACAATTGTTATTGACACAAGCATACAGTATACTACCCCCCCCCCCCCCCCCTCCCCCAATGAGTTTTACATCGTTTCTGGACAACCCTCGAGGACCATATTTTAGAAATGTGGGGGGGGGGTCCAGACCCCCCTATTCCTCCCCTTGGGTACGCCACTGAGGACCCATTATGGGGTGTGGTGGGACAATCCTACCACACCAACTAATCACTGTGTATAGGATCAGAGACTGCATTTTAATTGGAATCTGCCGGGGAAAGTTGCGACCCTTGAAACTTTTATCTTGTAGAACAGGCGTACATAGCTGTAGTCTACATTTAGGTACGATCTTTGGGTAAACATAGCTGCATTTCCGATAAAAGAGTGAGCTACGTCCGTTGACCTGAGAAAATTTCGTACGATAGTAGAAACCTAACCGAATGTTATTCTTCCAACTCTTTGAACAATGACACGAGGAGAGAATTGAACAATGGCCAAATTATTGATGCTAGGAGGATTGCAAATCGAAAGTTTTTCTCTAAAGCTCGGGATCTCCGACGAAGGGGGGCCTTGCCCCCCCCCCACTTTTTTGCAAAACAATAGAGTTGTTTTCAAGATCTTTTGTTATGGGTGTTAAATTTTCCCTTGGCCCTCAAATTTTCAACTTTTGTCGGAGCCCATGAAGTTTCCAAAAATTTTCAAACTTCTGCATGTCAAAGCAACGTTGTCTCACCTCTAGAATCTATGACACCCCATTAGTGTCAAGTAGAGTCACATGACAGTCATAATTGCTCACAAAAATATATTTTTATAAGTTTTAACTTTTGACCACATACACGGAAAGAACATTATGAAATACCTCTAGCGATGCAAAATTTGTTATGATGCACTTTGTAAAGTTATAAAAATAGATTCTTGTAACGATATCAATTAATAAATATACATTAACTAGAAAATTTTTTTTACATATATATATGATATTAAAAGAAACTACAATACAATACGCTGAGCCAATCATAGCGGGAAAAGACACATAGTCAAAAGACCCTACTATGAATGGCTCTTACAATGAATTTTAACAATGATCTCTTAATCAACTAACAAAAGAACACAACATAACACTACAATACGCCTTACCAATAAACACTACGCTACATTGTGATACAACCTAAAACCATTCAAAGCAAAGCCGCCCCAGCCATAATTTGATGATGATAAGTTTGATGATGATAAGTTTGATGAGAAAAATTTGATGAGAAACAATTTCGTCGTGACAAAATTTCGGACAAATATTTTGACGAAATTTTCTTATACTAAATTCAAAATGAGACGAAATTTGGTCACTAAGAATTTTTTTTGCATTTAAGATTGTTGTGAATTCGCATAGAAAATCTATCACGTTAGGTCATAAATCAAATTTATGTATCCTTTTAGTCTATGCGTCATTTTCCTCATTTACATCATCTTCATAATTATATTTATCGTAGGCATCATCATTTCTTAAACTAACTTCGTTTTCACCATCTTTCGATAAAAATAGTTCTAACTCAGTGGCGTAGCAAGGGGGTGACAAGAAAAAGGAGGCGACGCTTACCCCCCAAAAAGACAAAACATCTCTTTGAAAAAGTCTCACTGGTGTTCAAAAGAGCATGGACCCCAATCTTTCCTTTGCTCGACTCGCCATTGCCCCCCCCCACCCAATCTTACAACCATGGATTCGCTACTGTTCTAACTATCAACTGTCTTTTGTTGCCGGTGCAAACGATCCCACCTCTGTCTTTTTATACTTAACTGTACTATTTATTTCATTCGTTCAAAGTATTTGCACCTTTCAACCCAAATTTTGAAATTCACAGAGAGCAAAATTTCCAGATAAATTTTCCGAATCTTATATCTATATTCACTTTTATTTTTAATTATACTTTTTAAAAACTTCCATACCATAAAGGCCTAGATAAAGACTATAGAGTAGCTACTCTTAGAGTACTAAAAGCATCTTTTTTGACCCCACCTTAGTCTATATTCCGCTTTAACTTGGTTTTCCTAACATGCAGTTCTGTGTAAAAAAGCTGCCTGTTGAGCTAAGTTCCAAACGGATGCTCAAGCCCCCAAAAATCTCCATGAGGACCGTACCTGCTATGAGATTGAATATAAAGCAACCTGTATGGTTTTGCCTGTCAAGATTTGTTGCTATATCTGTGTTAAAAATCCGTCACGACGAAATTCTAGAAAGTTGTCCAAAATTTTTTTCGACGAAGTTTATCCGCCGAAAATTTACCTGACGAAGTTTTTTATCTTGCGCCCGCGATCCCTGCTTGGATGTTTCTGCGCATGTACATCTTTTGGCGGGAAAGACGGTAACAATTTTGGCGCCAAGATTGTTGCTTTCCGTCACACAACTCACAGACTTCCTTGTAATCGTGTTAGATAAACAGGTAGGTTGAACGTTTTTTGCAGAAATTATTTTAGAAATTGGAAATATTGATGGGTGTTAATTGGAAATATTGAAAGTACTTTTATTCTGTTCATAGTTCAAACTGTTGATCACGTTTGATGTGAAACTTAGCATCACAGCAACTTGTTATCACAATAAATACAATCGCCATTCATTTTCATTTCATTTTCTCATATTTATACACAGAAAACCTATCAGCTACTAAGTTGAAAAAGAAAAAGTAAAGATTAATTTACATATAATGCTTATCTTGCTTCGGGAAAGGATGCTAATTTTGCAGGAATTCCTTTAATTTCTTTTTGATCTGTAGGCACAGTATTTGAATTACACGATGTAGATTCGCAACACCTCTGCTGTTGTCGTTAAGTTCACGTTGAGAAGTTGAATACTTTGGTTCGAAGCTTTGGAACACTCTTCCACTGTTCATACGCGTTGCAATTGGAGTGTTATTTTATTGATTCATACGCAGAAAGCTTGAGTACCGTCATTTTCTCTAACTCATCTTATCTATCTATAACTTTCCAAGAGAGGACATATATAAATCAAAATGTCTTATCTAAATCACTTATGAATGAACGTTTTCGATTCATTTTCCTTTTATAGAAACGAAAATTCAAAGCATTAAAATGCTGACTGCTAATTCCTTGAAAAGTAGCAAGACTGGAATGCCAAACACAAAAACAGAAATTAAAACAACCAGCAATCATGATGAACATCAATATCTCAACTTGATAAAGCATGTTTTAAGTCATGGAAAGAAGAAGAATGATAGAACCGGTAATGTCTTTGGTAACTTGTTTGCAGATCATTTATTATATAAATAAAGTTCTATTTATACCAAGGCCCGTACCACAGGCTGTGGAATCAGAGTTGAAAATCAGCTTGAATTGTTATAGTTGGGTAAATCTGAATAAATACATTGAATCAAAATCCACAAGTAGGACAGTGACAGCAACATCTTTGTCACTATTAGGGCTCAAAAGAGTGAGTGGAAACCTCCTTTACATTGCAGGCTTCTTCGGTTTCAGATCAATGGCGCTGGCCCTGTATACTATATGATAACTGATAATCTTGTAAATGTTTATCATCGGAGCTAACTGCTTGTTCCTCTGCGATATAGTTCTCAATAATCTATATACAATGATGTAAACTCTTTGGTGTGTAGAACAAACAAGATATTCCAAATCCATAAAAAGTCTATTAAAAAGACTTAATGTAATCATTAATTGAAGCACTTATTGTTTTCTGAATCTAACTCATTTTAGTGCTAATAAATTCTTGATTGCTTGAACCCATTGCAATACACCTAAAGGAATGTCATTTATCATCTCTAGACTATAAAGAATGTTATTATTATTCTAAATTGGGGACTTATTTTAGAGGCAAGAACTAGGGCTAGGAATCATTACTGATAAATATCATTACTTAATATTATATGGATCAATAATTTCCTAGGGACTGGTACTATATCTGTTTTTGGGACCCAAATGCGATTCAGTTTGCGAGAAAATTTCCCATTGTTAACAACAAAGAGAGTTTTTTGGCGTGGAGTAGCTGAGGAGTTGTTGTGGTTCATCAAAGGCAGTACAAATGCAAAAGAGCTTTCAGAAAAGGGTGTCCATATCTGGGATGCGAATGGATCAAAAGAGTTTCTGGAAGGACGAGGTTAGATATTTTTTGTTCTCTTTAGTTAATTAAGTTAATCAAACACAATTGGCCATACACCATTTTTACAAATGTCACAATCCTTGAAATGAAACAAACTGTCTTCTCAGTTCCATAAGAATTTAAGAAAAGAAGATTGCACAGAGAATTCCCTTTTACAAAAAACTAAAAAGATTTGCTCATCAACCATTAGAAATAAAACAGCAATGGGCCTACATCCATCTGTGCTGACTGTAATCCATCTTTACCCAGCCCTAATCCATCTACATTAACCCAGCCTGATCTATTTCATAGGCTTTCCAAATTGAGTTGGTATTTTCAGACTTGCTGTGCAAGAGGTTGGTGTTGCACTAGCCACAATAGTGCATAAAACGAGTATAGATAGGCTAAATTTTATAGCATTTTTATAATAACACACAAGAATGAAAACAGATGGCAAGGTGACAATTAACACAGTGGTAAAAGCTTAGTAGTACCAGTCCTTATAACAAAAAGAAGTTCTGATTATGATTATAGTTTTATACTTAACAGTTGGTACATAATCACACCAATGACACATTACTTGACAGTTACCAGAACATTCTTTGAATCAAACAATTACACACAAACTTTAGAGAGTTGGATTAATCATGCCTCCACCTTGAAAACTTGAAATAGGCAATCAATTCATTCAACCCATTCCCCCTTGTAACTGTTAATTGTTCAGAATTCGGGGCTGTAACATATCAATCTATTCATTATTTGTTAATGGTTCTACAACATTCAAGCATTCGTTTAATTATGTGCGCAATGTTCTGTTTGCAAAAAGAAAACTTCAACTCTTTGTGTAAAGTTAAAAGGGTACCATTCTATAATTTCTTTCCTTGCGAGTACATTAGTAAGCATTGAGTCTTTTCTAGTAAAGGCGAGTGAATTAGGCAAATATTTAATTTAGGTCTTGGGCATAGAGAGGAAGGAGACTTAGGCCCAGTTTATGGCTTTCAGTGGAGACATTTTGGTGCCGAATACTCTGACATGCACGCAAATTATAAAAACAAAGGAATTGATCAGTTAGCAGAAGTAATCAAATTGATAAAAAACAATCCAGATGATAGGAGAATCATCATGTCAGCTTGGAACCCTGTTGGTAAGTTCTGTGTTTTTCTAAATGTATCCATAGCAACTTTGGCATCTTGTATTCTTAACAAGCTTCATATAATCTGTACAGTGTTAGAATCCTTGCCTGTACTTAATTTGTAAAGTAAAACTGTAATTTTTTGTGTAGTTATTGCATTATTTGCTCCATGACCAGATTCCATTGTTGTACATTAAGCTTTAATTGAGTGGTAGGGCAAGGGCAGTGGATTTTACTTAAAGTCGTCTCCCTCATTTAACTGACACAATAATCAAGCTTAACTGACTTAAATTAATATTTCATGCTTTTCTCTTAGATTTACCAAAAATGGCTTTACCTCCATGCCATTCATTTGTCCAATTTTATGTTTGCGATGGTGAACTTTCTTGTCAAATGTACCAGAGATCTGGTGATATTGTAAGTTTCCTTTGTTTATTCAGCTCTTTACTTAACAAAACCTAGCTATGACCTTCTACTTCATAGCAACTGCAGTACAGTTTATTTTTGAAGATCAAATCTTCTAATATTGAAAAAGGAGAAAAATTGTCATTTATATACTTTTTGCATTCAAGTTTCCCAATAACAAAATTAAGTATATTAGAAATGCTGTGTTTTGCTATTCATCCAGCAGGCAAGAACATTAACTATTCAATGAACATATGAACACACATAAGAGGCCCTGCACAATGCATCCTTATTATAAATTCATTCTTTGATGAAAGATAGCTTCTGTACCAGCAAGTTTTTTTGGGAATTTGCAAAAATGAGGATGTTAATTTGGTAGTTTAAAAAAGTCTCTGAGAACAAAAGGCAAAAACATGGACCAACTGCATCATGATATATTTACATCATTTATTGTTATCATTTATAATTTTGAAAATACAGAGGGATTATGATCTGTAAAATACAGACAGAAACAAAGAGTTTTGCAAACAAATAAAGATTTCCTTAATTCTTTATTATTCTATATATATTATCTTTTGCTGGTTTTGTCTGTTTGTATGGATTCTTCTTTCCATTTTGGTACAGTCCACAAAAGACTAGATTTCATGGAATAAAAACATATTCGTTTTCTCTGTATTAGGAAATGCCTCATTGCTTCTTCTCCAGCTGAGAATGCCAATTATCTCCTAGCCTTTAAATGGATTTGATTCTTCATACTATTATTTTATCGATGAGCGGAATATTTGAAAAGGTCATCCACCAAATTGAGACGAATCACTTTATTTTAGGGACTTGGAGTGCCATTCAACATTGCCAGCTATTCTCTGCTCACCTGCATGATTGCTCATGTCTGCAACTTAAAGGTATGTTTGTAATTTTAAAAGCATATGAATTTGACATTGCAAAGTTTGTAGAGTGCAGTGCTGAAATACATATGATTTGAACCTATGATAACATGTTTTCTTGTGCTCTCAGCAGCTAATTGGTACCGGTTGCAAAAACTGTGACTAAAGACATTACCCAATAGTGCTGTTGGCGCTGGGCCTTGCCTTGCCTTGCTGTTCTTATCTTTGTAGAGGTACATTCAGTAGATGTACTTCCTGCAAGCATTTAAAGATATTTAACCTTCTTTGATGCTGGCACTGGTCCAAATTCACCTTTACTTTTTCGGGGTCAAGCATAAAGTGGTCAGAAAACACCTTCCAAATTACCCTTTACCCTATGAAGTCACCTAGCATATATAAGGAGTAAAAGGTTTTACTAAACTTTGAAACCTTTAAATTGAATATACTTGGTTTAATTTAGACTTTTTGCCTCGCCTTTGAAAATTATTAGACAAATGGCTTGTTTTGCAATAATTTTGCAGTTAACCTAAAAGTTAAGATATTGTTGCTAATAGTTGAGATTTTTTGAAGCTTTAGAGAATGTTGCTAAAAATTTCATTGTGATAAACAAAACCTCCCTCTTGTGAAGAAAAGATATTTCTGCCCAACAAACTGAAGGATTTCTTTTTGTTCTCGGGCAACCAATCAAACACGCCAATCTTTCTCTTACGCATCTGGATAAATATTTTCTGCTTAAAGGCAATCTGTCACGACGTTGATTGGTTATAAGAACAAACGGATTTTTATTGTTTCCAGTCCTCCTTTAATTTAGCGCATTGTAAAAAATATGGCGGAGCGCTGGAATCGTGTTTAGGCTATTGTTCCAGCTATTGTTCTTGTTAACCAATCCACAACGAGACAGATTGCCTTTAATTTTGGTCACTGTCCGACGTTTATAGTCCCAGACCAATAGCATCAAAGAATGCTACATTATTTTGCATGAAAATTTAGAATTAAGTAGCTAGAGGCATCTTTCTTGCCAGATCAATATAGAGTTATTTTTCAAAGTCTGTTCAAAGTATACAATTTTTCAAAGTTTACAATGGTTTTAGCGATCACTTTTTAAAAAGTGCTGCATGTACATACTTGTAACGCACACCTTGGACAATGATTTGGTTTTCGATCAAACTCCCTTGTTCTAGTCTTCTAGATATTTAAATGATAAAGACATAGCAACAAAACTTAAGCTAAGGGCCTATTTAAAGAGATATTAAGCAGAATAACTCACAGAATGGTAGGGTGGCGCCAGGTGGGGGGCCCCCCACTTTCTTGCAAAAAAGTGCTTTTGAAGAATAGAAAAGAAATAGAAATAGAAGGAAAAAATAGTGTTATAAATCCTTTTACAGTATTGCTTTATTTCAAAGGAATAAGCAGGGGTCTATGGTTCTCCATAAAGTAAGGAATTCCATTTTAAGACTGGAATTAATCAAACGTAAAAAGCCATGCCTTAAAAAAAGAAGAATGTTTGCAAAAGAGGACCGCAAAGGAATATTCTGAAATGTATTTCTAGCTAGTCTAAAGCTAGTCTAGAGAGTGTGGTTGCAAAGATTTTCTGCTCGCAAGGAAGCCTCCTCTTTGGATATACCTAAGGTCCCCGACAACCTCTCGCCGGCCTTCCAATGTATCGCTAGCATAACGAGTGCTCCATAAAATCATAGGCATAAAATATCGTGAAGCATTTCAATGCGTTTTTCAAAAGTTGGTTTTTTAGTCTAATAATGTTATCAACTCGAGCCCCCTCACTTTGAATTTCTTGGCGCCGCCCCTGCCACAGTTCTTTCTACTTCTGCCTAAAGATTTTGCTTTACTCTGCAGGCTTATAAGAGAGGGGACTTATTAAAAACTTGAAGCAAGAAGTGTTTTAAAAATGACATTGACCATTTTTGTTGTAAAAATGTGATACAAATGTTCTGAAAAAACTTTGCTAGCAGCTTCGAAATTTAATTAATCAATTCTTATCATCAAATAACATTGTAGATTTATGTCTTCAACTTTAAAGCCCATTTTCTCAGGACATCAATTTTGGCACAGAACAGCTCTTCGACAGTGTGACCCATCATCTTGAAATTTGGTGTGCATGTGAACATAACGACGTTCTTAAATTTAGATTGAGCCTTTTTTAATCTAAGCAAAGATGGCAGCTGTTTCCATGGAAACAGTGTTTTTAATAGATATTTTTTCAAATTGCAATGCCTATAAAGGAATCTTTAACAATAAAGGAATTATCTTTACTTTACTGAAAAAATGATGGCCGAATGAAATTAGCAAAAATTAGCATAGATAAGAATCATAAATTTTTTCTACACCAAAGGATTTTAATGTTATACAATAACAGTATGTAACATTTTTTTATTCAATAATGCAAATATAACATCATATATAGCATTTTTGCTCTTATCCTATTCCAGCTTGCAACTGGTCTAGTGACCCCTTAAAAGACTATGGCGCTCTGCTTTGAAAAAGGACGCACCCAGACAGTAAAAAGTGTCCTGTTTCTTTGAGTTCTCTAACACTAGATTCCAAATCTGTGTCTAAGCTAAAGGATTGATTTTATGGATTAAAAACATGAATAAAGCATATGGTCATTATTTGGTAAAGTAAGCTTGACCCAAAAGTCAATGGCTGCGTTGCCATGGTATTTCTCCTTCCCACAAGCTATGAGCATGATTCACCTGGGGTTGACTTAATAGCTTTTAGTAACCTTAATTTATTGATATGGGAGAAACGCATATCAAACACTGATGGGGTTTTTACTGAACATGTATTTCCACGGCAGCCGTGTTAAGACGTCTTCTTTACCTAGTCAACTTTTAATATATCATGAATGGTTGCCAAATCGTGAATGCTGCAACATAAAACCCCTGAATGGAGGTCACGAAGTTATTTATTCTATCTCGTGTTTGATGCTAACCGAAAGCAGCTGAATGTTTCAACGATCTTTTTTTGCTTTGAAAAATGTTCTTGGAGTCTAATCTCATTTAGTCTGGCTTAACTCTAAGAGAGCTTTTTATGAGGCACGTGCATGTTTCCATTGGAAATTGCCAGATTTCTTTTGATGTCAATTACTGAATACTGTCAATAAATTAAATTCATTAAGCTGAACTCCCATAAATGCGAATTTTTAAAGTTTATGTTGATATTTAATTTAGTCTAGATGTCCTCTAAGAGAACTTCAAATTAAGATTGTGTGCAATAGTTGTTGAAAGCTTGGCGACCTCTGGGGTATAAGTCTGTATCCCTGAGGTTGCGATTCCAGGTTTTTTCGTGAGTTTCTTTTTGGTTTGATAAAATTGTACATCCAGGGACCTTGTTTTTAACAATAAAGGCTTTTCGCAAATCTCCGATACAAAATTGACAATATATATGCATGGTAGATCAAAAAGTTTATGTGCCCAACTCTTTGCATACCTTAATGTAGCTTCTTTGGGTATTTTCACTTAAGAAATAACTACTTGGACGGTCGATGTGCCACTTTGACAAGCGACGAGCCAGCTTGGCAAACGAAGGGCCAATCTGACCTGACGGACTATAGATTAGCCTGATAAACAATGAGACAGTCTGACAAATGTGGAGAATTCGGAGTGACGACTGGTCCAGTCTGACGAACGATTCGTTATGGGATTCAGTTTTTGATTGATGAAATTATCGTCACTCTAGAAGTCCATTTCAATGCTTTCATGCCAACACGAAATTTTGTCAAATAATAGTTTCACTAAATTCCGCACATTTCTCTCAGAATATGATCTTCCTTCATAAGCTTTACCCTGTATTACAACCATTTTTTTTATTTTAAATCGTCATGTTTTGGTTTTTAATCTTGCTGCGGCAAAAACAGTTTACTGAGTTAATGGTTATGAATTTTAGCCTGGCGATTTTGTACACACAATTGGCGATGCTCATGTTTACGCAAATCATGTCGATGCATTGAAAATTCAGGTATTTCTCAGCTTTTAGTATTTTGATTGAAATCATATTATTTTATGTCTCTATTTTCCTTTCGTTTTGAAGTAGTGTTTTGAAAACCACTTAAGTTACTCGTAGACTGGTGACTGGCAAGTTCTTCTTTATACTTTTAGTGTAACGAGAATTGCGCATTGTTGTGTTGTTATTTGATGCCGTTTGTTCACTAGTAAATCCATCCATCGGTTACGTGTCATTTCCAACCAGTGTCGTGTCTCATTTTACGTGCAGAGAACACGGAGCCAGAGAAGAGAGACAGTAGGTTGCCTGTATAGCTGAACTGAACTCTGAACTAGAATTACTTACAAATTAACATACTTATAAACAGAAATACTTATATACAGAAATGAATATCTAAAATTAACACGAATGCTATGAAATTGAATAGCGTGGCAAAGATTAAGTAAACAATACGGATTAGCAAATGCGTGAAATGAAAGTGACGTGTAGGATGCCTGTGCTGCTATATGGGGAAATGATGGGATGAATGGTAGGGAAAAATTAACATAAACAGGTCACTACATACTTCTCACGATTAGATCATTTTGACTTTGCCGTCTCTTTGGTGTAGTTGGATAACACTGTTGCCTTTCACCGCAGTGGGCCGACACTTACCGATTCGAGCCACTGCATCACAAAAATACTTGGTTCCCCAAAGCACATTCTACCATTGCAGCCCCCTCAAGGAGTATTTTATCTCTCAGGTGTAATCTCTTTGCCAATTTTTGTCTACTTAGGCCAGTTTTTATTTATTATTTCAATCGAGGGCACTGTCGTTGGGACCATATTGGCAAAATTGTGATAGATAGCTATGTTTCAAACTTGGCTTTTTGATTTGAAGACGCTGTGTCGATTTACGCTGAATAAAACTAAAAAGAGGGTAAAGACAACAATCTATGTTTTACTAATATCTACGCATCATACATTGTTGATTGTTTTTTATTTTGTTTTGCGATCTTTTACAGATTAGCTAAATTTTTTTATTTTTTTGTACGCTGCTTGAAAAAACGAAAAATTGTTTTATTGTGCTAGACTAGCAAGCTTATCCAACGTTCAATAAACTTTAGAATACAGCAGCTCACTAAAAGTCACTGACACCCCCAAAATATATCCAGCCAACTTCTGGTATTGTTCATTGCGTCGCGTGAAGAAGTGTCCTTTTAAAAGTGAAGAGAGTATCGAACGCCATTTGAAATTTTAGTTCGTCTGAATGTTTTGCCTCGTCTGACCCTTAGAACTTACAAAGTGTATTCCTTCCTTGCGAGATTTGAGTAAAATAAAATAACAACTTTGGACAAGAAATGAATATTTGGTTCAACGTTTCGAGTTAAAATCTTCATTAGGTCATAGAGATTTTGGTAAGCCTAACAGAATATTCTACACCTGTAGTTGAAGATTCTTGCACATGTTTCTTCAGTTGGCTGCAAATGCCCAAATAGACCAGGCGGAGAATGGGGATAGGGTCCCCCCTCGGGGAAGTAATTCTAATTAGGTGGGTTTGAGTAATTTTGGGGTGCTGATTCCGAAAATCGATGTTATACGGGCAAGTTGGGGGGCCTTCAGCCTCTATTTCATACAAAAGTCTCGTTTTCAATCAAAATAGAGCAAGTTGCTTTTTAAGGGTCCATCCTTTGGGGAAGTATCTAAAATTCATTGGATCTAGATAATTTTAGAATGCTGATTCCAAAATTCGATATTATAAGTACGTATAAGGATGCGTTTGGCCTCAATTCCTTGTTTAAATCTCGTTTTCACGCAAAAGGGCAGAAGTGGCTTGATAAGATTCCTCCCAATTAAGAAATTTTTCCAAATTTAGCGCAATAGGGTTATTGTGGTGTACTGATTCTAAAAAATAATGTTTTGAGGCCTTTTGGGGGTCTTTTTGGCTCCACTTCTAACAAAGTATCGTACATTGCATCACATTACAGTACACCAAATTGTAACACCTAATCTGAAAGCAAATGAAACTGCAATGCCTGTGATTCATGTTTGTTGTTGGTATGTCTCAAGATCCTCAGATTGTTTTTGTGAAATGGTGATTGCGATCAACATTTCTGCTAAATGACATCTAAAAGAACTTGTATCGTTTACTATGAATCAATAAGCAAGTCCGAAAATCTCGTTAAAGGAAGCTTTTTAATCTTAATCATTGATTGGGTAAAGCGTAATTCACCAAAACCTTAGTGAAGAGAATTATCACAGAGAACAATGTGAGAACCTTGCACAACATTTTGAACATGATGAGTTATTCTACGATCAAGGATGCTATCAGAGATTCACTTATGCAAAAGCATTGATGAGGAGAAAGTTAATGGAAGGCGAAGAGACTGAAACAAGAAGCGAAGTTTACACGTGGAGAAGGCCGGGCCAAGGAGGCTTTTTCCGGACATTTGTATGATATGTAAGAAGAAGGTTTCAAAAGTGAATGCTATTCCACAGTCGCTATCTAAGATTGTAACAGAAGCTGGTGAGAGTACTTTGAAATAATCTGCCAAGGTTAGAGACGACTATGACGTGATTATTGCAGTTTCAGAAACCAAAAAAAAAATGCTATTTAGATTACACCAAGATTATTCGACAAAAAGCCTCTACAGTAACATCTACTGACGACGACGATGAAACATTTGGTAACTTTGATGCAGTACCGTCGTTGATTGAAAATGATATTCTTGAAGGTCAGCAGTGCTTGTCAATGGAGACCATCATTGTAGAGAACAATGAAACAATTGGAAAGCAAACAGATCCGATATAAGCTAAAAGAGCTTTCGAAGCTATATGGAGATAATAAGTTTTTTTCCAGGTGCAGCTCCAAATACCGCAAGTTGTTATAAGTAAGGTATGTCTTCATGCTCCAATACTATCCAAAAAATCCGGCTTCTTTCAAGAGTTCATAGTAAAAAGAGCTGCTTTTATCTTGTGTGAACTGATATTGATATTCATCAATGATAGATTGCCTCTTTCTTGGCCTCCAACTGTTGAAAGCTTTGGATCTAGAGAAGCATCACCAAGTCCCAAATTGTTGGAAGTGTTATTAAAAGAAAGCCATCACAATTCTAGTGAAAGAGTTAATCGTTTTGCTGGTTCACTTAACCAAGATGTTGTGTATACGGTATCAAAGGGAAAGTTCTTGACTCCAAAGCATGCTTCACATTCTTACTGGTCAAAAGCAGCCAATCACAGTTTTGGCCAGATTGAGCCATTGCATAACGTTGCAGTCCAGACATGATAGTTTCTCGCAATTTTATTAATTTTCTACAGAATGGAGAAAACAGAACCATGCACATTAATTCAAAGAGCGATAAAAGAAGCCAAAAGTTAGTTACAAGGAAAGACCGTCCTCTTTTCGAACGAAAACAATTGCACCAAAGTGACGGAAGATGAAGTTGTCATAGATGAAAGAATGAAGAGCAATCACGAAGAAGCATATACAAAGCTGATTGCTTTAGTGAAAGCAGCAAACCTAAGGAATGGGGATTCTGTCAGATCACCTTCCTTCCGGGGATATCAATGTCCTATCCCTCTTTGTTGACCTTGATTTTGCGGGAATTCAAGTATTGATTGATAACGGAACAGGTCTAAATAGGAAAATTGTAATTGTAGCGTCTTCAACACTGTGACATCAAGAAACGAGGAGAGCACTAATCGGTCTTCTTGCATTTTCAGGAAAAGACTATGTTTCTATTTTTTTGAAAAGGGAAAATAGCTTTTTAGAGACAAATGGCAAAAAGATAGATTACCTAAATATATTTACGAATCTGGGGACCACGCTTCAAGTACCCGAAAAAGTTGAGAAGGGATTGGAAAAGTTTATATACGTATTTTATGGAAACGAAAGGATGCAAACGGTAAACGATGTGAGGAAGAAATGTTTTTGCAGAGTTTACGAATGAAAAGAAAATAACCGATTTAAGCTTGCTGCCACCTTGAATTTAAAGCTCAGAATCAGCGATCAAGTCGCTTAACGGTGGATATGGACAACCCAGCTAATCATGGATGGGATGAAAGCTGATCAGTTGTTTGGAGTGATGTATGCTACCCAGCTGATGTTGCAGAGCTGCTGAATAACGAAATTGTGTCTACCGATGATAACGACAGGGCAAGTCTAATTGACGGCAATGGTAGAGAAAACGATTTTAATGAAGATATCATTGATTTGTACAATGCATCATCATAATAAATTCACAAAATATACATTTTCTATACATAGATTGGAGGAAACTGGTTTGATAGATTGATAGATGATTTATAGTATAGTTGAATTCTATAGCGGCTAATGCTCAAAAGTGTTTTTTGAATACGAGACTTTGTTATGAATTGGAGCCAAAAAGACCCCCAAAAGACCTTAAAACATTATTTTTAGAATCAGTACACCGTAATTACCCTATTGCGCTAAATTTAGAAAACTTTCTTTATTGGGAGGAATCTTATCAAGCCGCTTCTGTCCTTTTGCGTGAAAACGAGATTTAAACAAGGAATTGAGGCCAAACGCCTCCTTATACGTACTTATAATATCGAATTTTGGAATCAGCATTCTAAAATTATCTAGATCCAGTGAATTTTAGATACTTCACCGAAGGGTTGGCCCTTAAAAAGCAACTTGCTCTATTTTGATTGAAAACGAGACTTTGGTATGAAATAGAGGCTGAAGGCCCCCAACTTGCCCGTATAACATCGATTTTCGGAATCAGCACCCCAAAATTACTCAAACCCACCTAATTAGAATTACTTCCCCGAGGGGGGACCCTACCCCCATTCTCCGCCTGGTCTAAAAGGCAGAGTACAGGGATTATCTGACCTTTCAATCACTTGCGCGGCAATCTCCGGATTTACTCAACCTGCAATGCCTTGGGGGAAATCTCTAATAGTGATTACAATACACCAATTCGACCTACGGCCTCATTTTAAAAAATTCTCCGAATTCTTTTGTACAAAATTTTTGACCTCAGATTCGGATTGACAGCAATGATTTTAGTCTACTTGTAAGTTTTCATTATGATATTGCTCACAATGTTGATTTTATGACGACATAAAGATGAAAATTTTATATGGGATTTGACCGTGATTGGCAACTAGGGGGGTAAAGTTCCCCCCGAAACGATTTTTGCAGTCAAATCCCTTACAGGTTTTCAAACTTCATTTCTCCGTAAAAACCAAAATACAAGCTCAAACAATATAAAAAATGGTATCCCGCCTAAAATTGTGACGATAAAACCAAATCTTAGCTTAAAAAAGTCGTATAATCAAGTTTGGAGAAATTTCCAAAACGAAGTCGTAAGTCGAATTGGTGTATAACCAGAAATGTAAAATTCATTAGCAGTAGGCACGTAGAACATTATCTTTAGATATGATCTTTCTTCCCAAATAAATGATAACAGTTAAAACGTCCTCATCTTTATTAACCTCAATTTTTTCTATGAATTGTGAAGATGTATTCTTTTTTCCTACGAGGTTATTTTTGTTTATTTAATTGACTTGTTAATTATTTCATCTCTTTTGTTACTTAGATCGAGCGTGAGCCGAGACCGTTCCCTACTTTGAAATTTAAGCGGAATATTACAGACATTGATGATTTCAAATTTGAAGACTTTGAACTCGAGGGATACAAACCACATCCAAAAATTAAAATGGAGATGGCAGTTTAATGGAAAAAATCTTGAATGACAACCATATGGGTCTTGTTGTTCTCTAACACCAGCCTATATGTCCCCATAGTTTGGTTCTCAAAGACACACCCTGTCATTTTGTTATCTGTTCTCTAATTGATATGAACATTTATAAACAAAAAAATACTCGGTGTTTTATCAAATATTTTTGTACCTGTGAACTGTTTGTATATATTTACAATTGTGTGACGTATTGTAATCTTATAATTCTTGTAATATTTTTTAGCTAATTAGTTCAGCAAATATGCAAGGTTATTTTTTTGGCTTTAATTCTGATAAAAGGCGAAGTGGTTTGTAAGAACAGCCTGCTTGGTTTCTTATAAATGGACAAGAAAAGTATAACAGTATGAAGGATATCAACCTCTACGAATGTCAACCTATAACGATATTCACTTAGCGGGATATCAACCTCCTGGGATATCAACTTCCAGGGATATCAACCTCTAGGGATATTAACTTCTAGGGATATTAACCTCTAGGGATATTAACCTCCAGGGATATCAACCTCTACGGATGTCAACCTCTAACGATATTCACTTAGAGGGATATCAACTTCCAGGGATATTAACCTCTAGGGATATTAACCTCCAGGGATATCAACTTCTAGGGATATTAACCTCTAGGGATATTAACCTCCAGGGATATCAGCCTCCAGGGATATCAACCTCCAGGGATATCAACCTCCAGGGATATCAACTTCCAGGGATATCAACCTCTAGGGATATCAACTTCTAGGGATATCAACTTCCAGGGATATCAACCTCTAGGGATATTAACTTCTAGGGATATTAACCTCTAGGGATATTAACCTCCAGGGATATCAACCTCTACGGATGTCAACCTCTAACGATATTCACTTAGAGGGATATCAACTTCCAGGGATATTAACCTCTAGGGATATTAACCTCCAGGGATATCAACTTCTAGGGATATTAACCTCTAGGGATATTAACCTCCAGGGATATCAGCCTCCAGGGATATCAACCTCCAGGGATATCAACCTCCAGGGATATCAACTTCCAGGGATATCAACCTCTAGGGATATCAACTTCTAGGGATATCAACTTCCAGGGATATCAACCTCTAGGGATATTAACTTCTAGGGATATTAACCTCTAGGGATATTAACCTCCAGGGATATCAACCTCTACGGATGTCAACCTCTAACGATATTCACTTAGAGGGATATCAACTTCCAGGGATATTAACCTCTAGGGATATTAACCTCCAGGGATATCAACTTCTAGGGATATTAACCTCTAGGGATATTAACCTCCAGGGATATCAGCCTCCAGGGATATCAACCTCCAGGGATATCAACCTCCAGGGATATCAACTTCCAGGGATATCAACCTCTAGGGATATCAACTTCTAGGGATATCAACTTCCAGGGATATCAACCTCTAGGGATATTAACTTCTAGGGATATTAACCTCTAGGGATATTAACCTCCAGGGATATCAACCTCTACGGATGTCAACCTCTAACGATATTCACTTAGAGGGATATCAACCTCCTGGGATATCAGCTTCCAGGGATATCAACCTCCAGGGATATCAACTTCCAGGGATATCAACCTCTAGGGATATTAACCTCGAGGGATATCAACCTCCAGGAATATCAACCTCTAGGGATATCAACCTCCAGGTATACAAACTCTAGGGATATTAACCTCGAGAGATATCAACCCTGTCATTATTTGGCCATGATTGATGTATCATAATCATCATATCTGGGAATCCTCAAAGGTTTGTCTTTTAAAAAGATTTTGCATGTCACAAAGGGCTTCTCGATCATGGATGCACTTGACACCATTGTTAGCCTAATTCAATCTTGCGTCGCATTATAAAAAATTGTCTGATAATCATTTCTTAAGCTTTAAGGTACATTTAAATATATGCGGTCAGTTATTCTAAATTATGCTTGAATGAATCCCCCAGCTTAAAGCCGTAAAATCCTGATTATTGGTCAATTAATCTGTGTCACCACAGTCAGCTGTTCTCAAAGATAGTATATTTGGAGGCAGGCAAACACTCTTCAACATATATGCTTAAAACTTGGGCTTGTCTGATGACGATTTGGTCTTCAACGTTCAATTTTGCAACGATTGCTCTTTGAGATGAGAAACATGTCCAAACTATTGTGTTTTCATAGCACAAGGAAAGGTTTGCTATTTTCACTTTTGATTTTACGTTGGTGTGAAATTATTTTTGTTAACCTAACCAGTGTTTTGTTTATCGTGGAAATTCAGGCCAATTGGCTCTGTTGATTTGTGATAAGGACGATGCACAACAAATGCGATGTGAAATAATTATTGCAAGTGCCAAAAGTGCATTTTAGACGCAAATTACACTCGTAGAAATGCAGCCTGCATTTTCTAATCTAGCTGTGTTTTGTTGAAGTAAAGACGTGTAGAAAGCTGCATTTGTGCTGGAATAGCAGGAATCTTCGTTTATGTCATGGTACCAGATATTGCAAAGCTTACAAATATTTCGAGGTTCATAAAATGTCATCAACTTTAGGAGATTTTGTTTCCTTTCGCCTTGTCTTGAAATACTCGCAGTCTGAATTTGAAGAAAGGGCTGCATCAGGTATTGCTTTTGCAATTGTTAAGCTTTTGCAAGTGATGAATTAAGTTTAGTTTGCTGTTTTTCTCAGTTGTCTCCCCAACTGCGTACTCTTAAATGTCTAGATACTGAAGCAAGCACTGGTGTACGAGCAACAAAGAGGTCGCGCTGGCCTACTGTGTCTTCATGACTTGCGCCAGAGTTTTGTTTGACTGGCGGTTAATTCAAACGATTCTAGGGACTGTTTGTTCTTCATTTCCCTGCCCGTACGCTTAGGAGAATCTTTATGAATTCTTCGATTGTCCAAAATTTAATGCAAATGAACAATAATAAATCGTTCAAAAACAGGAAACGATAACATCCACAGCTAAAGATATTGAGATGATAAAATACAGCTTTGGATGCCTTTCTGTAATCACGAATCGTAGAGATAAGAACTTATTTAACTGTGAAATATTCTTGATACCGAGAAGATTTAGAAATAGGCGTGTCTACTCGTTTATGACTGACAGATCAAACGCTGGTGCGATGGAAAATGGTTTGCAAAACTATTCGATACGAGCATGGAATTTGTATTTTGAGTTTGCATCACTGATATTGAGTTTGTGGCAGTGTGGCTAATTAAATCAGAGTGTTAGCAATGCTGAATTCACCGAGTTTTGCAAAAATACACATGCAGGTGATTATTTTGCGTTTCTTTATCGCCATTTTCAAGAAGAAAAACAATTTGATCGCCCTGAAATCTGGAACAAACGATTCTGATTGAGCCCCAAAGCAACTGATAAGGTATGGAAGGGGGCCGGAGTGTGTTTTCTTCTGCGCCCTCATTTTTTCTCCTAGAATCTTAAAGCTACGTAAGGGGCTAGCCTGGTTGCTTATAGGTCAAACTCAAGGATCCAAACAAAGGTATCTTTAAATTTTTATGTTCCTTTCTATCCACATCTGGCTATACATTTTCTGCTTACGTTTTTCTTCCGACGTCTACATTCTACGGAGTGCCAAACGAAGTTTTGTTGGCCCCTGAAGTGCATTTTTAGATATGATAAAAACCTAACCAGCCGAAGTGAACAGGAGCAATAAGCCTGAAGAAATTAAGTGGAACTTTGTTGCAGTAAGACATACATATGAGAGAGAGGGTTATCGAGAGAACAAATGGAGGAACGAAGAAAATCTAAAAAGGTTAATGTGATTATACAGTCTCTTTTTTCCAAAATATCTCAACTCGAAAGGCAATACAAGCAACTCAGACAGTATTTGGTAATTCAAGTTTATAGCTCCAGTCAAATGTCTTCCTGCATTCTTTCTTTGTCCGGATATCTTGATAAAGATACAGTGCAGATCACGATCTAATCTTAGCAAAACTAGATGCCTATGGATTTAGTCGGAATGCTCTAAATTTGATATGTAGCTACCTTTCTGATAGGAGACAAAGAGTGAATGTAAATGGTACATCCAGCACCTTGTGTTACTCAAAAAAATAGGAGTACCATAGGGATCAGTATTAGGGCCCATCCTCTTCAATATCTTTATCAACGATATTTTTATCTAGTGAATGATGCTAAAGTATGCAATTACGCAGACGATACCACGTAATATTTTGGAGATAAGAACCTTAGGATAGTGCCTTTAAAAATTAGAAAAACACACTTCTACTCTCAGAATGGTTCTTTGACAATTTCATGAAACTAAATGAAGAAAAGAGTCACCTTATGATTTTCGGAGCAAAAAATTGTGGAAGTACACTAAATATTGGTGCCTCGCAAATATTAGAATCTGAAATTGAAAAATTACTTGGTGTAACATTAGATTCCAAGCTAGATTTTAATGCTCATACTGATCAACTCTGTGTGAAGCAAACTTTTGATTTTGGTGTTGCCTCTTTGCGCTGAGTCGTCAGAAACAGACTTATTTCGTTGTCTCATTTTTCCTTTGTTTTGATTCCTTTGTTTTGAATCTGTTATACTCGAGACGTTTACACCTTGTAACCCTGTACTGCGTTATTCTCTAGATCACTGCACCATTTTGCACGTCTGAGACCACAAAATACGTAAAAATGCGTCAGTGAGTAGTTGAGTTTCATGAATTACAGCTTGGTGGTATTAAAAAAGCCAAAGAACCTTTTGCAAACAAGATTGCTTTAATTCATTCCAACAGCACTGAAAATCCTCACGGATAACTAGATTATTACCAAAAATCTACTTACACAACTGCCTTATGACGTGGTCTCTCACAGGACATGCTTCAAATCTAAACATCCATTAGTAGAATTGAAGATATTAATTGAAAATCCTACGAATTCCACTAACACTCTTACCTTGATATCTTTGCTTTTACACCTTGAGTAAATCACCGAAAATCATGCAACTTATCTGAAATATGATACATATGTAAGATGCTACTAATTACATAGAGCGAGGCAGAGCAAGGCAAGGAAGCCCAGCAAAGGATGTTTCAACAATTTTGATTCTCTTAAATATATGCATTAGCCCCACATAGTGGAGGAACCTGCTGGAGCCTATGGATGATTCTTCATTTTTAAATCATTCCAATCAAGAGGCGAGATAGCGGGGGGCTAAGGTGCTTGAGCCCCTCTATAAATTTTTAAAGAAACACTTACTGTATTTTCAAAAAGTACTTTTGATAATCCATCTTTTCTATAAAATGGTGGAAATCAAGCCCCCCCCATATTTTGAAACCATTTTCAGCCATTGATTTCAATAATATTTAATTGTAATAGTGTTTTTTTTCTAGGTGAAGACGAAAAAATATGACCTCCTCCTCCAATCCAGTACATTTTTATCAATAGTTTAAAAAACGTGTTGTCTATGTTTGTTCTTAACTCGATTTCTTTTTGTGACCCCTTTTGAGATTCCTTGCAAGCATATGAAATTTCTATGTTTGTCTTTTGCTTCTCGTGTTTTTAATATCACAGTAAAGTCGCATTCTTGATTACAGGGGACGATAGCAGTAGCTTATTGTTCAGGCTGCAGCACTTTTTATAACAGCAAATTCCAGGCTTGTGCTCCAGGTGTTGCAAGTGTTCTAGGTGGTCATTCATCCAAGGATTTGAAGCTGGTGGATTTGAATGCCTAGAATTGCTGGTGTTTTTTAACAATTTTTCATTTGAGGAAGCGCTCTTTTCGTAGCACTATAGTCCCTTAGTTTATTTACTTCATATAATTTTTAGAGCAAGGTCTTAGACAATACCAAGCAACATGACTTTCCATCCACCTCCAAATAAACGACAAGCTTCCTGTTCTCTAACAATGTCAAAGCTATTTTAGCAAGACGTGCGTAAATCAGTGTCATCATGTTCTTCATTTTTGATGACAGTGGTTAGATCATTGATTTACGAAAGAAACAACAGCATCCCCAGAATTCAACCCTGTGGCACTCCATGCTTGACCAATTGGCTTTCAGCTTTCAAATTTTTACAATTAACTGTCTGTCATCATCCATCAGATATGTATTAATGTAGAAAATATTTTAATCAGTGATATTGTAAGTGAGGTTTTGTCCGTTTTTGCAGTCAAAATCTTTCTGTGAACAAACAAATACAAATTCAGTTGATTTTCAAACATTTCTTGCTTGATAAATATTGTCTGTAAACAGTGTAAAGACAAGCTCTGCACTATATCTCATCCTGAAACAAAGTTGACAAGATGATAATATATTATTATAATGAATCTTAGGAGAGGCCAAGGAATCTTCAGAGGAAAGCGAAGAGACAGCTATCCAAGAGGTCAGCCGATTTTAACAACCCTTGTAAACGAGTGTTGCTAACAGGTTCTCTTTCCCTGGAATAAATGCAACTGGGATAATGCAGATCTATATAATGAAAATGGCACTAAGCTACTGTTGAAACCAGGGTAACGTAACTAGTGCTTGGAAGGACCATTACAATATTCAATATATGCCAGATATCATTCTGTCACTATACGTATGTCCGGGGGGGGGAGAGGGGTAAACGTTTATGGTCTAGACAAGCATCCACCCTTACCCTTTTTAGGTATATATTTTTCCTTCCCTATATTTATCCTTTCAAATTTGACCCCTTCTTTCCCCTCTTTCCCCTTCTGAATTATGGCGCTTTTCATTTAAAGTATGCAACAAGGGCCAAGATATGTTTCGAAATGTGGGGAAGAGGGCTTCTGTTTTCTTAGATAAAGTAAATACTTCAGCTTAAAGTAATGTCCTTCAATTACGTATTATGAGGTTAAAATCTAAGCACTTGCTGGCATCAGTATTTTGTGAAAAGGGGGGTTTAAACCTTCTAGCCCCCACTATCTCGGCCCTTTATATGCAAATATATGAGAAGCCAATGCATGATTAGGCTTTAAAGGAGGAATCTACTTTTTTCAGAAGTACAAATGGGTAACAGACATTTCTCCAAAGCCGTCCGATCTCTGGATTCAGAAAGCGGTGACTCTGTTCAGTCGGTTTGATCGAGATGGGGATGGTTACCTTAGTAGTAAAGACATAACCATCTACGTCAATGCTTTTACTAAACACGGTTGTTTGACAAGGGAAAGAGCAAACCGGATGCGGGACAAGACGCTCAGTTTCTGGAAGCTCCTGAACAATGGTGCAAAAGAAGTGGCACTGGCTGATTTTGTTAAGGTGATGACGGTTTCTCACTAGCCGGAATACACCGAGCTTGTTTCTTGACTGGGTGCTGTTCTACGATTTTATTGGCTGGCGCCACTGTGCGCGGTGCGCAATTAAAATCAGTCCGACTTTCTGTGTGCAGGGCGTAAAATTTTTCCAACAATAGAAGCAGCTCTAATCCAGCCCGGAATGTTCTGCCTAGTGGAAAACCGCCTTAAAAGCTTTAGATACTTGTAATTCAGCTTGTCATTCATTGTAATCAAGCATAAGCTTGTACTTCATTGAGCTTTGAAGACATCACCTTCAGAAGAGAGAATAGAAGGGGGAAGAGAGAAGAGAAGAGAGAAGACAGACAGGAGAAGAGAGGAGAAGAGAGGAGAAGAGAGGAGAAGAGAGGAGAAGAGAGGAGAAGAAAGGAGAAGAGAAGAGGAAATAGAAGGGAAAAGAAGAGATGAGAAGAGAGAATAGAAGAGACAAGAGCAGAGAGAAGCAAGAAGACAGAAGGGAGAAGAGAATGGAAGGGAAGAGAAGAGAAGAGTGAAGACAGACGGGAGAAGAGAAGGGAAGAGAAGAGAAGAGAGAAGACAGAAGACAGACGGGAGAAGAGAAGAGAAGGGAAGGGAAGGGAAGGGAAGAGAAAAGAAGAGAAGAGAAGAGAAGAGAAGAGAGAAGGCAGAAGACAGACAGGAGAAGAGAAATGGAAAGCAAAGGAAAGAGAAAGGAAAAGAAGGGAAAAGAAGGGAAGAAATGAAGAGAAGGAGAAGAAAGAGATCAGAATAGAAAATAGAAGAGAAAAGAGAGGAAAAGAGAGGAGAAGAGAAGAAGGAAGAGAGAGGAGAATAGAAGAGGCAAGAGAAGGGAGAGGCAGAGTGAGAAGGAGAAGAGAGAAAGGCGAAGAAAAGAGAAAGTATGAGAAAAAGGGAATTAGATGAGATAGGGGGAAGAGAAGAGAAACAAAGAGAAAAGAAGTGAAAGGTAGAGAAAAAAGAGAAGAGAAGAACTGAGAGAGAGGAGAAGTGAGAAGAATTAGAGAGGTATCAGTTTCTTTCAATCCAATTTTTTGCTAGAAAAGGTAATAGAATACAGTTTTGGCAATTTTAATTGATTTGAGGGGATGGAGGGAGGATGGCTAAGTGCAGCTGCAGCCAGCTATAAACGACCTAAACTTTAATGCTCATATTAAATTGAATATTTCGAGCATCATTATATGAAGGAATTGCCTGAAAAAGTATCAGAATAAGCTAATTCTTCTATGAGACAGAATTGACAAAACGTGACAGAAAAGCAGACACAAGTCATCTTTTCGCGGGATTGTGCAATAACGTACCTATCTTTTGAGAATAAAAAATCTTTCAGTCTAGGGTACCATCTGGAAAAGAGATTGATATGGAAAAGGTGAAGAAGAATCTTGAAGATGCCGCCACGTTGATGTTTTACTCAATAGATGCAGATGAAGACGGCACCTTGAGTCTGCAGGAACTGGTCCTGTTTTTCAAATGCATTGATGTGAAAGAGTCCTTTGCGCGGGAAATCTTCGCAACATTGGATCTTGATAAAGACCGGAAGATAAACAGAGGCGAATTCTTATTTGCTTTCAATGACTACATGCACAACGAAGAGGAGTCTCCATGCAAAGATCTCTTCGGGCCATTGGCCACGATTTAGGTGCTTCATCAAAAGGTCACCAAAGAAACAAGAGGTTGACTTGAAATTTGCTATCAAAACTTGTTCAAGTTAAGTAGCAGCATTGTTTTTAAAGATGCCATTCCAGGTATCAATTTGCATCAGTATTGTTCCGGTAATAATCCCAAACAGGAACCTGAAGAATGATTCGTCTTAACAATCTTGTTTTGGGATTCTTAAATTTGGATCCCACAACCTGAAAGAGCATCATGAAATACCTCTAAATGTTCAAGGACAGTTAAATTTGTTATAAGTTATTATATTTCCCCCCACACCACTGTAACTTGGTCCCGAAGTTCTTGCATCAAATGTGATCAAAATCAGAACACACTTCGAATATTTTGGGAGGATATTTTATGCTGTTCTTTCAGAATTTGGTCAAAATGTTAAAATTCTAAATTTAACTATACGCCGATGACAAAGAATGCGAAAATAAATTACTATCTTTGGCCGGAATAAAGTAAATTCATCTAAAAATTTGTTTTGTTTACTTATGCCTTAAAAGAAGAGAAATTTATGACAAAAATTGTTTAAATACTGCTTTTCATAGATATTTATACAGCCCATAAGCCAATGTCTTTTTCCATCAATTTTTTTGGCAAAGTCAATTATACTTCTTACAACCCTAATAGTTTCATTACGAAGTATTCAACAGTTTTTGGACTTCAGCATTTACCTATAGAATTATCTTGCTCATTAGGTTCCATTATCTCAAACTTCATCTTATTTGAAAAATGTATTGGGACATGATTCAAAATATTTTTATTATCCATGGAAAAGTGATTGAGTTGTGTAGCTGTTACAGCTATATTACCACATGTGACACAGACGTGAAAAAGGGGTAAAATTTGAAAAGATTAGATTGTGGCAAGGCATCCAATATGATATTCCCTAGAAATTCCTTAATGATTCGCTTTATGCAAAGGATGCAGATAAAGTCGTAATAGTTTTAAAATATCATTAAGTATAAAGAACATAATTTTGTCGAGCCAGATTTGAAAAGGTCTAATGAGTTTCATGGACTGCCTGATATTGCTCGATATTCCTTATTATCTCATACACTATCAATTGAACAGATTTGCTCGTAAAGGGATGACACCCACACTTACCAGTGCCAAATAAACTACAATTTTTCTTTACGTTGCAGTCTAACACTTTCTGTCTTACACTGAAATCGTCTAAGGGGTCAGCAGGCTGCAAAAGTGTTAATTTGCCCAGTGCACATTTTCTCGCCTGGAATATTGTCATCCCTTGCCCTTTATCTAGTATTTCCTTTTCGAAGCAATTATAAATCGAAGCAATTTATTAGTATTATAACTGTGATTAAAACCTATAATCTATACAATACGAATGTACTTTTACTGTTTTTCATAATAGATTGTGATTCAACTTCACTTCTATTTCTGTATACACTTTATAGACTGTACAAGCTATCATTCCGTGCACCTCTTTTGTGGTTCTAAAATTTGGAAACAAGTACATAAACCTTTGCCAAAAGTCCTAATCTTAAAAATGAAAGAAACAGGGCTGGTTCTTGCCTTCTTAGAGTTCGTTCTTAGCTTTTTGATTCTTAGACATTCCAAACATTTCATCAGGGTTGATCTTTGTTTTCTGAGAGCTTGCTTTTATTTTCTAAAAGTTTGTTTTGTGTGTCTTTCTGTTTTCTTACACTTTGCTTATGCTTTTAGAGTTTGCTATTCTGTTCTTATAGTCTGCTTTTGTAGAGTTCTTTTTGGTTATTTTAAACTTCAATTGCTTTTTAGAGTTTGCTTTTGATATCTGAGAGTTTGCTTTTGTCATTTTAGAGTTCTTTTTTATTCTTATAAAATTTGCTATTGTTTCATAACTGTGCTTTGGTTTTTTTGCTTTTTAGAGTTTGCTTTTGATATCTGCGAGTTTGCTTTTGTCATTTTAGAGTTCTTTTTTGTTCTTATAAAATTTGCTATTGTTTTATAACTGTGCTTTTGTTTTTTTGCTTTTTAGAGTTTGCTTTTGATATCTGAGAGTTTGCTTTTGTCATTTTAGAGTTCTTTTTTGTTCTTATAAAATTTGCTATTGTTTTATAACTGTGCTTTTGTTTTTTTGCTTTTTAGAGTTTGCTTTTGATATCTGAGAGTTTGCTTTTGTCATTTTAGAGTTCTTTTTTATTCTTATAAAATTTGCTATTGTTTTATAACTGTGCTTTTGTTTTTTTTGCTTTTTAGAGTTTGCTTTTGATATCTGAGAGTTTGCTTTTGTTATTTTAGAGTTCTTTTTTGTTCTTATTAAGTTTGCTATTGTTTCATAACTGAGCTTCTGTTTTTTTTGCTTTTTAGAGTTTGCTTTTGATATCTGAGAGTTTGCTTTTGTTATTTTAGAGTTCTTTTTTGTTCTTATTAAGTTTGCTATTGTTTCATAACTGAGCTTCTGTTTTTTTTGCTTTTTAGAGTTTGCTTTTGATATCTGAGAGTTTGCTTTTGTTATTTTAGAGTTCTTTTTTGTTCTTATAAAGTTTGCTATTGTTTCATAACTGAGCTCTTGTTTTTTTGCTTTTTAGTGTTTGCTTTTGATATCTGAGAGTTTGCTTTTGTCATTTTGGAGTTCTTTTATGTTCTTATAAAGTTTGCTATTGTTTCATAACTGAGCTTTTGCTTTTTTTGCTTTTTAGAGTTTGCTTTTGATATCTGAGAGTTTGCTTTTGTCATTTTGGAGTTCTTTTTTGTTCTTATAAAGTTTGCTATTGTTTCATAACTGAGCTTTTGTTTTTTTTTGCTTTTTAGAGTTTGCTTTTGTAATCTGAGAGTTTGATTTTGTCATTTTAGAGTTCTTTTTTGTTTTTATAGAGTTTTCTATTGTTTTATAACTGTGCTTTTGCTTTTTTAGACTTAGATTGTTTCTCAAGGTTTGCTATTGTTATCTTTAACCTTGCTGTTGTCGTTTTAAAGTTTTTTTTGGTTAATTAGAACATAGAGTTTGCTATTGCTTCATAACTGGGCTTTTGTGTTTTTGCTTTTTAGAGTTTGTCTTTTATATTTGAGGGTTTGTTTTTGTCTTTTTAGAGTTTGCTGATGTTTTCTTAGTGGGCTCTTTCTTTTAGACTTCGATTAAATTTTTAGAGTTTTCTTTTTCATCTGAGAGATTGATTTTGTCTTTTTAGAATGTTTTTGTTTTCGAAATGTTGCTTTTGTTTCCTTAGTGAGCTCTCGTTCTTTTAGACTTCGATTGCTATTTAGAGTTTATTTTTTTATCTTACGGGTTGCTTTTGTTAAATTAGAGTTTGCTCAAGTCTTTTCAGAGTTCGTTTTTTTCCTCGAGTTTGCTCTTGGTTAGTTCGAGTTTGCTTTTATCTTTTCAGGGCTCGTTCTGTTTTCTTCTTTAGCATACTTTTATTTTACTCGAAGTTCACATTCCTGCAGTGGGATAACACCGCCTCTTCCGATACATATCCGCTCAGTATTAAATGGCCTATTCCTTATATCATCAAGACTGTGTTATAGTATTCTATTTTGGTTGCTAGGTAATAATTCGCAGAGACTGTGTACCGGATTTGAGTGGGTCCGGACAAAAAAACCGTGCTCTCTATTATTTAATTAATATAAACAGATTAAGTAAGGGAGAAGAAAACGCAAGAAATGTTCAAAATTCTTGTTAATTCAAAAAACTTTTAACTAATGATAAATAGAAAGGCAATGTCTATAATAACATAAAATCTAAATAGCTATCATTATGGATTATTTAGAAACAGAACGCGTGAAAGAAAACTAGTGAAAAGTACACATTAAATACAGTAATACAATAACTTATTTTGATATGTAGCTGGCTCGCATATGGTTCTTACCTTATGTCTCTTTGTTTACAATTCATTTGGTCAGGATGAAGATTCCTCTAAAATTCACGTCTACTTGGCTAGAATCTCGGTAATGCGGTAATGCGGTAATGTGTTAATGCGGTAATGCGGTAACCCCTCTTTCATTTTTAATGATGCCGTTAGGGTAGATCGCTGTTTATCAGAAAGATTTTACTAAAACTTCTCGCGTTCAATGAAAATTCAGAAAAATATTTGAAAAGGCTAAACTAGCGCCTCTGAAATCTATGCAGCATCTAACAGGATAAGGCCAGCATAGAACTGTTTACTTGAGAGCATGAATAATAATAACTTCGTTCCATGCGCATGCGCTTTGATTCCAGGACGGAGGGAAAGCTAGGGAGATTCTAATTTTTATGTGAGGTTTGAATTAATATTTTCCCAAAATGGTACTCATAAATCTGCATGTTTATTCAATTGGTACCCATTATTCCGGACATATTTCGAAAACTGATACCGACAATTCTGCAATTTTCAGAAAAAGGTCCCCTAAATAATGGCACGTCCCTGTACCTCAAAACCTATTAAGGCATCCCTCATAGGAAAATTACTCCACTGTTATGCCAATGCGTGTTAATACTGATTACGTTATGAATCTAAGAAAAAGAGTTAATAGACAAGAATTCAAAACAAAGTTTCGGGTTGCAGCTTTTCGATGTATTTTTGTGTACAAGACAAAAGTCTACCAAGGAACAACAAAATCTAAACAAATCCTGAGCCTCTACATGATACTATCAAAACTATTATTAAATGCGGGTCAGTAGATACCATTCACAAAACAAGGCCTGTTCCATGCTGCACTGTACCTTGTTAAACCATACAAAATTCAATCACACCATACCTTCTTTTTCTCAATATATGTAGGTAAATTTATGTAGAAGCCCCCAATCCTGTGGGCTATTTTACAAAATAGGACTAATCTAAAACTGTATGCTGCTCAATAAAAGTTAGAAAGCCGCAACAATTGTCAAATTAACAAGCTGCAGACATGCATCTTGAAAACAAAGCCTCTGAACATAGAGTTAAACTAGAAGAGGATACATTTTCAGTGCAGGGATGGGGAAGGGGTTGTGTTCGGGGGACTAGTAATATAATTCTATGGTTTTCAACCTCGTTAAAATGCTATAAAAGTCAATTACAAGCATACATTTTGGATAATACAAGGATGTATGTAAAAAGAGTTAATGGTTGAAAGCATACATTACAAATTTCATTATCGTCGTTTTGTTTTAGTAGTAACTGTCCACCACAAGTCGATATAGCCACATCGAAAGTGCCATGCAGCTGAGCTGAAAAATTAAACAGAATGTTACCTGAAGGATTAGTACTTGGCGTAATAACAGAAATTGAAGACGAGGCCAGATTTTGCATAAAGAGCAAAAAGAGGTCAGTCAGTCGGTGATATGCTGGGCCAGGAAAATTGCCTAGGTGAAAGCGGAAGGGATTTTTGAATGCCTCTCGCAAGATATGTTTCAAAATGGATGTATCATTCTGCCATTGTACAACAAAGGATCCAAACTACGTAGCAAAGAAACTATTACAGGTAGACCGAGGGGAAGTTATATAGCCTTGAATCTAATAAAAAGAGGCTCTTGAAGCATAAATTTCATAACAAGTAGGGCACGGCAGAAACAGAACTCATATCCTCTCAACTAGAAGTAAGAAACACGTCTTTTATGTTACAAAAATGTTTGGTAGGGAGATCTTATGAAATTTTATAAGGCACAATTTCTAAAATAAAAAAACTGGCCTAAAATATTATCTTTATGCCTTATGGATTGCAGTATATACTCCTGGGCTATTTGAAGGCACTGTTTGCCAAAGCCGTCAAGTTTGGGCACTTTAAATGTTTCGTTATTGCAAGAAGAAATTTCTCAAGCAATGTAATTGGTCTTAAGAAACCCGTCAGTTATCAAATATCTAACTGAGTTTTGAATGATCAGAGAGACCTAAATAGCTGGCTGTTTAAGATTGCGATTTTAGAACTTAACGATTAAGGCACAAATTTCATATCGATTCTCTGATAAGCATACACAATATTAACGGATGGTGACCATGTTTTCTTGGTCAGATCAATGCAAAACCAAATTCTTTGTTTAAGCATATAGTTGGATTTACACGAGATTCTTGATCTAAATTAGAAATGATTCCTGCTTTATACAGACTTTGAAATCTGTTAAGGAAATCATCAATAATGCACATTCGAGTAAGAGACGTGTGTTGTGAAAGAGAACGTATCATGGAAAAACATTCGAACTTAAAAACTTCGACTTTGACTTTGAATCGAACTCACAGGTGAAAGGGGATACATGGGCTCGGAGGGCTGCCCCCCCCCCCCCATCAGGCAACATTTATCGCATTATAGGCTCCATTCGAGGCAGTTCTTTTTCCATAAAGCAATGATATTCAGGCAATCTCCGCACAAGGGTCAAGTACACAGATACCATGTTGCGAATTTCATCAAAAACAGTTGAGAAGAAAGCAGCTAACTGCAACTTTTAACAAAAGAGATAGGAAAACAACAAAACACAATAAGATAACCTGCAAAAATAAAGTCTTACCTGAACGATGCCTACGCAAATACCGACGATGCCCATTATGAACAAGTGATCATCCAGGTATCTTTCAAGTTTTGTGAAACAACCAAGAGGCTAAAAAACATACATTTGTTATCTTAATTTGCCTTTTATAGCACTGTTAGCAAGGTTTCGCACATAAATAGTACTGGCAAAGCGATTTTGTTTAAAAACGTTGGCAATACAATAGCTTTAATTTCTGTAATTTGTAACTAAAAAATGATTCCGAAATGCTTCTTTTAACAGGCAAGATTTTCACAGCACGCCTAGCTTACAATATGATATTATGATACAGTACTGTACGAGCCAATGGGAGCTGTCTCTCCAAACAACCTTAAAGAAAGGGCAGGTTATTCGAAGAAATCACGATCATTATTTTGAAGGTCATCGACAAATTCAAGACGAAAAAGAAAATAGAACATGAACATGCAAAATAAAATAAAATGGCGCTTGTGTCGATAGAAGGAGTTAGATTATACCCAAGAATTCCTGGTAATAATATTCTATAGGCAAGCGGCACTGTTTTGGCAACCTCAACAGCCATGGCCTATTTCGTTCAACACACAGGAAAATTTTCTTACTTAGAGTTTTTTATCTTTGTTCTGACATTCATACCCTGATTGAAGTGTCAGACGAACAGCTTAAGTTCTAAATCTTGCATTTAAAAAAAACTTATTAAGAACTGATTTCAAATCTTACCAAAAGGTCATTTCGCCACACATTTGAGGGGTGTGTTCTTACTCCGCATTTTTCCGAGGGGCTTATGCAACAGGAATCAGGAACCTCTGCGACGCCACTAATATTACTGTTCAATTTACGCCAAGCAGAGTTTTTCCAACTTGAAAAATCAACATCTCCACAGCATTGGTACTAAAGAAATAAAGATATACTTTTGGATAAACATTTTGTTGACTTGATTTTGTTGATATCCAAGTATATAAAGCTAATACACAAGTACCATTCAACGCCCTATTCTAAATATTTTTAAATATTTTATTATTGCATAATTCTCTATGCGGATTTCCATATCACAAAGCACGTGCAACGCGTTTATGGAAAATAACTGGAAAATAAGGTGATCTTGCAATAACCTGATAGTTTAACGTAAATTTTGTCAAAAGTTTTTATTTGGGAAAATTTTTAAAGAAATCCCCTTAGACTGTTATAAATAACATCACCAAGCCTAGCAGTTTGTGAATCATTAAAGTTTTATAGCTTTGTATTTCCAAATGGCTCAATAAGACGCCAACTTCTGGATAAAGATGAACTAGCTCGAGTATGTTGGGTGTGCTCACTAAGCTAGGAGTAAGGAATACTCTCTGAAGTTCAATTGACTACTTCAAGAAGATAACTCCTCGGACTGGAGTTAGAGTTTGGGTTCGATCACATGACTACATCAGTACAGTAGAAGGATAGTGTTACTGGGCGTTACGTTGTTTGAGTGCAATAGCAATAAATGGGATTGCTAATTGGAAAACAAATAAACATAAAACAGTATAGATGAACAAAAGACTGGATGGCAAGAATAAAACATGTTACAATACGGCAGGAATGACTTACTGTCCTTTGCAGCTGGCTTACTGCTTTTGTTTCCTTTTCATGGCCCAGAACACCAAATTTTGATGCAATTGTCACATTCAAATTTTTACTTACTTCAGTACGCACCTAAAATTCAAAATTCAGTTTCATTTGAATCGAATTAGTGCCAGTACAATCTCCTATTACTTTATCATAATTTGGTTTTTACCTTATGTTAGAAATTTTCATGAAATAACCATAAATTGCAAAGAGGAATGTTATTAAAATAATAAGGGAGCCAGAAAATCCCCTCACATCGAAAGAGGAAAACTTTGAAATGAATGAATCAGACTTTGAAAACTGATGTTCCAAGACTCTTGCAAGTTATTGTATCACATCAAAATGACTAAAGGATCAATTTAGTTTGACCTAGAAGCAGATAAGGAAAACATCTGTTTACACTTAATATTCTTTACAGGAATCAATTTGCAGGGATTTGCAGATAATTCACTTTCTATTTAACATATCTACAATAAGCTGGGTTTATCAATCAAGAAGCGGGTCAGACATCATCAATTAATTTCCAAAAATAGGTTTTAAGATAAGTAAGATTTGTGGAATAGGGAATAGTAAAAACAACTTTGTAGAAAAGAAATCAGAAATTGATCTCTGAATTTTGAATAAAGGGCTGTCTTCTTTTTCCATATCTTATCATTTTGTACCAACTAAAGTTGGTTAAGGAGAAAAATTACAGAAAAGCATTTTAAAGCCTTCAAGACCAATCAAATGACTTATAGACATTTCAAAACGTAGAAATTTCTTGCACAAAATGAACCATCTTATCGAATTTGGCTGAAAGATTTTTTGGCAGAAGATCAATACAGTTAAATTTATGTATAAAGAAAATTTCACTCTACACACAACTAAACAATAAAATTACAGTAGATTACAGTTGAATTACAGTAGAATCTTACATATTATTTGAAGGGCTTTTATACCTTATCCCAATCTGTTACTGTTGGGAAAATGTTCCACCCCTAATTCCTTTTATATAAAAATTTGAGGCCCTTTCAACAAAACTTCTGATGCATCAAAGTAATGATATTGGCAGTTTGAAAAATCATAAACGATCAAAAAAGTACATACTTCTCCTCTGTAGACATAAGCTAGAATCCCAGCAACCAGTTCCATGCAGAAAACAATTGTAATCATGACAAAGAACTAAAAGAGGTACAATCAAAAACATATACCAATGGCTAAAAATTATCAATTTTATCAAGTACTTAGGGCAAACATTACTCAGAAATGAAGTTGCAGAACCCTTTTAGACATCACTGCTTACAGTATAGAGGTGCTTTAAGAAGAGATATTTGGTACTCCAGTTCATAATCTTGCCTATAAAGCAAGTCTTTAAACTTTAGAACTGATTTTATAACAAAGATTACTTTAAATTGTCACTTTCTAATATTTCCAACATGTCTACTTTTTCAAACTAGCTCTAAAATTGAGGAGTTTGTGATATAACTTGTTGGTTTGTGCAAATCACAGCGAACATGCTGGGTTGTTACAAAATAAAATTTGATCAACAAAACTGATGTTTAATCTGTCTGCTTCTTTTTCAATGTTTGCGAAAACATATTCCCACAAATTCTGAGATATATATGATCCATCAGGCTGACAATTATATCACTCTCTGCATGCAATTTACACCATAAATGGTATTGTCATTACGCAACAATCTGAGAAGCAACTGAGGAGACTTTATATAGAAACAAAGCAAAGACTCACCCCAAGAATCATAAACCTACTGTCCCTGATTGCACCAATGATACCAAATATGCATACAAACATGGCAAAAATGCCAGCTGCAATCATCATGCCAGCAGATGTAACATACATGACACTGCCAAGCAATGCCTCATAGTCGTTTTTAGATGCCAATGTCCACACACCAACGCCGAATATCCCTGCTGCTGTAAGCTAGAAAGAAGAATCCTCAATTGTAAATAAGCTCAATTTGAATGACAAGCCAGCCAGAATGATACCCAGGCAACATATGCACCAGAAATTTCAGGCTTTAGGCTGAGAAATAAAAAGCCATAGAAACAGCAAAAAATACTACAGTAGAATCCCGTTATAATGTACTCGGTTATTAAGTACTTTCGGATATAACATACTGGTGTGCTTGGTCCCAGCAAAAGGTGTTCTTGGTTTAAGTTAATTTTTACTTACTCTCGTTACAACGTACTTCGGATATAACATACTTAATACACTGGCCCCTAAAAGTATGTTATAACCGGATTGTACTGTATGCAAAAATTTGAGATAAAAGTGGCTGCTAGGGTTCTGTTGCTGATTTCTTTGATTGCTTATCCTTGAAAACCAGAGATAAGACACAAGCCCATTCTAAAACAGTGCTTTCACATTTAGAAATTGATGCACATGACAAAAAACTTGCCTGATCAATGTGGGGCGCATGATTCATATTTATTTGATAACACAAAATAATATGTATGTTTTCAAGTACAAATCTACAGCTTCCTCAATGATTTTTTCCTTTTCATCTTTACTCCAAGAGAATTATTGCCATAAAACATCAAATTATTGTTTAGAGTACTGTGAGAGATAGAAAGGCGTTTATTGAAAAGTATGTTGCTGATGGTGTAAAATGTTCTTTCAACTTTCGAATTTGAGCAAGAAATCAACAGAACAAGGTTTGCCATTTTGCATAGGTTTGGAAATTCATCGCAGCCATATTTAGAACAGCCTTCCATAAATGTTTTGCACAAGGAAACTTTGGAGAGTAGCTTTGCATAAAGTTCTTAAAGCTCTTCCATTCTCACAAAACAATTATTTCATTGAATGCTACAAAAGCTAGTGGCTCTTGAAATTGTGTGGCTAATGTGATGATATTGTCATTTCCATAGTTACTCTCATCTGACCAGAACTGCGGATCCATCCTTCTCTTTTTAAGAGCACCTCATTGTTGTAATCTTCAAACCTTGGTCTTAACTAAAGCTGGGATTACTTTATGCTTCACATTCCGGACATTCCCCACACATTTCTTTGCCAAAAAGGGTTGAACAGTAATCTTTATGGTAAAAGTACTGGGGATTTCCTTGTACTCTCTTTTATTTGTATGCTTTGACATACATCCCTGCAAATTTTCAATCCTTGCTCACTCTTCATTTGTTCTTGTCTCATTCAGCTTTTCCTCGAGCTTGTATGTTGATCTCAAAATTGCAAGGGGTACTTTGAAGGGCATCAGCATATCAGCTTCAAAAAGGAGTGAAATTGGAACAATGCCATCAAGAAGGTCTAGGTACAGATTCACATAGCTTAGAAACTGGTAAGACCTGAACTTCTTCAAGAGGCCAGAAATCTTGCTCCTGACCATGGCAGTGTGTCCCTTCATATATGGTGCAAAACGTACTAGTCTTGAATGGTATAGATGCGAAAGGAATGGCAGGCCTCTCTGTGAGCATTTTAGCGTACTTAAACGTGCGCCTCGCCTTGCCTAGGCGCGTGTTCTACCAATAAATTTTTTAAGGTTAAAGTAGACAAAAACGGCATGTTTTCGCATGTAAATACTCTGTATCTAGAAATATCTAAACAAACTACTTAATAGAGCACTAAAAGCAAAAAAATCACATTATTGTTGCAGTTTGTCAATGTCTAGCTCAAATTCCAATGAAAAATCTGTTCCATTGACGTAATATTCAATTGCATTTCTGCCACTTCCTTTACAAAGAGGATTTGATAAAATAACGCTTTTGTATTTTGAGCAAACTTTACACCAAATCGAAACCACCATTGTCTTCCCATTCCTATCTTCGGTCTTTGATCCGCTAACTTCGTCCTTGCGATACTTGCGAAAGCAGATAGCTCTATGGCTTGACCCTTTGAATTACTGGCCATTTAAAAAACTTATAACAATCAGGAATCACAATGACAGTTTTTTGGTTATTGACCGGAAATATATTCAAGAGGTGTTTGATTTAACTTGGCAATAACAATTTCCTCGAAAGAGGGATTAAAAGAAGCAACCGTTTATTTAGATATCAATCGCTTTCAAATCCGCAAGGCTCTTGGTATAATAATAGTTCAAAACTAAAACACAAAGAGCGCGATTTAAAGGGTTCTTCTAAACCAGGCGCGTGTTTTATTGCGCATCTCGGCAACGATAGGAGCGTGCCAAGGCGCGCGCGCGTGATCGCATGCCTTAAATGGAGAGGCCTGGAATGGTATAGAAATACCATTTCTTTCGCATCTTATAAAAACAAGTTCCTTTTCTTTACTGGTTTTTCGAACTTGGCTTCCGTTGCTGAGTAACAACACAAACTGTGTACTTTAGAGTATTACTGCACATTTCTCTTTAACAGACTGTGCCATGCAGTGGAAGAATTCCGTACCGGTTTTACCATCTTGTTTTCTCTCAATGAGCTGCACATAAATTTGTTGTAAGGGATTTGACCAACATGCTACAGTGTTTGTGGGGCATCTTGGGCTGGAGAGCAATTTAATAGGCACATTGCATTAGCTTTGTGTAGGCATCTCACATAGCCACTGTAGGCATCTCACATAGCCACCCCTCAGCCACAGCAGGGCTGAATGCCAACTCGTTCAGCCTCTAGCTTTCACTTCTTTGTGCTCAGGGCAATTTGATGACCCTCTCCTTCTAGATGCCTAGTGACATTATATTTGGTGACATAGTTTGTGCCATTGACGTAAGCAAAGACAGAATTTTTAACAATGCCCTTGAAGTTTGGATGCGTTAGTAATGTATCTTTGTTTTGTGTGCATACTTTATACCATACAAAATTTACAAGCTTGTGACAGCCCACTCTCTCTATTTAATAACCAATCAGATGACCTTTTTCCCCATTTTTTTATTGTACATAAATCAATTGTACTTCCTTTAATATCCTTAGCCATTGTGTAAATTGTTTTTTTTAAAAACCAATTATGTCAAAGTAAAGCTGTGAAATTTTGAATTGGAGCATTTTAAGAGTTTCAGTGACTTTAGAATATTGATGGGGTTTCAACTCTTTTAAGAAAAGGTGAAAAACAAATAGGAAAGAGGAAGCAACCAGGCATCCTTCATCTGACCAACAATTGGCAAACAACAATTAAACATGTGTCAGTACATTGAAAATTGATGTCAGAGTTTTTCTTAATGATGTCACTGTTTGAAACTCGAACATATAATGAACAGATAAAGACAGCAGACTTTTAAAATTAATTTTCTAGTCCGCATAATTTTTAACTTGACCTCTTATCAATAAAAAAGAGGATTATGCTTGTAATCTGTTTGCTGTAATCTGTCATAACATGTATTATACCAACGAAACTTGAGAGATGAAATTTGATCTTTAGACAGCCAAGAGGATGGTATGGAGAAGAAAATGGAAAGATTGCTAAAGGAGTCAGCTTTTTCAGTGTTTTCGACTGTTTCTAAGAAAGTGTTTGTGAAGAAAATCCCCACAAAGGTTTTGGCTTCAGGGAAACAGATTACATCGGTAGATCAGCATTAGTTGACAATAATAACATGTCTAAATCCTTTAAAATTATTAAAAGTGATGTTCTTAAGTATGAAGTTCAAGTTAGGGGAGAATACACTCTAATGAACTGAAAACTGTCAGTATCCTCAAAGAAAATTAATTTCATGACTAACTAGAAACAAATTAGTTGCCAACAGAAAGCTTGGGCACAAAAGTTTTACATTAGTGATATATTCAAACATATGCATAACAACTAAACTAAATTGCCATGATACAAAACTATAACTCACAGGATAAAACCAGTTGCCTAGAAAGAATCAAAACCCAACAATCAACATAAAATGCTAACACTCTACCAAATTTCCAATCACTGACTACTCTTGCTCATGATCTTAATCAAATGACATTGAAACTGTTCAACAGATTTAACATCTTTCTCAAAGACTCTTTATCAATCTATACAATTACAATGCATTAACCAAAATTTATATCGTTATTTTGGTTATTTGACTAAAATCAACAGCTGACAGAAATTTACAGAAAATCACAGGACACACTAAGCTAGTCGTCAGAAGTTTAAATTTTTGAACAGAACAAGAAGATTTTCACCAAAGCTAAAAAACAGGAAATGGAGCATGGCTGGGAGGAGCAGGCGTATAGACGAACTTGTTTTCTAGACATAAAAGTTTATAATGTCAGTTAAAATTTGATGAAAAAGCATGTTGGCATGTATTCTTTCGACTTGTGTTACAAAGCATGAATCTGAAGTCTTCTCGATGTTCTTCCAAAATTAGTTATTTGCTAGGTAGATAGGCCTGGTAGCGTTTTAAAAATTTACCAACAAAAGGGATGGGGGACTTCATTGAACATTTATCATAACATAATAATCTGGTATGCATTGAAATCATTGAATCAACATAAAAAATATATACTATAGATGTTCTAATCTGTACAACAAGAATGCAAAGTTATATCTAGTTATAGTCAATAAAAGGAGCTCAGGGTGTCAAACTCCCTTCGGCACAGATGTGTCTAGGCCCAAACACATGGAACACACACAAACAAATTTATTCTGATACTTACCCATAGAAAAGTGGCACAAACAAGAAAGCAATTTTTGACACAGTTGACTGCGATTATACGACGCTTAGCCATGATCTAGCTTTTGGCAGCAAGAGTATAAAATGAATCCCTCGCAGTAAACAAGGCGTGTTTCGACTCATCCGCTTAGGCCAGCTCCTTATTGTTTGGCTTGCCTCGCAGTTCCCGTCGCACCCTTTGAAAGAGCTTGTGTATAGTAACACCCACTGGGATACTTTTTGTGGTTCAGCCTCTTCAGTTTCTTTTAAAAGGAATCAATATTAGAAGAAATGTTGACGAGATTCTTATAAGATGATTAGGAAAATAGCAACCCTGAATTGTAAATTTTGACAGAATGACTTTTTACAAAGCAGTGTCTTTAGATTCAAAAAGTAAAAAGCTTGTTTGTTTCCGGTGTCACATGCGTTTCGGTAACCTTATGCATTTCGGTCCGGGTACTCCAACGCATGGCAATTTTGGTTATGCAAAATCGTACCCAAGCACTTAAACAATAGAGTACCAAAACGAATGGTGGAATTTAGCATGCAAAACAGTCCGGGTACACAAACGCATGGCAATTTTGTTTATACAAAAACGTACCCAAGCTTTTAAAAAACAGGGAACCGAAACGAATGGTGGAATTTAGCATGCGAACCGGTCTGGGAACGCAAATGTTCTGGTTCATATTGTTCAGAATGTAAAGAACATTTCTAACAAGGGGGTACTAACAAGAAGCGGTGCTATCCCCTGTTAAGTTTATGCAAAAAAGTACAACATTAATGGCGACTCCAAAGTTTTCTTGATTGAAAAGTGTGAAATTTTAAACTCAAAAAGCATTATGTTAAATTTTTTAATTATAACGTGTCATAATATCGCACTACGATGAAATCACATGATTTGAAACACATTGCATTTCACAATGTTACACTTTTGCATAGGGTACCAAAACGCATATTACACCGGCAAACTGCTTCCTGCATTTATTTTGCTTCACAAGCATTTGTTCCAAATATACCAATAGGTTCAGCTAGTTGCTCTTCAGTAGCATTTGCTTTTTGTAGCATTTTCAAAGATTTTTTAAAGGAACGGATTTTAAATTTTGTTGAATACCATCTCATTATTTTGCAACAAAGGTTGAGATAGATTGTTTTAGGGCACCGTTTTAGGCTTGTTCTAATTTTTAAAAAAGATAAATCTTCTGAAGCAACTTGTTGGTTATCGAAATTACATAATGTGGTTGAATTGTTTCCAAAGTTTAGCGACTTTAGAGATCTAGAAAGTGGTTAGTTTGGATAATTACGCTGTTACGATGTTGAGTACTCCAGTTTCTTAATGTTCTGGAAATTTCAATACTCATTGCTTCTTAAGAGTTTCCTAATTGTGATGTCATGAATGATATTATCAAATGTTCCTGATCTTTTTTATCACGTCAAGAGATTCACTTCCGTTCCGATATTGTATTTAGATGTGGGAAGTATAATTTTATCCCTTGTGTATTAAGTTGTAGGCCAACAGGGCAATCTTGTTCTTGGATTTTACAAAATTTCGTTGCTCTTAGTTTTACCATGATTTAATAGTTTCTTAACATCTTTGCTTCAAGTACTGAAGTTTCTTAATTTTTTCTGACTGTCCAGTACTCGTATCTTATAGCCAGTTTCTTATAAAAAAAATACTTTTTCTTCATAGTTTCGCCTAATAAACCTGTTGTTCTCAGGAACTCGCTTCCCAGTTGATAATACCTAAAATTACATTTAGAGAGATTAAAACATTGTAAGATGTTTTTTCAGGGCCGTCGAGGGACAGTTCGAGCCCAGGGGTGATTCACCAAAACTGGACCCCCTTAAGAAAAGTTCATGTTGCCACGCCCTTGAGTCTTCCGAAGAAGAAGAAGGGAAACGTCCTTTTTAGGTACAATTGTTGAAAAGTTTTTAAGGATCTTTACAAGAATGTGCAAAAACATTAGACATGAACCAAGGACATGTGGACATTTCTCTGCGATAAACATACAGGCGTTGATTCCGTATAGGTAGCTGAAAAAGTAGCTTTTTGCATTGTAAATATTTCTTTTTACTCTATTACGGGCCCCATCGGAGCACAGGTTCCGGACCTTTGCCCCTCCTAGCCCCCCTTTCGACGCCCCTGTAGTTTACTGATATGTTATTGGTGACAAAATGCTACGACGAAGATACCAATACACCTTTTGCAGTTTACGATAAGTGTTTTGTACATACTCTATTCAAGTAAGGTCAGTTAGACACTCCTAGATATTTAACAAAGTTGAATTCGTTTCTGAATCTTTTAGGGTGCTTTCTTTTGTCTTTGTTCAATAAACGCAAATTTGATTTGTTTTTATTTAAGCTTAAATATCAAGAAATCAGCCATTTTGTTTAGTATTCCCCTGTTTTTCATCCTTTGACACTGTGACGCTCTGGTACCTAGGGTAGCTACCAGTATGTTATTTATCATACAATAAAATAATGTCTAGTAAATTCAATAATTAAACGTTGGGGTTAACAAGATTTTTACAAGGGTAGAGGCTAGTTCGAGGAGGGTGCTCGTGCAAATTTGAGGATTAACGGAATGTGGCGTATTAGGATTGTCATACTTTACGGTGATTTTCTTTTCCAATCCTTGTTCTAAAATAGCTGTAGCTGGCTGCTTATTTAAAAAACAAGTTTAAAAAATGCTTTCTCCCTCTTTGCTCTCAGTACCAAAGACCCAGATCGGCAAGCCAACTCTACTTCATATATTTGCGAAGTAAATAACATGTCCTAAACTTCAAACCTAGACAAAAATAAAAAGGTCTTATCATTCCGTAACAATATCGTGGCAGATTAGGCTGTCAGCTTAGAGCTCTTAATATTGGTTTGAAAAAATAAAAATTCTTTAAAACATACTTCGATTTTCGACTGGCACTCTTCAGGGTATTAAACGTTAGAAAAATTATCAATTGTTTTCAAGCTAGGAAATATATATATGCCCAAAAACATATATCATCATTCTGGCATTTTCTAATATGAAGAGTGTCAGACGAAAGTGTTTTAAAATGTTTGCTTTTTTCAAAGCCATTTTAAAATGTTTACCACAAAAACAGGTTATAACGTAATCTTACGAAAATAGTCATGCCATTCTTTAATTTTTCATTATTTTGTAGTAATCCAAAAGTTCGAAGTTGCTGCCATGTGAAAAAGTTAAGATGTAAACGTTATGACATAAATCTGTCGAAAAGCAATGCATGGAGCGTACTGGTTGAAACAGGTGAGGAAAGTGTTAATATATGATGCTGCAGGGAAAGCAATAACCGTTGAATAACCCGAACTTACCTATGCAATTGAAATATACAGCTACTGTTTTACTTACCATGATTTTTATGGTTTAATGCAATTGTACAGTCGATGCCTGAAGTATAAGAATTATTAGAAAACGAAACTTTCACCTCATTTGAAAATATTTCGCAGGGCCGGGAGGGAGTTGTTGGGTGCATTCCCTGTAAACAACTTATCATTGATTGCTGCTTTAAATTTGAAGAAAAATTGCATATTGAAAATATGCTGGCTAGTTTAAAGGCTCTTGCGCAACCGGATGCTTAGCGGCATCTATCTTGAGAAGTTGACTGTGTTTTGTATTTTCATGTAGTAGTACGATATTAGGCCGGTTTTGGAATTATAATCGCAAAGCATGCCGGTTGCGCAAGAGCCTTTTAGGGCTGCTCATCAGCAGGACCCGGTGTGATACTAAAATCTGCGTGGCAACCAAATCTCCGTGGGCCCACTCCAAATCTCTTTTTGCGTCTGGATCATCCTGCATGCGGCCCATCCGAAAGCTTTTTTGGCGCCTGTACCTTGCATAATGTCATAAAATCTTACAACAGAGGCTCTCTTCAAAAAATTCCTCACCCTGGATTGAAATTTTTTTCAATCTCCCAAAGGTTCTTAATCGAGAACGAAAAGAAAGATACACCATTTTAGTCCAAGATTCATAGCACATACATTCGGCCCTGATTAGTAAAAATAAACTAACGAGATAAAATAATCAATATTTTGGAAAATAACATCTCTTTGTGCGTTGTAAATACTATGATTTGATTTGGTTTCTTAGCGCAGGACTTTTTTTTTGGGTTTAAAAATTTATCAGACGCCATGTCACAAATACTAAAAAGTCATACAGTCAGAATCACTGATCAATGCGCGGTATGCATTTTCTTGAAGCAAAATTCGGCTTGAGGTCATAAGAAGCAGCTGCAAGAGACATCGTTGACAAAAATGACATTTGACTAAGACGAAATTTTCATGTTTGGTTTTTATAAAAGAAATCTTAACTTGTTTAGAAGTGAAGTATAATTCTATGGAATTAAAAAACTTGATGGGTTAAAGATTTTCCTAGACAATCTAGGAGTGTATCTCCAACTACATTCGATAGGGTCGACAAGTGTCCACTAGAATGTTCTTCACGCTATTATAGAGTTATGTTTCGTAAACGCACTGTCCAATCTTGCTTGTGTGATGAAATACACAATTATGAATGACGCCATCTTTGTGACTCGTAGCTAGCTTTCACGGCCAATGCATGATGTGCTTGGCTAATTACATTCACTGGCTTTCACCGTTGATACGCCAAAGTTATCTGGACCAATCATTCTTCATCATCTGAGTCAGACCTTCAAAACAAATATGAAACATTTGAAAAAGACTTGAAGTAGCAAATTGCAATATTGCTCAGGTCTTTCGATTTTAAATTTCGCTTCAATACATTTTTAGCAATGCAGCCTTGAAAGAATCTTTTAAAAAAATAAATTAAGCTAATAAAAACCAAAATTCCAAATGTTCGAGAAATTGTTCACTTGATTTCCTTGTATTGCGTCGCCCACTGAAGTTGATCATTTATCACCTGGCATTTCGGCTCCCATTGTCAGCGGTAATATACAGACTATGTGAACTGCCAACGGATCATTAATTCCCAGATTCAGAATATATATGCTTTATTCCTTCGTCTTGCTTTATTGCAATAAGTTTAAGTTTGAAGTGATCTTTTCCCATAAGTTACTGGAACAAAATTGTTGAACTTACGAGCTAAGTACTCTGCTTGGCTTTTTCTTTTTAACCTTTTCTGTTTCGATATCACTTTCTTCGCCTTGCTCTTCATCATCGTTTTCTGACACATTGCCAGTTGCTTCTTGCATATCGTCATCACTCTCATCGCTAGCCTGAGCTTTGGCATTGTCGTCTTCAGACCCAGATTTCTCGGATTCGCGGGAAGTATCGCTCTTTTCCGCATCTGAATTCGCAGCAGCATCTTCCCTTTCGCTTTGCGAGGAGGCATCATCGTTTCTGTCGAGGAAATTCGAACTTTGAATCGGCTCTGTACATTGATGAGCCGTAGAGAGAAAGAGGAAGAGGGGAAAGGGTGGGAGAGTAACGGGAAATGAATGGAGGGGAAATCGGGGGCTGAGAGGTGGTTAGAATAGCAGGTGGATCAGAAGATTATTTAAGTAGACTATCATACTCGGGTATGCAAATGAGGTCGACAAACATTTATATTTAAGAAATACAAGTTGCTATATGCAGTCTTTTGATGAATAAAGAAACTGATAGATAAGATCACAGAAGGCGATAAAAAAATAATGAGCAAGGACCAGAGCTGCAAAAGTATCGGGACCTGGGAACTAGATTCCCAGAAAAAATTTTAATTTGGCAGAAAATCTTGTTAAAAGAACTGTTTTTACATTAACAATCACATAAAATGAAAGGCTGAAAAGGTGGCTTATAAGTATGAACAGGTAACTAGATTAGTCTTCCCTAAAGTTAGCATCTATTGCAAAAGACAAAAAAGATGTAACAAACAACCAAACTACGATATCTTATTGGAAATTTTCTCTAGACCCAACAAATAAGAAGCCCTTGTGTAAAAATTTTGCGTAATATTTGGAGAGCTATAGTACACAATACTTTCACCTCACAGAAAAATTTGTGTCCTGTTTCCCAGGTTCCCAGAAAGGAAAATATTTTTTGCTGCTCTGGCAAGGACCCTGGCACACTTGATTTTTTCATTTAAGTCCAGCATTGAATAGGCTATTTCAAATAATATTTTTTCGAAGATCAAAATTATAAATCAAAGACTAAGATAATATCATAAGGAACAACGTCTCAGGTTTTAAGAATGTTAAAACTACGTTTTTCATTTAGCTGACAGTATTCTGACTTCATTTGTTCATATCTTCTAAAAAAGTAACATTCCTGAAAACACCCACCCTCTAGCAACGTCAATCCTGAGTTCATCGTCGTCGGAACTCGAATTGTCCTCTGAAGAAGATATAAATTGCTTCGAAACGACCTTTTTCTTCTGCTTTGCAGACAATATTTCCTGCTTCTGTTTCTTCGCTTTGGGTGCCTTTGGCTCTCGGGGTTTCCTTTGCCTAGAAATAACAAGCATATAGGTATTAGCGAATACAGTAAGGAGCAAGTGTACAATAAATAAGCAAATGTACAAGCCCAAGCAAGAAAATTTGACCACCTCTAAGTATGCTAACAGAAACTTGAATATTAGAGGAGGCGAAAGAAAAGAAATAACAAGAGGGCCGGTAGATATGTTGTGCTTATCCAATCAATGCACCTGTTTCGTATATATTGCGCAACCTTCTTGGTGGAGCTTTAGAAGCACAATCAGATTTTGGGAGATCATCATTGGATGTTATTGTGTTCTTACAAACGACTTAAAGGCAATCTGTCTCGTTGTGGATTGGTTAACGAGAACAATAGCTGGGACAATAGCCTAAACACGATTCCAGCGCTCCGCCATATTTTTTACAATGCGATAAATCAAAGGGGGACTGGAAACAATAAAAAATCCCTTTGTTTTTATTATCAATCAACGTTGTAACAGATTGCCTTTAAGTCTCAGGTTTTTCCCACTCAGCTGCTATTTTCCTTCATTATCAGCCTGATTTGAGCAACAATTTTCTTAATTCGAACTTTCTGATAAGTAAATCCAGCTATTCTGTTTTTCCTGATAGTTTGAATTACCACGCCTTGATATTAGCCGTATAACATCTGTGTATAACATCATTAGAGGACCGAATAAGTGGAGGGGGTGTGTTTTGGAACGCAAGCCTGCAATTACGTGTACGAAAATTTGCTCCAATTTGTTGCTAATCTATTCACAAAAAAAAGTTGATAGCCGATCTCGGTCCCAAATAAGAAAAATCTATTGCCATTAGGTATTACAAGTTAGAACAAACACGTGTGAAATTTAAGCTAAATTTCCGGCTGGAATAACGAGTAGGTCATCGTACTTTTTAGCCTTTGGTTCGCCTTTTTCTCTCTCTTTACGTTGTTTTCTCCTGCAAAAGCAAAACAAATATTTACCAGCTGCAAAAATGCATTCAGTCAACACTACTGGCGGTGCCAGCCATTAACAATAAGGTGGGGACTAGACGGGGCAAGGGTCGGGGCAAGGGTCGGGGGCAAGGGTCGGTGGCAAGGGATGGTGGCAAGGGTCGGGGCAAGGGTCGGGGGCAAGGGTCGGTGGCAAGGGATGGTGGCAAGGGTCGGGACAAGGGTCGGGGACAAAGGTCGGGGGCAAGGGACGCGTTCATTCCTCGTAGAAAACACCCTTCTTTCCAAGAAACGCCCTTTAATATGTCAGTCTCTATAAACGTTATTTTCTATAACTTAACATCATATTTCGAAATATTACATTTGCAAAATCGCGACAAGATCGACAATAAATCGCTACATATAAAAGCTACAAAAAAATCCTGATCGTGTTACCAATAGAAATATAGTAACATCGCTTATTGGTTGAAACATAAAATTGATACTGATTGGTGGCATTCCTAACAGTCAAATATGAAAAGCAACATTATCTTCTTGTGATCTAGACAACGTAAATCATTTGTAGGTGGAATAAGGAAGCTTCATTTTCTAAGGAAATATACAGTTTCTCTATTTGGCATTTTAAGTTTCAGCTAGCAGCTCAACCTATTTAGGAACAAAAGTTGATTCCAATACCACATTAAAGCGAAAAAAGGCAAAAAGCATTGCAACAAACAGCCGGGGTATAATAAGAACAGTCTGATATGTACAATGTGTGAACAAAAATTATTTGTTTACAAATTTAACAGAAAGAATGAAATATATTCCCGAATCTTACTGTCGTTTTTTCTTCTCTTTTTTCTCAAGTAATCTTGCCTCGCTTCCCGCTGCTTCGGCCTCGGACTCGCTCGTTTCAATCAAACCTTCCAGATTTGCCTCCTTTTTCTGTAAACAAAAGTACATTCGTATGAATTTTTTTTATTATTGAAAATGACCAAAAGTCACTTCTATATCAGGCATCTTTCCCATTACAAAATACTTCCCTGTCTCTTTTGCATACCACATTTCCGTTTTTTTGGCCACATAGACCAAGTTTCACTTCAACTGTTCATATCTGTCCGAGTATTGAAATGGGAAAAACACTGTCTTAAACTCTATCACCAAAAAACTATTTAAGGGCCCAGAAAACAACACAAATCTAGTGACTGAAAATATTTTGCGTATAGCCAGAAACATTATCGGCAATCCAAAATTGGCCAATCAATGAGTGTGTGAGTGGCATCACTCTCAATGATTGGTCAATTTTTGATTAAAAGATGGCTTAAGCCCCTTTAGTATCTGTCAATTGCATTTAACAAGATATTAACATGTATTCTTGGCATTATTCTGTTTTTACTGTAGCAAGAAACATTCAAAACATCTGTAATAAGACCGACAGCAAATGATAGAAATACTTCTTGAGCCTCAATGCGACAGTTGTCTTTATGCATCCATTTCAAGTATGGTAAAATATTTTTGCTTCTTTTCACTCATTCAATTTAGCATGTATCTCTGACAACATGTATAGATTTTTTAGATAGATATCTGACAAACGGCTTGTTCGTGCAAGACCTACTACAGCTATGATTGTAAACCGCTACCTTTTTCGCTGCCCCCTTTACCCTTGCAATCTCCGCAGCCGGTGTGAACTTCAAAAGATTCTTCGTCGCCTCAACGTATTGTGCACGCTTTTCAAGCAGTTGTTTGTGCTCTTCTTCCTCGACAAGCTTCTTTTGGCGCTGCAAACAAAAATACAATCTATTAAAGCAACAATATTCATGCCTATTGCATCCTATATTAGTGGTAAAAGTCAAGAACTAGATAGATGCTGATGCTACAATAAGATGGCATTAAGAAATATCATGTAATTTATACAATAAAATTATATATTAATTAACAATATTACGTATCAGGGAACCGTAACTAGAGATGATTCCCTTTTTGAGGAAAGGGCATTCCCCTTCTTAGATCATGACTCAAATGACTAAGTCTTGAAACTTAATTCCTGTAGAAAGTGACGACGTTCATTACTTTCTCAATGTCAGTAACGTTCTTTTAAGACTTAAACTAATAGTTTTTTTTAAGATTTCACAAATTTTTTGAAAGACCATCTCGGAGATTGCGACGCCATAACACAACTGGGGCAAAAACCACAATGGCGGCCTATATTATCAAGATCTCTAAATTCCTTTGTAGTTCAAACAAGGTCCATTGTTAATCAACGAAATTTAGGTTATCATTCTAAAAGTATTTTTCATTATTCTAAAGAAGTTCCATGGCAAAAAATAATAGAGCGGCCTCTATCCACCATGAATTCTGTGCTGGTTTGCCCCACCTGAAGGAGTGGAACTATCTTTAGAACAATTAATTCCATAATGGCGTCGTGAACTTCGAGATGGTCTATTGATGAGTTCTCCCTTAGGAAAAATGTAACAACATCGTTGCTAATTGCTAGGCCTAATTGAAAATGCAGGGGCTAATCTTATGTTTCGCATACTCTTCATAACCCGAAATACGTTGCTAATCTGTAGAATTGAAAGTACGATTTTAGAAAATTCAAACGTTAACTTTCTTCAAAAACACATAAGTTCGTTATTATAAGCCAGTTTGCTTAGTTGATATTGATTACGAAATAAAGATTACCTGTTCCTCGTCCTTCTTCTTTTTAAGTGCATCTCTTTCTTCTTCTTGCTTCCTCCTGACCTCCCGTTCTTCCTCGTCGATTTTGCGTGCTCTCTGCACGTGATACTGCGCTTGGCTGAGTAAATCTGAGCAACGCCTGAAAGCGAGAAAACCTTTACATCAAAGGAATGGCCATAAACAATCCTGGAAAGCTTTTGAGGCAAACACCCAACAAAATAGGGATAACACGCATATATAGCAACATCTTTCACACATTTCTCATTCAAAGTATAGTATGCGTTTCAATGGCAGAAACAACACTAAAGTAGAGGAAGAGGGGGTTTGAGTGTGCAATTTCTGACCACAGTCAGTCCAGGATCTTAGGCACTTTCATGTATTTTTTGGGGAAATGCATTTTCATGAAACAAACAGAGAAGATGTAAAATTAAACTGCATTTTAAGGTATTCTTCTCTGGTGTCAAATTAAACTGCTTTTAAAATTTTGTGTTGCCTCTTAAGCATTCTTCTCTTTCATCGTACCTACGAAACCTTTCCGTGGCATTCGCATTCTTCGTCAATACTAGATAAGCTTTTAATGGCATTCTTAGCCATCCAAAATCGATACCTCTAAACTTTAGAGTAGTTCTACATGCTACTCAAGTTTTATATGGTAGTTCTCCTATTCGACTTTGTACCTTCGTTAAGCGACCAAGCTTTCAAGAAACCAACAACAGTGATATTGATAAGTATGTTAGTCAGCCGATTCTTTAAGTACAAATAAAATTTCACCAGCACAAAACATTGGAAACTAATTATAGCACATTATGTATTTGAGAAAGCACTGCTCACAAACCTTCCCTCGGCTTTTGCTTGGGCGAGATCGAACTTCATTCGATCGCCGTACCAGCTAAGGTATTCGAAATTCCTGTAAAAACAAAAAAATTGTTACACGGGCATTCGAAAGCCCAAGAGGGAAAGTAAACATATTTTACGGCGCTATAGGTAAAAGAGTAAATGCTATAGGGAAACGTTTACCGTAACCTTAAACAACGACAACCGTTCAGTCAGGTGACAATATAGATATTTATACGTAATGGATTTTTCCCTAGCTTCTATTATCAGAAACACAAGTAAAAGAACTTAAATATAAAACACTGTTTTTTAATTGACTAAGTCAACAAAATATCGCTTGCAGATAGGCCCGCGGAAAATTCAATTTATTTCTGGATATTGCTGTAGTGTTTACCTTTGTGCAAGTTCCAGATCACGCACAGCAGAGAGTACAGTTTTGAGGTCGCTTTTTTCGGTTCGCAAGACTCCGGTAGCAAGTCGCTGTTGTACTATCGACAGGTTGAACATCAAAAGGGAGTCATGTGGAGCCACGTGACGCGCCTGAGATTCAAGTACAGAATACTCATTAAAAATATCGCAGATGGACTGTTATTTCAGACATCACTTTAAGAGAAAATAATACAACCAATACAACGCTTGGTTTAAATACTAGAGGTGCCGATTCAAATCTACAATATCGGGCACCGCTGTTGAGACAAGTGCCCAAAAATAGGCTTGGTAGCGATTATGCATGGTTTAACATCTCTCTTATCACCGGTAGTGATGTTAACATTGAATTTAGGGGGGGGGGGGGGGGGGGCAACAATGGAATGGAATTATAGTTGAATTATAATTAGAAGTGGACTTTGATTTGAAGCAGGAAGAAGAGATTGCAATTTGGAGGCAATAATTGGAAGACACGTGCCATGTCTTGATAGTTCAAACAAATCCAGTTCCTACGGCAGCATCTGGGCCCCGTCGAAACAAATTCACAATTATGAAAACTGATATTTTTCACTCGATTTTTACTCGTTTATTGGCTTCCATCAAGGAGCTTAAAACGATTTCTGTTATCAAAAGGGAGCTTTGAAAATGGTATCAAGAATTATTTTTTAGGAAAGAAAAGAAAAATAAATATTTTTAAAACGCTGACATAAAAACATATGCTGCTTTTACGGAGTGGACTAAAATTTTGAAAGAAATTCTGCGTTCCTATTGGCCTTCCGACCTTTGATCGAATATGTACTTCACCAACCAGTTGAAGAACAGAGTTTAATGCGTTTATTGGTGATGGAAGAAAGCAAAAAGACAACCAGGGATGCAGCGGACAGCCCAAAATCATGGGCTTGTCCGCAATAGTATCGGCAAGGGCACTCTTCCAAGGTGGTCGTATTAACTCCCAAGGTGGTCGTATTAATAAAATAACTTGGTCGCATTAGCCTGGCTGTACGTACCTTTACAAGAAGGAGCTTGCATTCGTCATGTTTCCCGGCTTTGTAATAAGCACGCGCAAGGTACAACATCAGTTCAACATTGTACGAGGTGTGAAATTTTTTCATGCAATTTTCGTACTGAAAAAAACAGTGACATCTTGATAACTTTCGGAATAGGTTTAAACCTGTTCTGAGATGATGAATAAAAAGGGATTTTTGCGTTTCAAATCAGAGCTACTTCCGCATTGTAATTTGCTTGATGTTTCTTTACACTGAAACGCTATTTAAACATCGCTGACTTTAACAATGGTTCCTGTACGGTCTCCAACTCTAAGTTCATTTAATTCTATATTTTATCGAATTTTAATATATATCATTAACCTTCCTGAAAAAGAAGTTTATTATTAGAATAAAAAAATCGCAGAAAAATTTTGAATAGCCAAGTTCTAAGTTTTCAAGTTTCTCGAAAAATGACAGACTGTTCGACATTTGACAGAAGAAAACTCTATTTACAGCGTTTAATGCCAAGATTGCCTCATGCCTTATGTTTTTCTGGCTGTTATGTTAGGCCGCTGTTTCTTGTTTTCAGCCTGAAACATGAAATAATCATCAATGTGAATTGTTTGTGAGGTAATAACGCTACAGTGACATACCATCTGTATAGCACTAACATATTGCTTTTGTTCAACGTATATATGCGCAAGATTGAGCCAAACATCTGGCACTTCTGCAGTTGCCTCACGCACCTTGAATATATAAAAAATCAACATCATAAAAAGGCCCTTTAGCTGAATAAACTGACCGCTTACAAATATGATGGTTTAGAACAAGGCGTTTTTTTCCTTGACCGTATGACCATTGGTCACAGGAAACAAAGGAAAGTAATATTCTCTCTGAGGAAATTTTTATTGCAATATAATGATTTTAGAAGATCAAAATAATTCACTCGCAAAACTTTGCTAATGATATCTGTTTTGTATTTATGTAACTCTTGCTTTCTTCCAACAAAAATTTTCATTTTCTTTGAATCAATAATTTCGATATCACTAATCGATCAAAATACATTAGCAATGACACTCTGGCTTGATTGAATCACGAAGAAAACGACCACTGACAAAGATCCTGGTTTAGGACTACTTGAGAAAAGCTAGAAAATGAATCTCTATTGAGGAAATTAAAATCAATAAAAAACCAATATGTTTTGTGTTCTTCATTTTATGTTAGTAATATTTGATTATTAGTTAAATACTTATTGACGCATAAGGGCTTTTAATATACTAATTTTGTCAAAATAGCAAGATGTATATACAATTGAAAGATATTAGTTCAATGTAATTTTTATTAGTTGAAAGGTTTAGTGTATCAGTTTGTAAACGCAATGAATGAGTTTAGGTTTGGTTATGCGTTGCAAAGATGGATTCTAACATCTTTCAACTCAAGAGACAAATGTTAGTAAATGGGGAGCGCCAAACAGGCCAATGATAGGTAAAAACAGTAGTAACTAAAGTGTGCTAGGGTAAGGAAGAACTGGCCTATAGAAGGGTACTTTAGAAAGCGAATGGAAACGATAATAGCAAACAAGAAAATGTTTACAGATATCATAAAAATTTGCTATAGCAGTACTTACTCGAGCAACAATAACATTCGAACTTACCTGTGAAAAGACATCTCTAGCTTCCCTATGGTACCCCTTATGTGCGAGAACACAGCCAATACCATTGGCTGCGTATATGTTTCTAGGATCAATGCGAAGCACTTGCTTAAACATAGCGATGGCGCGATCTTGATGTCTCTTTTCCTTCTGCTTGTCTCGATTCGGTGTATGAAGGGTCTGTAACCATACGTTGCCAAGGGCTACCAAAGAATATGTATCATTTGTTGTTGCTGGTTGTTTAAGAATTCTTTCGAATTTCTTCTGTCCGGGTCCCCATTCTTGCTTAGCGAGATGGAGGTTGCCAATCAAAGACCAAGCATCTGGGTTGTCCTGAAATACGGATAGATAAAATTAAATTTTCGCTAAGGTTTTCACTTTCTGTCATTCTTTAAATAAAAGTGCGTATCGCAAATAATTGTAGTATCAAAACTTGCAGTAGGACTAGAGGCTAGATACTATATCGTAATCCGAAGTCAAACATTATTGTACGAAGTCGTATGTAGAAATATTGTGAAATGTCTCGAACGAGGACGTTAATTAAGCGGTGTAGTAATTATTAAAATAAATGGAATTATTGCACCCGTTGTTGCACAAAAGCTTGCTTGGGAGGGAGGGGGTTAACTGCACCTAAATGTTTTTGAAACAGGGTCACACTATTCACCTGGTCGATTTGTAGGGCCATTTTGAACCAATCAGATGCGTCATAGATGTGTCCTTTATCACGCGCCATGCAGCCAAGTCGTAGATGACCTGATAGTGACAGAGTAAAACAAGTGAATTTATTCAATTTTGCAATAAAGATATATATAGCTATTCAATTATATTATGATGATATCAAAACTTGTATATTGAAGAGAAAGTCAGCAAATTACTGAACAGCTGGCCATGTATTTGAAAATCAATAAGCCAACAATTTTCATTTGAACTTGGACATTTCATAAAGCAGGTTGTTTTGGTAGTTAAAGCAAAAGATCAACGGTTACAACGCTCGTCAGTATTCAATATTGCACATAGTTTTCAAAAGCTTGAAGTTTGTGTCTTTCATAAAAGTTATCTAATTTGAAGGTTAATAAAGGTTATATTTGCTTCAGAAAGTTATTCCTATTGAAAAGCTTATAGGTTGAATTATAGACCCGACGGGCGGCAGGACAACAAACAGATTTCTTGAGTATTATGCGGTCAACAAATTACCTGGGTTCGAGTCGCGTGAATTCTTCATCACAGCTTGATAATGGCCAGTTATGTAAGGGGAAACTCCATAATGATTCTTATGTATAATTCTTATATTATATCAGAGTAAAATAAGTGACAATCAATTATAGATTTTTAAACAAAAACAAGATGTGGCTTCAGGTATAAAAATTTGTATAAAAGGTTTTGGGTTATGTAGGACCATATTCTCTAGATATATCTTCCACAACTACGGCCTATAGTAGTAACATACCCCCTGGTTATTAGTTGCCACACTATATGAACGTATAGCGAATAGATAACTCACAGTCAATGTAATTAGGGTGTTCTCGGAGAATGTCCTTGTAAATCTTTTCCGCTTTGTCGAATTCGAATAGTGCTTCATAAAGTCTCGCTAGGTTGTAGTTCATAGTAACTGAAATTGCATTGTAATATGTCTCGTCCTGCATGCTTTCTTGTCTGCAGTGGTCCAAAGCAGCTTCATAGAACTTCTACGGGAATCAGAATACCTCAAAATACATATTCAACAAGGGGGCAGTGCAATCAAAACCAAAAGTTAACGAATCAACATGTAAAAATGATCAGTTTTAAAAAATTTCAGTTTTCAAAAAGACAGTTCATGTTGGTGTCTAAGTGTTGAATCACTGCCATAAAAAAAGAAGGAAAAAGCACTAGCTAGCTGTGGTTAAAATTTCATTTTAGCAGGCACAATCCATAGCAAAGAATAAATACAATTTTTTGATCGCTGATAGGCATGATGAGAATGATTTATTGATTCATTGCTGAATCGACTATTGAACCGATCATAACCCTAACTCTAGCTCTTGCCCTAACTCTAAACCTAACTGTAACCTTAGCCCCAATTCTAACACTACCTCTACCTCTAGCCCTGACCCTTACCCTTACTGTTAACGCTACACTAACCCTAACACTAACCATGACCTTATCTCTAACCACAGCACTAACCCTAACCCCAATACTAACCCTAGTTCAAAGTTAACCTTGACTAACTAACTTAAAGGCAATCTGTCACGACGTTGATTGGTTATAAGAACAAAGGGATTTTTATTGTTTCCAGTCCCCTTTTAATTAATCGCATTATAAAAAAGATGGCGGAGCGATGGAATTGTGTTTAGGCTAATGTTCCAGCTATTGTTTTCGTTAACCAACCCACAACGAGACAGATTGCCTTTAATAATAGGCAAAAGATTTACTGCTTGGAATCACCAAATAAGCGTTTGTTACCGCAAAATTGGAAGATAGCACGTAAAAACGGAAGAATGGTCATCTAAAAAGAGAATTAAAGGTATTAAGGTTAGCTGAATTGTTTAAAAATCAATGCATTCACTTACTCTAGATTCTTTTAAATTGCCAAGACGGAAGTGAAGGGCTCCAACATTGTTCAGAATCTCTGGAGGCACATCTGCTTGCACTTTGTCCTTGAGAATGCGAGAGGCCGTCCCGTAGGCAGATAGGGCTGCCTAGATAAAAAGAGAAAGGTCGTTACAACCAAAAGGACTAAACCAAGAGAGAATTAAGAAAGAAAGCAAAATACAGGTTCAACTCATCCTTGCAACAGATACATGTTACTCTGAGGTACACCTAGACTATGGGCTTCACGGAAAATGCGATCGCACTAAATCATAGATAATCGATTTCTGATTAAGGCAATGGTAAATTACCTGAACATCTGATTGTTCCAATATCCCTGCATACTCGATCCAAGCTTCTACGTCATCTGGGAACTGTTCTGTGACCTTCTTCAAATGATTCTGAAAAAGGACAGAAGATCGTATCCCACAGACATAAGAAGAACGTGTAAATCAACAGTGGCTAATGGACAGTTCCAGGGGTGTTTATAATTTATAAGAATGTGTGGCGCTTCAACATAATAGGGTCTTAGTCCACCTGAAATCGACTGTCTGATAATCAGTAAGAATTATGGCTCCTGTAATGTACCCGTTTCTGTTTCGGAAAATAAGTCTCGCACTAGAAGTAAGCTCATCAATCCATCTGCCGCAAGTACGTTGCTAAATCTTGATCGTTCATTTTATTTTGACCTCAGGCACAACCCCAAAGGTACTGTTGCCCAAGCCTTTTTAAAACGAACAAGGAAATTGTAACAGAACTGTTTTACTATCACTGTATATCTTTAGCTTAACGCAAATTAATTTTGACGGAATGACATCTAATACACAATCAAAACACATCGAGGTGTATGCAACATCTGCAAAGCTTGGAATGCAAACTTTTTATTTCACTTCTGGACCTAAGCTATCTTATTTATCAATTTGATTGGCAGATGTAATGTTTTCTTTTTCATTACTCGTTTTGTGTTTGATGCAGTACAGTGTTCGTTAAATATGACAAATTATCTGGCTGCTCCTTTGAAAAAGGACAATGACAAAACCTTGCCTGAAGATAAACTTGTCACAGATAGAATAACCTTGACCAGAGAAGTACTGGTTTCATTTGTGCTATTTAATAATAGGTTGCAGCAAACACAATACAAAACGTTGTTATTTGTAATCACTTGCAAGATAAGCTTGGCATGTTAACACTCACTTTGGCAGTCTCACGCTTTTCTGGATCCGTAGATGTACTGTACAGCGATCCAAGAATCTTCATGGTTTCATAGTTGTTTGGCTGATGTTTTAACACCTTTTCAAAGCAATTTGCAGCCTGCAATTAAAAAGAAATCGTTCAAAGTTTCACTTGCCGTCATATTCCAAACATAAAATGATTATTCACTGGATAGCTTCCTTTTGTGAATTTAGGCCCATTCACAATACATTGAACATATTCTGGTGCTGTTTGCATTAGCTAGCAAAAATAAGAATTTACAATCACACCAGGTTCAATGCCATTTTCAAACCCTTATCCACCTTTCTACTACCAGCACCGATCCTCTCTACCAACCCCCTCCCCCAACTCTCCAAGATCATTCCACTTGTCAAAGGATCGAAAACCAACGTAACATGCAAACAGTTGGAAGCATACTTGAAACATAGCTACTTCAACTACAGAATTATGACTTACATTTACATTGTCTCCCCTGGCGATATACATCTGCCCGAGTCCAAACCATGGAAGAACAAAAGTTGAAGATGCGAACTGTGTCGCTTGATAGTAGTACTGAAATGCCTGATCGTAATCAACCTGTAAAGTATGACATATTGACACTAAATCTTCTCAGGTTGTAATAAATCCAACTTAATTCAACTCGATAAACAAATTGATAAACATCTGATCATGTTCTCCCTCACATGATTAAAAAGATATTTCATTCGCCTTAACGTCTCGATCCATTAAGAGTTTCCTCCTAGATCATGTTTGGGTTCTACGTTATTTTTTCCAAACGAAGTAAAACTTGATCATAGGCATAAACAGCACAGCTGATATTTTAGAGCCTGTTGGAAATAAACTGTTAGAATTAAAATCAGACATTACAATAACTTTAAAACACAAAATATCAAAGTTTCCCAGGCATTGAGTGGGTCGAATTAAAATATCTACCTGTCTTTCCAAGAATACCTGAAAATTGTCAATAATTTTCTAAGCAAAATGACAGCCAGTTTAGAAAATACGTCATACCTGCACGTGAAAGGATCTTGCCAGTTGATAACAGCTCTCAGCCTGCATTGCCTCAACCTCGGTTCCATGAAACGCATGAAGCGCCAAATGCTGCACTTTGGTGTAATCCTTTGAAAACAAGACATCATTTGCTACAATAACGAGGCTTCAAAACAGATTTCCAGAGGCGAACACATCTCACAAGTTTCGAGTAATTACGATAGCCTCATAATTTTCGTAACAACGTAATTCAAATGTAAATGTTACCTTTTTGAAGAAAAAGTGGTTAGCCAAGTGGTTGAGAACCATCGGATTCTGGTTGTCTATCGAGTAAGCTTTTGAAAGTAGCTGTACACCATTTTTGATACTGTCAGCCTAGAAGCATAATTACATTGTCATACGAGAACCAAGTTTATACCATAAGTTACAAGGCTATTGTTTTAAGCAGTCAGTGCTTGATATATTTATTACAAAAATAAAACAAAACCAGGAGGTTGGTTCATGCAGTTACATCATATTCAAAATATAGGGTTCTTTTGATCTGTGGGTTTCGCTGCATAATCAGAGTAAGCAATCTATTCTTAAAGTCTGTGTGTTTCTGTTTTGTTAGCATATATCTTGATATTCAAAGAATATCTATGCACAAAGACCTTGAAAGATTTGTTAAAAGAAACTGACCTTTTTCGAATTCAGCTCTAAGATTGCAAGTCCAACAAGTGCCCCAGTACATCTTGGGTCCAGTTCTAACGCTCTTTCAAAAGCAAGTCTACAGAAAGATTATTTTCATCTGATTACAACAACTTGAATCGATGAAAAACAATGTAAACTGATACTTGGTAGCCAATAAACTGTATTAGATCGTATTTTCTATGTTCAGTGCATTTTGTGAATCAAATTACAAACAACATCTAGCAAACAACATCAAATTACAAAGAAACAAATATTAAAATATTTCAAAACGAGCCAGATGTCTATCAAGAATAAGAATTGAAATTGCAAAATAAGACAGCACGAGAGTGAAATCCATTAAAGAAGGCATTAAAACTAATAAAAACAACGATAAATAGAACATTAAAAACTATGCCGTACCTGGCCTTTTCTAGTCGATTCAGACGAAAGAAACAATGTCCCATACCAAGTCGAACTTCGGCTAAAAACCAGCAAAATCAAGTAATATAATTCAAATTTCCATAAAGTCATATAATTCATTTACAGTATGCACAGGAACCTTGTAAACCATTAAATGAATGGTCGCGCAAAGCGTACTTCTCAATCTACGAGTAGTAACGAAAAACTTATATATATAACAACATATTATAAATAAGTATTATAAGTATTGATTGGTTATCTTTCTTCAAAACAAATGACTCTTCTATCTGTCAAGAATTTTCAAAAATTTTTGTTCAAGTGATAATACATGGACTTTCAAGTTATATTGAATAGCTATATTAAACAAACGTCAGAAGTTCAATCTTATTAATTTCTTACATTTCATGGTTTTATACCATAGTTTTACGTATATTGCTCATTATTGCGCATATTGCGCAACTGTTCATTACATTGCAAGGTCGCAAGAAAGCCTGTCTTCTTGATAAATAGGGTCACTGTGCCTTTGAAAAATTTAAAAACAAATATCATGATCGTTTATTAAAGACATAAAAATCTTTCATACCAGGGCAATCAGGATTTGTTCGCAAAGCCTTTTTATAATAAACCAAGGAGCCCTTGAAATCGCGCTTTTGAAATGATATGCATGCTTTTCCTGCAAAGATAAAAATATCAAGGTAACAAAATTAGATTCTGAGAGACAATCTTACCCCTTAGTTACACAAAAGCCAGCACAGGGTAACATCTTTTATGAAACTGCCATCTTTATTTAGGATAAAACCTTTCATAAACGTTTGAATGCATAGGGAAGGCAAAGAGTAGTTGAAAAAAAACACGGCCAACTACCCTTTAGAAACTTAATTAAATAACGCTCCTAAAGATTCAACACATTAAATAAAGCGTATCAAGATAGCATAAATTGAGAAAGAATTAACAGAAACGTAATGTACAAAATATATAAATATAGAGATACTTAGACTATAAATGACAATGTATGAAATGATACAATAAATATTTTATATCATATTTTATTCTCATACATATAAAATAAACGATTTATAAAACACCAATCGAATGGCATGGTGCAAAAGTATTATTTACTACTTAAAGTAGTCAGTTACTTCATCACATTAGCAATCAAATAAATAATTTTAAATTAGAACTCTGTAATGAAAGAAAAATAAAGATTCAATCTTACTTACCAAGAAGAGCAGGGATGTTGTTAGGAGACTGAAAACATATTATAATGGCTGAGTGAATTTAATGATTGGTAGACCCAAAAAATTAATTTCATGCCTTTTTAATGCTAATCTTTAGAATGCACCAAAACATAAAAAAATTCTATTTGAGACCACTTTGGAAGGCGCAAAGGATTGAAAAACTGAAAAATCCAAATAAGACAAGATTTATCAAGTGAAAAGATAGACCTGTGGTTGTTTCATTTGAGAGAATCGATAAGAAAGGAAATCTTGAAAATTACTTATTTGTATCGAAGGGTATAAGCAAACAAAAGGCTGTTTGTATACCTGATCCAACACAAAGTTGAACTGTGCATCAGCCTGGTCCATTTTATCTCCTTCCAATAAACAGAAGTAAGCACGGCCAAGAAGATGATTCTACAAAAAAGAAGCACACAGGTTACTTACAACAATCTACCTCATTCAGTTCAGTTTGTCCAGTTAAAAAAACTTCTACTTAATAGTTTAATTCTTGTTATCTAAACGACTGCTACTTAACTTGCCAGTATGAATAATCCTTTTAAAAAAGGAAGTTTGAAGAACCATTTTATTATTAGAAACTTATTAAGTTTTAGGATCAATAAGTAAATGCAACATTATGAGGGAATGCTGTTAATCATGTCCATACAGAACTTTTACCTTGTGCTTGATTGCGGAAAACACTGTTTAATACATTGTGCATGACTGACTTTGTGCCTAAAATTTGTTACCTGATCCAACATAATGATCTTGTCAGCTGTTGTATATAACTGTGTAGCTTTGGTGAAAAGCTCTCTTCTCTGGTCTTTGTTTTTGTCTTTTCTTGCCTGCTGCACATAATAGGCAGCCAAAGTGTCCAGCACCAACATCTGGTCATTTTCATGGTTTTCATAGTCCAAATTTGGATCATTGAAGTTTTCTACAAATCAAAACCATCGTAAATGCAATCTCCGTAACAAGTAACCAGCCACAATCTGTACCAAAATGCCTAACAAAATTTTTAAATAGACACTGACAGCAGGCCTTGCAAGGATATGTGTGAGAGCTTGATCAAGCATCTCTGCACACACCTAGAAGGTTCTATGAGCTTGACTGATTGAGCACCTAGGGGGCTTGTGCCAATTATGCTGTCTAAAAAACTAAATGTGAGAAACAAAATTTTGTTATTGATGATGTTTGATGATGCTCATCGAGCATCTTGAAAGTTGAAGGTGATCAGTTTGTCAAGTGCTTGCTTTTTGCTCATCACAAAGCCTGATTGGTAGTTTACGAAGAAAAATCTTCACTGACGGATGTTCTCTTTTTCACAGAGAAGCTAGATGATTATAAAGTCATAGACAACAATGTAGGTGTAGGGTAAGGGGGTTTTCACACAGTCGAGTCCAAAGCCTAAATAAAGAGGCTATAGAGGAAAAAGGCAATTTAGATTCATAAGGGTTTGTTATTTTCATGCCTCAATAAGAAAAAAACACTTACCAGCTCTGGCAGCTTCAAGAAGCTTTACAAAATCTTCAGTTTGGTTCTGTTTGTAGTATTGTTGCTACAAAAGTGATACAAAATCATATATCTCTGATTTTGAGAAAAACAGCCAAATAATTCTCTACACCTATTGACAAGCAAAGGAAATTATATCCCTGAAATGTCTGCATCAAACATTCTTATAGGTTTTAATAAAATAAGATGGGATATGAAGTGCATCATTTCAAGTAAATGGCTTATTTGCATTACCAAACCTGCTCTCAAAATTCAAAACAAAAAATGTCAATGTTGGGTTGTAAGCTCCATGCTGGGTGTTCCTATGAATGCAACCTTTATGCAACCTCTTTTCAATGTTAAAGTCGTAGTTTTGCTAGCTATCATCATACTTTTATGGGAAAATATGGCAGAAGTGCTATCTATCACACAACTGTGACTATCTAGGCATGTGGTGGTATGTGACAATTTCTCTCCAAAAAGAAAAGGTAAATACAGCTTAAATATCATCAATGATTTTATAGAAGTTTCACAGTCTTCCAAACATCTGAAAACATTCACTATGGACATTGTATCCTAAATGCCATCTAAAGCCCACAAAACTAATCACAAATTATCTCTCCAAATTGAAACAAATTGAGGCACACAATATCTGGCACACCTGCAAAACTGCAACAAAGAGGGTGTGGATCAGGCTGTTCATAAAGATTTTGGCAGTGCATGGCTGATCACTGTTGATTTTGTTTTGTTTTTAAATATCCGTTTTCCTTCAGCAGCTGGCTAAGATGTGCCTCCCTGAGATTTAGAAGAGCTCCTGAGCATTGTGGGTGTGACATCCCCAATGATAAAGACACCCAAGCCTATGTCAAAAATAAAACTGAAATTCAGACACTTACAGCTATGGAAATCCAAATGTGAAGTTGTGCATTTTCTTGTTGCAATATACTGAGTACCTCTTCCCCAACAGGAAGCTCTGAAAAATCCAACTCAATGACCTATGACAGAATGCAAAATATTGTTGAATATAGAATCAAACAATGTATTTAAATGCCTATCTATAAATCAGCTAGTGAAATTAGTAAATCCAGCAAAAGATAAATGATGCTGTTTTTCTCTTAAACTACTGCCCTTTCTTATTTTCTTTCCAGTTTGTTTCTCCTACTAAACAGGAAAGAAAGCTTTCCCCTATCACTGAGTATCATGTTCTTCTTTATTTTTTGGCTTCCTCTACATCTGATAAACCAAATAATATTTTAAACTATAATTAATAAGTAAGAATATTTCAAACTGAAAATCTTTCAATTTGGATCAATCAGCTTACATCAGAGTTATCTCACTCTGTCATATTGAGAAATTCCATAACAGTAACTATTACAAAATGAAAGCTGTAGGACAAGTGGAAAAAATCAATTAGAGCTGTAGGACAAGTGGAAAAAATCAATTAGAGCTATCTAGCCATTTGCCATTGTTTGATGAATTTGTGTTGTATAAATACATGAATTAGAGCTCACTGGTTTGAGCCAAAACAAAACAGGCTAGCTGAGTTTAACATCAACTAGCCTGCCCTTTGGAATTATTTCAAAAACATAAAGCAGTTAGTTAAAGCAAAGGTTTCATATTTTATGATTTAGAAGAGTTCTGCAAAGGAAAAAAGTAAAGAACCACAAGATGAAGTTGAACTGAAAGAAGTCCGGCGAAAAACCCAATAGATCTCGCTTAAACTGATAGCACATCCTAAAGTACAAAATTATTTATTGACTGTTGCTAGAGCTGGATGCTTCAAAGAGTTAAAATATTGGAAATTGGTTGTTTGTATCCGAACATTTGTAAGCACCAAGATTCTTTGTTTTGGTACAATAATTTTTTGTTCAAATGGTCTTTTCTACATAAAATCAATTTAACACAAGCCTCTTTGAAAGTGATTATCACTAATATCAGTGTCTCATTACACATCCTTGCACAAAATAGGTAGTGTAATCGATAAAAAATACAAAAAAAGCTATGCTCACCTCATCCGAGTCCTTGAGCGGAATTTCGATTGACGTCGCCATTTTGAAAATGTTGTATGGATGAAGCTCCTTCACAGCAAAACAATCCCCTACAGAATCGCGCTTAGTGAAGAACGCTCATAGTCGGAAATGTGTGGCAGGGACCGCGGAATTGGGGGCTGAGAGAAAAATTTTCAAATTGCTTATTTCTATCTTTTATTCAAGACCATTGAACGGCCTTTATTCTAGCCTGCACGCAGACTCGATTGGTTTTCCCAGAGATGAACCAATCAACTAAGTTTCCAATCAACTAGATTCATCTCTGGTAAAACCAGTCGAGTCTGCGCGCAGGCTCAGGGCATTTTTCAAGAATTTTCCACTGGTGGGGCATTTTAGAAAAGGACATATAGATAAAGGCAGAATTTACAGATAAACAGGCTTTCAAAAATATTCTTAAAACATTGCTACAGACCATAGAACAAAATCACTGCTCGCTAGTTTATAACTAAAAGTGTCCATCTTTTCTGAAAAATTTCTTTACAAATTGATGTCTGCTATAAGTTTCAAAGTCTGATTCTCGGTTTCTTCGTTCTTCTGCAGCAAGAAAATGATGAGCAACAGCAGCTCTTGAGTCATAATGAGCAGCTTCAAATTTTTTACAGCTTCAAATTCCTGTAATTCAGAGAATTGTGGAATAATGCCTGTCAAACTCAGCTTAATTCCATGATAATAATGACTTGAGACACCATTTGTAGAATTATAAATTTTCTGCTCATCATAATTTTTATCCAGAGCAGCAACCTCTTTTTGTACTTCTCCTTGTGAACTGTCTCCTTGTGGACCCCAAGGAATTTTCTCCTTGAGGTGTTCCTTGAGTATTTCTGGACCTGCTTTTAAATGATTGATGACATCGCGATCAGAATTATTAGGTGGGATGCTGGCTTTAGGCCAAATGGGTACTCTTGTACCCTCACCCTGCTGTTGCTGTGTATTAAAAAAGATGTTATTTTGCTGCATTTGCTTGCAATAGTCGTTGCTTGGTCTTTTTTCCTTTTCTCATTTCTTTCCGCCCTTCGCATCTTCTTTCATAACAGCTCTAGCAAGTGTAAAACAAAATTCTTTGCTTTGGGTTTTAAAAAAAACATTACAGTTTTTTCCCACTTACAAAACTGAGTTCGTTCAGCAGCTTCTACATCGTTCTCGTGTGGCGCCACGTGCTCTCGAGCACAGTGCGCCTAGCTTGAAATATGAGCTTTCCAAATTTCAGACTTTGTGAATTAGAAGGGAAATCACCTATAGAAGCAGCAGTTTCAGGGAAAAGTGAATTGAGATTTGAAACCTGTTCAATGAAGATTTCATCCACAAATATCTCAGATAAAGTAAAAAGTAAAAAAGTCACCAAATCATAAGTGCACTTAAGTGGTGGGGCAAACATGTTCCACTGGTGGGGCTATGAAAGGGGCTGGTGGGGAATTTCCCCACCACTTTATATGTTAAAAAATGCCCTGATAACGATTTAGAAAAGATTTCAATTAATATAAAAATACAAAACTGAGTTAGATAAAATACAAATTTATCTTTGACCACACAAGATAAAGCACCATTAAAAAGAACAAAAATGTGTTCCCAGCAGAACTGCTACTAATGCGTTCGTTAGCGTAAAATTTTCAAAACATTTTCTAAACCATTACTGCAAACAAAGTTGGGGAGGACTATAGTCCCTGTCATGCAACATTCCCATCCCAATTGAATGTTCCTCCCAGCTACCACCGAGAGGCTTATCATCGTTCAGCTGCTGTAATAGGCAGGGCATTTCTCTGAACCATCGACCGCATTGCCTAACCTTTTTTTTTCTCAGCTGATTATGGAACAATATGGTATAACGAATTATTTAAGCCCTTACAACATTTTCAAAAATTCATCAAAGTCACGTTACCGATGACGTCAAAAAGTGTATGTTTCCTAGACTCAAAACCATTGTAACTTCTTAAGTATACGTCTGAATTCAATATAAATGCTAGATTCGGGCTCGCCTAAAGAAAAGCTTTCCAATGATATATACATATTAGTATTTTAACGATGTCAGCAATTTTCAATGATGACGTCATCACTTTCAAATTGGCCGTCGAACAGTACATTTTAAGACAAAAGCTCTGATCTAATCAACTGCATTTCTGGATCGTTTTGTGGCAATGTTTTGTCAGATAATTATTCTGCATCACTCAATTTAACGTTTAAATTCTCGAATTGCCCCGCTCCCCCTCGAAAATGCCCCCACCCTAGGACTACAAATTGTCAATAAGCCCCCCTCGAATTAGCCCCCACTGCTACCATAAATTCTCAAATGGGACCCCTCAATTTGATGATTTTTGCCATCTGAGGTTGCCTACGGCGTTTTATTGAACCACAACAATTCATACGTTTGGTAGTAATTAATTGAATGCTCATAGAGAAATTCCTATTAAAATAAATGACGTCTTTTACTAATGTCTTCTTAATGTCTACAATAATTTTGCAACCCCCCTCGTATCAGCCCCCCCCCCTCGAATATGCCCCCATCCAAAAATATAAAAAATAAATAAGCCCCCCGGGGGCTAATTCGAGGATTTACGGTATATATTTGCCTCAAATCCATTTACCGCCAGAATCCTCCGACGAACTGAAGTCATAAACTTCCCGTTCACTCTCTAGTTCATCAGAAAGTTCAGTGCTACTTAGGTCAGAGTCTACCTGGTCTGTTGTTTCCTTGTATTTGTTACAAGCACCGATTTCGTCGACACTACGGGCTTATTTCGGTACCTCTGTACATCTCTTGCATTTCTTTGGAGCAGGGAGATTTTCACTGCCACTTTCGACATCTGCCCTAACGTTTTCTGAAAGTCGGCTCTTGTTTTTCCGTCTTGACTTCAATGAAGGGGGCACGTGAAGCAAAAAGAATTCAAGGAAGACTCTTCAGAAGACCCTTCCAGCCACAACTTTCGAAAGAAAGCCTTGACGGATGGTTCTACGCAACGCAATCAGCAGTAGGCTATCTTCTAGGAATGTGAATCAGAAGGGAGTTAAATGTTACTTTCATTTTGTTATACATTTTTAGTCTTGTTTCCACATAGCTTTTCTTGACCTTGCCAGAATACATTACCATTTGAACAAACTTCTGAAAATCTTCTATATCGCTATCACTCCTAACCACTTTTTCTTCTCCAAGGCTGTCAAGGTATCGCGGGCTCTTGATGACTGTCTTCAGCAACCTTACCTTTCCTACGTTGCGGAAATAGGATTTAGAATTACACCCAGATAAAGCATGTAAAGCCTGTAGATTAAGGCAAACATCTCTTCTGAAATGGGAACCATTTGCATTTTACATGGAGAAAAGCAAAAGCCCAATGTGTCTTCCTTCAGAAATCAGTCTTATAATATCAATTTGCTTCTAATTTCGATACAGGAGCTCGTAGCATTTATATCCTTGCAACATGCTTTGGTAGTACACTTCTAAATGACCTTTTGGCCCTGGTTCACCAACTTATACCCAGCTTCAGGAGCAACAAATTTGATAAGGCTGTGCATCCGCGCTCGGTACGTTGGCATCGGCTTGATGGAGCGAACTGCTACCACTCCGTCTACAATACAAACGACAGACTTCGGAGGCATGTCTTTGATCCATTGCCACTCTTCGAGCAAGAGTCGTTGCAAAGTTACTTTGTCTGACTGACACAAAGTTAAACCAGCTGTAGCGATAGTAATTGAAAGAGGAACGCTTGTCATGGGATGCGTGAATGCCTCTTGCAGACTTCCTGCCTTCAAAATGAGTAGTTAAAGGCCTGTTTTTGTGTTCCTTGGCCACGGTAGGTGTCCCCTTGACTTTTTCCAGATCTGCCCTCAGCTTTGTTTTTTTGATCGGCGTGAAGAATTAAACGCTGCCATTAGTCAGGCGATCATTTGTGAAGCGATGCATATTCTCTTCTCCTATGATCGACGCTGCAAGGAGGTCAGTAGAACTTTATTGATCTAGTTCTTCACCAGTTAAAGTCGATTTTGCAGGAGCAACAGAAAACCGATTGGTGCCATAGCTTTGAAGAGTTCTCTAAGGCTACCATTATGCTTCTGAAGGAGCTTTGTCCCACCTGGAATGCTGTACTTGTGAATTGATGATGACTTTACGAAAAAGTATTTTTTCAGAGCCTCTCTAAACTTGCTATGAATGTGGGACGTAGCAATCCAAGTGTTAACCGCATTAACGTTTGCTGAAGCCAGACCAGTATGGACCTGCAGTCCCTTTAGCTTTTTGAATCGCAATAAATTTCCTCTAAATTCTTATTTGTTCCAATCTTGGAATGCTGTAGTTTGTTCACCCTCACCCTGTAATGATTGAAGTGAAATGGAGAAGCAGATGTTGGTATGTCCAGTAGCGGGCATAGTTGATGGGATTCAATGCAAATGTAAGCAGAATCATATTTCGCACTGCTTGCAAAAGTAGCTCAGTGTTGCTTTTCTGCACAGCTGCTACCATGCTCAACAAAGCAGACAAATCCTCCAGCTTAGTGATTTCAAGAGACTTTTTGACGATTTTCAAGAATCAACAGTTTTTGCATAAATCTGCCATTGCTTATGGGCATTGACTGTGTGTGTTTTTTTGAAAAAGACGTTGGCGAACCCATGAGTTGATGAAAGCAATCCATCAGCACTTTGATCTGACTTCAGCATTGGTTCACATAAATTGGTTCATCTTTGCCTTGCCCATTTTATTCGCATGAACAAAAACATGAAATATGTCAAGATCATATCTAAGAAAGAATCAAGGTATATTCCTTGCATACTGGATAGACAGGCACCTTATGAGTAATTGGCAAGGTATCTAGCCCTGTCAAGGGTATTAAATAAAGGCTTTAAAGTAATAAATCATATAATAACTGTTTCCTCCTGTCTCCTGGCAATGCCAATAATATAAGCCCTTGGCCTTTGTGCAAAGCTCGGTTTCGTACCGACGGCTTCACGTCCGGTCTTCGGAAACAATTATTTTAGGTTTAATTAATGAAATTAGAAGAATAATAATGAAAAACTGTGAATGGCGAAGGAGCAGCTTCTTCTCCGTTATAAGAAAGTGTCAAGCAAAATCATGCATGAAGTCAAATTGCGATAATGCCAAATTATGCCTAGCAAATTCAGAGTCAGCTCACTGGTCGACGGCCATTTTGAAAGTGATGACGTCTTCATTGAAAATTGCTGACATCGTTAAAATACTAATGTGTATATATCATTGGAAAGCTTTCCTTCAGGCGAGCCCGAATCCAGCATTTATATTGAATTCAGACGTATACTTAAGAAGTTACAATGGTTTTGAGCCTAGGAAACATAACCTTTTTGACGTCATCGGTAACGTGACTTCGATGAATTTTTGAAAATGTTGTAAGGACTTAAATTATTCGTTATACCATATTGTTCCATAATCAGCCGAGAAAATAAAGGTTAGGCAATGCGGTCGATGGTTGAGAGGAATGCCCTGCCTATAACCTTGAGAGGAATTTTTCCAATGCTTCTCCAATTTAAAACACCTGAGTTGAATTGCTTTATAGCTTTTTCTGAAATCTACTGAAAGATATCACATAAACCCCAAAATACATTACGGGCAGGAGATCATAATCTCGGTCTTGGTCTTTAGGCTCAGTGTCTTTTTTGAAGCAAATCATAAAAGCAAACTAAATTGGGATGATGTCTTGAAATCAAAGCTGTATACAGAGTCCATATTACTTCAAAACAGCACACAACAATATCATAAAGCGCAATTGATTTCTCTCCGCATGTACTGAAGCTTAGGGTTCTGAAGTTTTTTAATTTTTTTTTATTGTTCATTGCTCATTTCTTATCGCAAATTTCTTATAAAAAATGAGTGCAATACATAAGGCTGGGATTGGGCATTCACTTCGAATTGAAAAAATGTTCCCATTTCTTTCTTGATGAAATGAAAAAATGTTTCGATTGGTATTTTATGTTGCACTTTTAAGAACATGCATTATTTACAAATCCACACTTTCTACAATTACAGTGTTACAGATCCACGCTTATTTTAGGCCCTGAATCTGCCCATTCTTTCTCATGTCCTCAAACATTTTCTTTTCATCAGTTCCTTTCCCTTCAATAGCGATCTCTCTCTTTTCGTAATGTTTATGAGAAATTTGTTGGCAACAAGTAAACTGTGTGAGCCAAGTTTAGGCAATAGAAAAACGAAACTCCGCCAGTTTGTGCTGGCATCAAGTTATTCTGGACTAGGCTTCTCGATCTATTTGCTAAGCCAAGCTGATACTCGTTGTAAAACTTAGACAATGACCGATTTCTTCGATCTAGTTCCATATTCAATTTTATGTATGTCTTCTATGGTAAAGACAGCAACCAAGGTAAAGCTAAGGACACATTTAAGAGAATTCTAAGCAAAGTTACTTACAGAATCACATACTAAATTTATTTCCATTTTTGCCTAAATTTTTTTTAGCTCTGCAGAAAAGTGGGGGAGGGGAGGAGCCATGGCCTACCGGCCCCCCGGCTACGCCGGCCCTGTAGCCTCATCTCATCCCCGGCTTTTACAATCGATCGAAGTATGTGAATAACAGGGTACAGTTAATTTTCTAACAGCTGTTCTGGTTGAAAAATAAAACTGTAACTAGAGTTGTTGCGGGCGTGCCATTGTCACGACACGTTTTGAGATATAAATAAAGAATTGAAAGAAGAATTACTACTTCCGTTTCTAGTAATCTGTCGGCGGTTGAAACTGGTATAAAGCTGCAAACTGGCAAAGTCAGCTGATTTCTTTTTGAAGTGCATGCTAACTGGTATTGGCGTGCATGATGTGTGCAGCAATGGCATTATATCGAGTTATATTCCTGGTGTTGGCATTGCATTATTCAGCCATCGAATGTACTGTAGTTAGCATCAAAGGACTCGGAAGCGTGCAAGGTAAGCCAATGTATTTAGATACAAAACATATCTAAATGTTCTCCATAGAGATATGTGTTCTCCACATAACCTCTATTCAGATTATACATACAGGGGACAGTGGAAGCATGTTAAATATTATCTGTCAATACTACATAATGTTGGTAGCATAAATTTTGAGATGGCTGGCGACTGCATATAAAATATTTGGGAAGGCTAGAAACTGCATCTTAGGATATTAACAACAAAGACGTAGGTAAGGAAGATCCTAGTAAATACTCATATTAGCCTTAGGTGGGCAAGATTTGCTACTTGAAAACTTCATAAGCTCATAGCTATCATTTTGCTAGCAGAGTTTCAGAATAAAGGGGCTAACAAATGAATTGAATTATATAGGCCTGACGATTCTGACGATTCGCTCTGACGATACTGAATTATATAGGCCTGACGATTCTGACGATTCGCACGGAAACCGCTGTACAAAGTATCATCAATAACTTTTAGTTTAAAAGAGATATTAAGTTTATTTTTGTTTAAACAACATATTTAAAGATTGTTTAAGAGGAATTTAGCATTTGGAAACTCAAAATTTCGTAAGATGTATTAGTAAAGACTTAGTAAAATTTGACAATTTTCCGACATGTATCGAAAACTGCGTATCGATGTATCAAAAATAACTTTTCGCAAAATCACCACAGGATCTTCAATCGAGATTTATTGGAAAGGCAACTCGATATTCTAGAGGAATTTGCACCTTTCGACTCAAAACCTACAGTTTTCCAGTAAAAATATGCCCTCTGAAAAACTTGCGAAATTGAGCTTTTCAAGAAAATCGAGGGTCAGTGTATCAAAAATAGCTTTTCACCATTGACAAAAATCAGCCGGATTTTTACGTTTTTCTAGCATCCCAGCAACATTTGAGAGGAATTTTGCATCTACAAGCATATTGCCACCGAGAAAGTTGGGGAAATGTCCACTTAAAGTTTGGCACTAGAACAGCCTTCTTGAAATTTGGCCATTTTTTAAGGACCGGCAAGTCGTCAGTTTTGGCCAAAAAACCGGCCGTAAACATGATTTTTTAGAGTTTGACTGTTATTTGATAACTGATCTTCAAAAAAATCGATTTTTATCTGCATTATTTGCACCCTGTCTTAAACGGGGGCGATGGGTAGAAGGAGAAAACTTTGCAATGTTTGCTTATGAAAACCACCTCATGACTTTTATCTATTATTTTCCCTTTGAAGCATTATTCGATGATTTATTAACAAATTGGTTAACATATGATCATTGTTTGTCACTTTAACTGTTATTTCAAGTACGTTTTGCAGGCAACAAAGCTTTTTCGAGATATTTCAAAAGTATGAAATTCTTGCCTTAGTTCATCTACTTCCTGTCTATGGGATCGTGCGATGCGAGGGGCTGTCTGACGATTCGAGCAAAAACCGCTCATCGGTGTATCAAAAAAAAACTTTTCTCTAACTCATCACACGATCTTCAATCGACATTCATTGGAAAGACAACTCAATATTCTAGAGGAATTGATGATACTTTGTACAGCGGTTCCCATGCGAATCGTCAGAGCGAATCGTCAGAATCGTCAGGCCTATATAATTCAATGAATTAAATTCATTTTAGGCTTTATGTTTTCGATAAGCAGTGGCGTGTTGGACTGGCAAGGGATGCTGGGATGCTTTCGCATCCTGGACTTTTCCCAGACTCATTCTTCTACATATACTCATAGGCCCCCTTCCTTGGAAAAATGATACAGAGCACTTGCTGACCCTCGTTTTTAAGCAGGGTTGCAGTAGAAGTTGGTTTTTTTTGTTTTTTTTTCGGGAAGGAGGGGGTGGCTATAATATTCTGCGCCCAGCTACTGTTTTTAAGGCGAGCGAGTTGAACTGTTGCTTTCTACTGTTGCACGTGATCATCATAACCATCAAAACTATCATCATCATGTTATTATCAAAAGATGATAAAATATACAAATAGTTTATTAAACTAATTAAATTTATTTAAAAATACAACCAAAAAATAATTTACAAATTAAACAATTGCACCATTCGCAATTCCACTTTGCCATCCCCTTTTTGAAATTTTTCAGGGTGCCATCCATCATCTAGAGTTTTCCGTAGGAGGCTGCCTCCAAACGTGAGAGAATTTAGTCCATATTTAGAGGCTTCGGACCACTACCTTATAACAACCTTTCCAGGATAGAAAAGTTGCAGGACTCAGTAGAAAAAGCTCGACAAAGTGCACTGCATTTGGCATTAGTTCCTGTTTATATCATTAAACCGAGGGTTGATGTTCTTAAAAGTATGTTCTTATGGAAAAAAGGTGCATGTTTCATATAAAAGATGAACCTTTAATATTTGCAGCAAGCATATCAGAGTAGATAATTAAGCAATTTCACCTGATGGGGGTTTGATGGCATTTTTCAGTAAGAAAAGGGGCATTTTTCTTACTGATGCAACTAAGGGCAAAACAAGGGACGAATATTGCTGTCTTATTAGCTACTTTTATAACATATAACATGTCCATGGCGTCTCTGCAGATCTTGGAGCAATTAAAAAAACATCTCTGTGGAAATAGAGGCACCTGTTCAAATAGAAGATTTTCTGAAAACGCGGTCATTTCACGTAAAAGTTCAATATTTATGGTGGTTTTTCAAAAGGCTCAAACCTGACTTCAAAGTCGACAAATAGAATGAACATCTTCTGTTTGCGTTCACGAAGGCTATGCTTATCTAAGCAAAACAGCATATTTACTTTTTATTTCAACAGGACAGTATACAAGTTTATCTACAATGTAGCCCATTTTCTGTGGCTATCGCTTTGAAGTTAGATTAAACTTTTTCCCTGGTGTTGTCGTGGCATCAAAGATAATGGTCTTAAACCAACATGATAGTTTACCAATTTGCGAAAGATCCCCCCCCCCTCCCCCTCCTCCGCGTTCAAAATTTGCTCCGGCGTTCTTGTACAATGGTGTAAGCTCAAAAATGGTTCTAGCTCGACTGCATCGATAGCCAACACATTTCTTGATCTTTTTTATCAATTTCCGGACAACAATGTTGATTGTTTGTTGCAATATTTCCGGCGTTGTTCGGCGTTTATTCGAGACCGGCGTTTATTCAAAGTCCGCCGTTACATTGAGTAAAAACGATATGCTGAATATTTATTTTCTTTACATTGTGGCTGGAACATGGAAGAAACCCCATGTTGATACTAAATTGTCCCCTTCTTTCCGGCCTTCTCAGGCCAATTTCTCTTCTCAGGCCAATTTCTCTTCTCAGGTCCATTTATCTTCTCCTTTCTGGTCTTTTTCGTAAATCCCATATACTCAATCATCAGAACAACATTTCTTTGCCTAATCTCTATATATCTCCTATATATCACTTACATTCAACCACCTTGTCGTTAGTTTACTTATTCTACCTACCATAACCTACCATCTAACCATTTTAGATTTTCGATTTTCGAATTAAAACTGTCTAATTATTTGCCAAACTTTTTTTAGGTACAACAAGAAATCTAAGTGGTAGCCTTGTCGATACTTTTTGGGGTGTGCCTTTTGGCAAGCCACCCCTGGGAAACTTGAGATTTGCGCCACCAGAAAAAGTAGAACCATGGACGAAAGTGATCAATGGAACTAAAGTCACCTGTCTCCAATATGATGTCACTACACGGAAGGTTAAAGGAGGAGAAGATTGCTTGTACCTAAACATTTTTAGAAAAAGAACTGCAACAGCTAGAAAAATGGATGTAATGGTAAGTGTGTTTCTGCTTTCGTATATACCTTTATTTAGACCAGACACCCAGTCAGATCAAATAATGACGGAAACAATGATGGTGGCGCAGAACAATTCCATAGAATGTTGATAATTAGTTATAAACAACAATTTTGACTCAAAAATAGATAAACACCTTAGTTAAAAGGTGTGGAAAATAAAAATTGTGCATTTGGAACAAGCAAAAACGGTACGCAAATTTGGAACGGTGCGCAATCGTACGGTATTCGTAGATTGCCCATCTTGTCATTTCACAAATACTGTAACAAACCAAAAACAAGAGATAGAAAGCTAGTTGTTTAATACTATGAATGAATTATAATTAATGACTTTTTCTGTCTCATACTTGATTTTCAAGGCATGGCCCAAAATCGTGCCAAAATAGTATCATTATCGCGAACTTAGAATGTTGTAAGGTGATAAACTCACAAAAAACTCGAAATAGAAGTTATATATTTCTTTCAAGGTAACAAAACAAAAACAAGCTGGCTATATACTCTCATCGCATTCTTGCTTGTAAGAATAGTAAAAGTCATGTTTCTAAAGCTCCTTACACCCACGCGCTCGCTCCTTCTCCGCGGTTATTTGTAAGCAGTTTTATTTTACACATTAAGATAAAATTGGGGATTCAGAATATTCCCATCAAATGACAGATTCAAGATTTCGCCGCATATAGAAAAAGACCGAAGTATAATCTTAATACCTTCTAAAGATCAAACACGTATAGTAAAGGGAAGGCCGCAGAAAATGGGGGTCAAGGAGGAATTGTCTTAGGGCCTCCAGGTCTAGGGGTCTCATTAAATTAGGAATTCCATTATAAAAATGATGCTTTACAGCAAATCTTTGAGAGCTTTTAAGCAATAAAGAGAGTGACGCTCAAAGAAATCATTTTGTAGAATAATTTATTACGCTTTGGTTGTGCTTTATTCGATTAAAATATGCAAACTTAAAACAATTTTTGCACTTAGCCCTTCTGCAGTTCATTTAGTTTTTACCGACTTAACTTTTGACGGCTTTTGCTCTAATTGAAATTGGTTTTTCTTTACAAGGTTTTCATTCATGGTGGGAGCTATACAGGTGGCGCAGGCCATCAGTATAATGGAGAGGCGTTGGCAGCTCTACATGATGTTGTGGTTGTCACAATTAATTACCGTCTTGGTATTCTTGGGTTCTACAGCATTCCCGACACTGAATTAACCGGCAACTACGGCCTGCAGGACCAGATTCTTGCCTTAAAGTGGGTCAAGGAACACATTTCAGACTTTGGGGGCGATCCAAGCAAAGTGACAATATTTGGCGAAAGTGCTGGAGCTGGCTGTGTGTCATTGTTGTTGCTCTCACCGATGACTAAAGGGTTGTTTACTCGTGCCATTGCAGAAAGTGGGTCTGCCTTGAATATATGGGCTGTATATGAGAAGCAGAACAACACCATGGCGTATAACTTTGCTCAACGTTCGGGGTGTAATAGAACAAGCACTGCAAAATGTCTGCGTAGCAAATCTGCACTTTACTTGTTATTCAAGCAAATCACATCAAAAAGTTATCCGCTAATTTCCCCTACTGTCGATGGCAAAGTGATAACAGTGTTTCCTTTTCAAGAAAGTATAATGGGCAAGTTGCCCGTTCCTGACGTGGAACTTATGATAGGTTTTAACAAAGATGAAGGAACGATGTTCATTCCATCTATTGAATGGACTAAGCTTTCATATCACCAAACAGTTAAAGAAACCTTACAACTGCGTTACAAAGAAGACACAGCAATGGCAACCGAAGTTGCATCCTTTGAGTATAATAGGTTTACTAAACCTGAGAATCTTAGTCTCCAGTTGTCATGCAAGGAATTTATTGGCGATATTTATTTTAGAGAGGGGATCATAAGATTGGCTGGCGACTGGGCAAAAGCAGGAAAACGTGTCTTCCTCTATTATTTCACATTCTTGCCAGAGAACCTTAAAAATCCTTCACTGGGTGTTTCCCATGCCATAGAGCTGGGTTTTGTATTCGGTAGACCGGTTCTAGGTGCATCGGATTGGTTTGTATCAAACTATACAAAAACGGACAAGAACAAAAGTCTAAAATTGATGAAAATGTGGACCGATTTTGCAAAGAACGGTGTTGCTGATAGCAAGTGGCCATTGTATAACCTGACTGACAAGAAGTACCTCGAGATAAACATAAATGACACCGTTCAACAGGACTTCAGCCCGAAAAGAATGACATTTTGGCACAACACGCTACCGAACGTACTGGCATTGGCGAAAGCGAATACAAAGCAACCAACAGCCACTCCCCAGATATGTACAACACAGAAGACGGCGTCAAGTGCACCAGGGAAAGTGGGCTTTACTTACACGCTTGTTACTATGCTTCTACTTGCATTTTTTGGTCTGTAATGAAATACGAAATGCACCAAAAAAGCTTTATTTCAAATGTGGTAAAGTTCCTTATTCAGAACTGATTAAACTAAAGTGGACATAGACATTTTACAATAACGTATATCTTTTGAGTTATTCTAGTTGATGTATCATACCCTATCAATATCCTGCACTTAAAAAAGCTCTCAAGAAACAGCTATCTAAGAGGTTGTCAGAGAGACAGAGAGAGAGGCTCTCTCTCTCTGTGTCTCTCTCTCTCTCTCTCTGTCTCTCTCTCCCTGTCTCTCTCTCTGTCTCTCTCTCTCTCTGACACTAACTGGATTTTGGTGCCACACCCTTCAGGTTGCTGGAGAATAATTGAATACCCATTTTCAAAATTCAGTTTTTGACTTTAGGGTTAAGAAGATAAAAAATAAAGTAAAATCTGGCGTTATTTTGTTGCTACTGATAGCCAAAAAATGTATTTTACCGGAAGCAAAATTTACCGAAGGACAAAGAAATATTAGGGGGGGGGGCGGTGGTTGTCGCATCGCGATAGATAGCACTCCTAAGGTCTAAAAGATCATTGTACTAAAAAATAGAGATCTTCTGATACTCAATGAGCAGTTATGATTAGCTAGTTATGGTGAACCGTGCATTGAAAACTACTTCTTCTATAGAAATACTTGATAAAACCGTGCTGTTGAAGTTCGCCATAAAACCAAAAAATAAATCTTTAAGTTGTGCTATCAGAGCCATAATGAAATTTCGCGGATAAGCTAATCCATCTATCCTCACTTTTTGTATTTGTTACTGCCTAACACCCGAAGGTAGTTTTTAGAACACTGAGAACATTTGCTTATGGAGCAGCGTCCTGATCCTCCCTCTCGATATGACCTCACCTCGTGAGTCCTACGTCTGGAAAGACAGAGAGCTGGGGACTCCCCCCACTCTAAGAGTTTGGTGTTGTCAGTGACTCAGACTCTAGACCCTTCGATCTGTAGTCAGCGCCCCTAACCACTGAGCTATTCTCCCAAACGGTGGACACTCACCTTCTACTGCTATTGGCGTGTTTCGCTTGATACATTCGGTTCATTTGTTCAAGGACTTTAAACGCAATGCAGAAACATTTACTTATTGTACATTCATGGCAGAAACAATGCAATTATTTTACGATCTATCTATCAAAATATTTTTACTAAGTCATTGTTGATATTAAACGATTGCATTTGAGTTTTAGCATAAAAGAATCGAAAATTTTTTTCTCAATTTCACAATATTTAGGTTATTTTCATATTACTGTACAACATTCCAAACTTTTTATTAGAGAGGTTAATGGTACGAACTATATAACCAAGTCAACCCTATTTTCGTTCGTTCCTTGAATAAACTTTTAGTCATACTGACAATTGTTCCAAAAAATACTCCATAATAAAACATGTCTAAAGTATATCGAGGCGTCGTATCAAAACTTTGTCGAAAAAGATTTGCGAGATACGCGAAAGTGATTAGCTTTTGACTAGTGGTGTCGTGTTATCAAAATAACAAGGGGGACTCTTGCACAAAATGTTGTGAAAAACAATGGCAAAAGTAGAAGATGCCACTTTTCGGCATTAACAAGGGGGGCTCAGCTTCTGATGACTAAGAATCACAAAACGTGTCACAAAAACTAAGAATCAGATATTAACTCGTGAGCAATACCTAGAAAGACAACTTGTGAGCAATACCTAGAGAGTGAGCTAAATAAAAGGAAAATAACCAATTAGCCTATAATCACAGCAAGATTTGTTCAGCATTAATCAGATTGATCAAGAGTTTCAAAACTTCAAAGACTGGGAAATATTGAGCAAAATACAAGAAAACATAGGCCACCCTCTCAAAAATGCACAACAGTCTCTGATTAAATATCTTTGGCAGCAGACAGTATTGTTTTAAAGATAAAAATTGCTTTGCAAATCCATGTATACTGCTCCAACTCAAATTAAATAGCACCTAAGATGTACATTTGTCCGGTATCATCTATAGTAATGAATTTTTTAAAGTCATTTGACACTTCTATAAGTCGTAGGTAGTTCCCTCTGACTAAGAACGTTTGAAGAAGCGTGCCATCTCTTTTCCACCACTAGAAATTAAAGATAAAATCCTGTTTAATATCAACTAATTTATTTCAAAGAATGCTACAAAAAACAATACTTTTGATCGGTTAAAAAGTTAAATCGATCAAATTCCCGTTATTTGTTCTCCTTAGGTTTTGTATAAAAAAGTTGGGGAGTGAGTGGTGTTTTTTACCGCTGACATTTACCGCTAATCTTACCGCGAAAGTACAAATAAGGATTTCACCTCTCTTGGCTTAAAGCTTGGATCGAAATATCACAAGTGTTATGGAAGATCACTTTGCTCTACCAGTTCTAACGAAAAAAAAAATATAAAGAGCTCAAAAAACCCAAAATAAAACGCGACTCCCGGGAAGATCGGACGTCTGCTTGAATTCAATCATAGGCTTAATCTAATTTTTAAATTTTTCAAAGAATACCAAGTTCCGTGTCAAATGATTTAGGACCCACCTATAATGATGCCAGATCATAACTTATTGATTATCCCGGTGTCGTGTAAACGGGATCTTACTTTACCCAAGCCGAGGCATAAAATCTAGGCTGGCTCCGAAAAAAATTACCACAGTGGGTCTCATCACACAGCAAAGGCACGGCGCTTGATTTGCCAAGAAGCTTACTCATTTCATTACATATAACCAAACAAATACTTCATGTAAGTTATAGAAAGTCACCTTAATTAGGCAGTAAAACTTGCTAGAAATAACGATAGGCATATGCTTCTTTGCCATATACTTACTATATGTGGGAAGCAGATATTATACACTTATATCCCCATCAAAAGTACCATTAAACGCAGCAATTTCTCAAGAAGAAAAATCCCATTGCCTATCCGGAGAGAAATAGATTAATGCTAGAAGTAGCCAGAATTGTCTGTCGTTTGCGCCGACATACACTGTTTGTAGTTTTGTAGAGGCAACAATTTCTCCCTACCTTGATATCACTGCTTACTGAAACAAACGAGTCGCCACTGGATGAAAATTGTACATCTGTCACCCAAACCTTATGTCCTTCACATGTTGCTAGATTTTGTCCTAAACGTGTATCCCAAATCTATTGAACGAAAAGATACGACAAAAGATAAGCGAGATGCATCAATGGGTGTTAAGCATCTCCTAATTACCCCCGAGAACTAAAAGCAACATAACTCTACATCAACGTATGCTTGGAGTACTGCTATCCAAGGTTAAGTACAAACGAATGCGAAATTGTATTTACAGAGGCTTGATCGGCTTTTAGTTCGATGCGGCAAGTGATGCTCAAGCTTCTAAACTTTTTCTATGCATTGACTTGACAATTGTGTCAAAACAATTCCAACGAGCTCAGTATTTGCGTTACATGTAGATTCAAAATGAGGTTAAAAGAGCAAACTCACAAAGTTGACCTTTGGTGTTAGCATAAGAAAACCTTAGTATGAATGATCAGGTATCACACCCCATAACCCACAAGCCTCCTATGGTAACTGACAAAATTCAGAAGCCAGCTATAAAAATTTTCCCTTTGCTTCAGGTTAAAATTGGCGCCGATCAGTTGCTATGGAAGTGTATCTCCTACTCCCGTGGAAATTCAGGAGGAGGGAGAAAGAGGCAATAGAGTCCTAAAGTGTGGCGCCATAAAACATATTTTTAGAATCTTTGACTTTTGACCGCTATAAGCTAAAAAAACCTAAATAAAATACCTTAGAATATGGAAAGTCTGTTAAATATCTTAATAATTGGTTGAGATATGGCCAATGAAAGATTTGAAGTTTGCAAAATACAAAATCAAGCTATTGCATAACAAGAAATTAAACATTCATACCTTGATGGTACTGTCATCAGAGCCAGTAACTACCAAAGTATTATCAGGTGAAAAAGAGGCACATCTCACACAGTCAGAATGTCCTGTTAAGGTATGCAAAAGTTTCCCTGTTTCTGCATTCCAAAGCTGAAGAAAAGAAGATTGAATGATTTAAGACTAGAAACAGCCAGTTAGACGTTTTACAATCATCTGACTCAAATCATTGCCAGGTCTTCAAAAATCTTTTAGATTTAAAATGTCTTTTAACATGCAAGCTCTTACACTATGCGCACAAATTTGAAGAGAAATAAACACAACTTTGGATGGAACATAAACGTTCCCAAAGTCTATTTTTTGTTAACTTCGTAAGGCATTCGTACTACTGCGAGGGCATATCTAAACTGCGAAGGAGAAATCTGTAAGGCATTCGGACTCCTCCGCAGTTTAGATGTGCCCATTCGAAGTACGAATGCCTTACGGAGTTAATAAAAAATAGACTTTGGTAAAGTCTAGATTGAACATAACAAATGTCAGTAGATTAGCCTAAAAGTTTTCACAATAGAACAAATTTAATAAACGATGGGCATGAGTGCCAAATAAAGTACCATTACACAACTCAGTTGTCATAAGGTCGACCTAAATCCTTCACTGCTACAAGGTGTAAATTGAGAAACAATGCACCAAATATAGGCCCAATTTATCCATATGATATAAAGTTGACGCATAATATATAAAAAATAAACCTAATTCACAGAAAGTTCACCGTGGAGCTATTTTATAGCGTAAAGTCAAAAATGGATAATAGTTTTTTTCAATTTATGAGGAATTTTTATTGTGCCTTTGAATATAAGGGGAAACCATACCATTTCGCCTCCTTGTACCCAACATCCTTACAAACAATGCCCTTTAAATTACAAATCAAGAGTTCTCTAAACAAGTGTGATCTATAAGGTCAGATAAATTCAGACCTTATTGTGACTTTCGAGCAAAATACACCTATTAGGGACGCTGCAATGAAATCGCCAAAAGGTAAACTCCATTTCTATCCTTTTTTATACAGGAATAAATCATTTGAATAGTCTCAACTAATGAAGTATAAAAATAAAAACTAATTACTAGCAACGAAGCACTTGTGGAAGGGGGGGGGGGGGCACTTTGCACGATAGCTCAGGCCAGTTCTTGTCAAGTGTTCCAAGCCTAAATTCATATTTATATTTTCTTGATTGTATATGATAACATTATGCAATGAAGGCCTTTATACTTGAATTGAATCCATTTCAGTTGAATGGTACAGAGTGGTACCTTGCCTGTGGACCCGGCTGAGGTTGACACAACCATCTTATCATCAGGTGAAACTGAACAGGATAGGACTGTGTTATTATCATTATGATGACATGTAAATAAGCAGCTGCCTTTGTCCAAATCCCAAACCTGTAGAAACGAGATGATCAATTTTGAAAAGAGGTGAACTCTTGAAGAATAATTCAGTAATAGAAAGCAAACACGCACTAAATAAAAAACTAAACTAAAATATCGAGACTCGGTGAAGGCTTGTTCATCTTTGCCACAAAAGGCATACCTAACTTGAGCAATTACTTTGATTTTAAATAAAGTAGTGAACTGAAAAATGACAAAGGGCCAAGCAGGCAGGAAGAAAATTGAAGGCTTAATACCATTGATAAATCAAATAATTCTTATCCTCTTTGGTCGGATTGATCTTACTTTTATATCTTTGTCATTATAACTTTTTTAGACATGAAATATAGAAGGTGGGTCACCAAAAAAGGTAAAGTAGAGGAAGAAAATATGTTGGCTTCATCGAGGTTTGTGCTGGGATTAGTGAGCTTGTTCTGAGAAAAAAATCTGAAAGCATCTATCCTTCAAGGCCTTTGTTAAAAACTTAGCAGAAAAACAAATATAGGAAGAGCTGTGCATGATTTAATATGGAAGAAGACGGAATGCAAATCGGTGTTTCACGTCTAATGCGATTACCAGGCAATTAAACAGTTCATAACATAGATTCACTTTTAAAAAGAGGATTTTTAAACTCTGGGATTTTATTTCCCAAAATAGGATGCCATAACACAGCTTGGTTTGTGAAAAAATGAGAAATAGAAGTATTACCTTAACTGTGCCATCATATGACGATGTTGCAAAATGGCGGTGGTGGTGATAGAAAACGCACTTTGTGACTTCACCAGTGTGCCCGTGGCACTCTACAGCAAGATCTGGATCTTCGAAGCTCCAAACCTATGGTTAATAATGATATTTTAAAGCGATGTTATCAAGAAATACAAACGCTTAACTGACAAGAAGGCGGTCGTATTTTGTTTTGTGAATTTTTACATTTGCATTTATACCTTTTTACACTCTTTTTTTTTATAAAAACAATTTCATAAGAACACAAGCCTAAAAATTTTGGTCAAAAGTTAAGAACAAATTAAGAACAAGCTGAGGCTGTGCTACTGTAAAATGTTACTTGGAACAAAATTTCATCTCAAAAACGACAGTTTTTTGCCTTCTAGGGGTGCTTTTTCGGTGAATTTTCAAAGTTGTCTCACTCAATTTGTTGAGAACAAATCAAGAACAAGCTGAAGCTGTGCTACTGTCAAATGTTACTTGGAACAAAATTTCATCTAAAAAACGACAGCTTTTTGCCTTCTAGGGGTGCTTTTTCGGTGAATTTTTAAAGTTGTCTCACTCACTTTGTTGGCAAACAAGGCCTGAACGCCTACCTAGAGCACTGCCTACACCCTAATAATTAGAAGCGACGCCTATTGAGCAGCGTCCTGGCCCTCCCTCTCGATGTGACCACACTTCAAGATTCCTACGCCTGGAATTACAGAGAGACGGTGACTCTCCTCACGCTTGGTAAAAGATTGGTTATGGCTTGGAGTGGAGCCTCAGACCCTGGGATCTGAAATCGACTACCCTAGCCGCCGAGCCACCCTCGGGCCTATAAATAAATATCATTTTCTTACCAGTGAAAGTACTATTATACGGTTCTTTCAACGATATGACATGAAATGTTACGACATGATACGGGATGGTATAATAAGACATGAAATAATACAAAGCACAAGTAGTACGGCTTTTTGTTGTAGGATAGAAGAAAAAATACAAAATATATGGTATTTTAATCGTAAAAACCTAAGCAGTTAGTCAAAAATTAAAAAAAAATAAAATAAAAGGCTATATATATGAGATACGAAAAGTAGTAAGGTCCATTAAGGGAAATTCTTACACTCCTTGATGCTAGAAAATCAAAATAGAAGCTAAGTAGAACATTCTGACAATATAATGAAAAGTTCTATTATTCTAAATTATATGAGAAAGGCAGTGCACTTCTTGCTAAAAAACCTAAGATGGTCGATGACTGGAATATTTTGAATCTTGTAGGGAATAAGGTCTCTTTTTATTGTCAGCTCAATTTAACTGCGGAAATAAAAAACATATAGAGAAATCTAAAGGGGAAATCATACTTTAACCGTACTGTCTCTTGAACAAGTGACAAACATTTTGCCATCAGCACTCACTGCACAGTCTGTTATAGCCGAAGACCCAGCCGTGACAGTTAAGACCACATTGCAATCCTCAGTACGGATTAACTGAACAAAATGAAAAGTAGTTGATAAAAATTAACTGTGAAGATTCAGAAAAACCAATCAAATTGGATGCCAAGGATGGTGACTACTTAATAAAACCAAAACCTTTTCAAAAAGTCCTATCCACATAATTTGGACTGGTAGACAAACTGTTTCCTCAGTCATTTGAAGGTAGATTGTTATCAAACAAGTTTTGCTTCAATTTGTGTGAATTGACAACAAATTCTTTAATAGGCCTTACACAACAATGGCGTCAGTTCCTTCTCGAAATATTCCTTGATGATCCATTTTCTAATCATAGCCCAGTTATAATTTAGGAACGTGATTCTTCGAGGAAGTCTACAAAGGCGAATCTAATATTTGTAAGTTATATATTAAAAATTGTTAAAACTAAACGAAAGACGTAATGGTATACCTTGATATCGCCAGTTTTAAGACCAACAATGACAACATCCCCATTGACTGCAAATTTACATGCTGTTATTTTGGCGCCCAAGGAATCACTTCTTCGGAGCAAGGTGCCGTCTGTCCCATCTATTAACTTTAGACAACAAATTCATTTAAACACCCACAATATGTTAAAAAAGCTGCAATATTTGGGCAGGGAGCAGGCAAGTAGTTACAAGTGAAAAATCATCTTATTGGTCTCATACTTTCAAGCAATTCTTTAATTGATTACCCATTTAACTTGCTTCTCAAACGTTAGGCACAAGCAAGTAATTTTTTTCTCAGCAACGTATTTGAAGGGAAAGACTACAATGATGTTTTTTATCGAAGATTCTACGAAGCTACAAGACGATATTAATACATACTTGCCAACTGAGAACTATATATCGATGTATAATTTTTCAAGTTTTTTAAATAGCAGTGAACACTTTTATAATTGACATTTCCAATCTCATTAAAAGAGCACATGACAAACAAAGAGCTCTATAGTAACCTTGAAAAAGTATAAAAAATCTGCTTAAAAAGAAACTATGAAATGATAAGATATGAAATGACAGAAAGAGAAAATGATAAGAAAATGTTGGAAACTAAACACTGGAAACTAAAGGAAGAAAAGGCCAGCTTTAATATGCACAAATCAGCTGAGAAATGATATTGGGTTGAGAAGTCAACTAACCAACTAACTGACATCTGAGGGACTAACGTTAAAACGTTTAGATGAAATTATGGGAACTCCAAATCAAAGGAGTATGAGCTTTCGCCCCTCGGGTAGTTCAGTTGCATTGTGGTCTAAACCAATCATTACTTTGCAAGATTGTATGAAGTTATTCAGCACTGTAAAGATTTAAACGGAGGTTTGAAAGGAAAATTTATCTTAACATACCATCAGTTTCTATGTTTTCATTGTTACGAAGAAAGTTATCAAACGCTCTAGCTTATTATCTTCAAGTGACGAAATTATCTGCATTTTTCATTCAAAAATACTTACTACTATCGACATATTAATAGATTTATTTAATTTAAAAGCGACAATGTTTCATCATAAATAGCCATGATTTTGATATCTATTCATGCACTGACTTTGTATCGCTTTAACGAAATCACAACAAAAAAACATAAAAAGAGTAGCTTGTTGTTCACTGGCCTAAATTGTTCTTAGCAGAATGTAAACAAATTTATTACACGCATATATTGCAATTACTTCTACTAGAACAACTAAATAAGGGCAACTTGCTTTGCAGAGGCTTTATATACATAGGATATGATATAGATAGGATGTATATGATTTTATCACATATTTTGATCGTGTATGAATTGTGTGATAATGGTAAGTCATAAAATTATCATGATTAGCTATAATTCATACCTGGAGCTCGTGGTTTGTGTTGGCAGCGGCAATTAGAGGCCTAAGCACGCCCGCGAGTTTGGAATCAAAAACCTTCCGAAGCTTCACAGGACGATCTTGAACGGGTTCCACTTTCCAAACCTGAAAAGAAGAAAATCTTTGAGATTAAAATCAAACTATATACTTAGGTGGAAATGTAAAGCAAAACATAGCAGACAAACATCTTTTTAGAGGAAAAGAAAATTAAAGCTTGTAAGCAGATATATTCCTTTATCAATAAAAATCAGTTAGAATTTGAACATGGAGCGATGTATGCAACAGTTCCGTAAGTCATCGTATTAGCCCCCGCCTTTGCAAAAGACCCCCCCTCGAATAACCCCTAACCCTAAAGTAATTTTACTGAAAAAAGCCCCACCCACGAAACAGCCACCACAGGCCGAGGTATTGCCAAAGCAGCAATGTGTTCATCCCAACATACCGTAAATCCTCGAACTAGCCCCCTGGGGGCTTATTTATTTTTGATATTTTTGAATGGTGGGCTATTCGAGGGAGGCTTATACGAGGGGGGGGGAGGGCTTATAAAATTATAGTAGACATCAAGAAGACATTATTACAGATCTCGTATATTTCAGTAGGAATTTCTCTATCAACATTTAATTGATCATTACCAAAAGTATGAATTTTTGTAGTAATTCAATGAAACGCCAAAGGCAACCTTAGATGGCGTAAATCAACAAATCGAGGGGGGCCAATAAAAGGATTTACGGCAGCAGTGGAGGTTTATTTGAGGGGGGCCTTATTGAAAATTTGTAGTTTTAGGGTGGAGGCTTAGTCGAGGGGGGAGGGGGCTCGAGAGAAAAGCGAATTCAAGGATTTTTTTTTATTTTTCAGCATAATGACCAGGCTGAAATAAAGAAAGAAAATTTATCCTGGTAGTCTTTTTGGCTGCTGCTAAAAAGCTCCCTCCCCCACTCGTATAAGCCCTCACCCAAAAATATTTTTTGTAAAATAAGCCCCCTGGGGCTCATTCAAGGACTAACAGTATTTTTTGCCTGAATGTAGAAAAGACCACAATGTTACGCGCAAATATTAATGATCTTGAATAAGGTACGCGCAAAACACTAGTCAACTTGACTCCAATTTTAAAAGATATTAGAATTGGGTTATTGCATACTTTACAAGTTTCATCTGCTGATGCAGTGACAATTCTTTTACTTGGGTGCGGAGAAAAGCACACACTATGAAGCCAGCCAGAATGTCCTCTGAAGACTCCCACGCAAACTTCAGCTTCAACAATCCACAGCTAGAAGAATATTCATAGTGAAATAAGTAAAATAACATTCTTTCATATTTCTTCAAGTGATGTGTCTGGCCTCGGAGAAACGCCTCCCTCAGCATAAGACTGCAACAAACTCCTCAATCAAATAAACTTACCCTCAAAACTAGCCTCTAAACATCGGGGAATGTAGTAGGGACACAAAATTATTTAGATAAACCTGGCAAAAAACTCAGTACAAAATGCACAGGGTCGTCTGAATAGGGTGTGCATCAGATGGAACGTATCCCCAACCTTTAAGAAAAATGCCCTTTGCCTAGGAATTGACTTGTTTGTGACATTGGGAAGAATGCTCCTACATAGTGTCATTCCTATTTATGCCCCGGGATGTTTTCTATAAAAAGTATAAGGGATTCCGCGTTAAATATTTTCTAGGCAAAAGTAGAGACAGGGCTATTTTTGGCAATTTTGATAGCCCCCAGCCTGAGACAGCCTTTCCACTAGCCTGGGTTAAAACGAAACCGTGTTAAAACCTATCCGTTTCTAAAGTGGGTTAGTGGGAACTCGACGCAGAAACGGATAACTTTTAGCCCGCTTTTGTTTCAACCCGGGCTAGTGGAAAGGCTGCCTGAGCCTTCAGTTTCTACACTCCTGTTTTTGCCCTTCAAGTTTGAAATGCATCTAAATATACTAAAAATAATGGGGTACAATCTGGATGTTTTGATTTGGGGGAGGGGAGGGTGGCACAGTCAGAAAAAACTGGTCTATAAGCAGCTAGCAATAGGATGGCCAAAAACCTAAGGGATTTTAGTACCAGGCTCAAAAAATAAAGGAACTGTAAAATTTTCATTTTTAAAAAAGAATCAAAGAATCTTTGTTTTGATAATTTTTTTGGAAAAGATGGCATACTTAACATTTTTATCTTTATACGGTTTTTCGCTACGATCTGCGTTTATATTCTTCCAAAATCTGTCATCTTCAAAACAATAAGTAAATTTTAGGTCTCGAAAATAATAAACCAACTAAGAAACTTTTGTACAAAAACTTTTTGACCTTTTCTACCAACTAAGTACCAAAACGTCAAAACTTGGATGCCAAATTAAAAGGTTTTAGTGATATAAAAAATGCGCAATGGCAAATGTGAGTTTGCGTTGAGTAAATTTATAGCCAGAAATATATCTTGACAAAAAAGGACAAGCTATGACGAAACAGAAACAGTGGTGGCGCCAGGGGAGGGCTAGGGGGCTACAGCCCCTCCGTCGGAAGCATCTAGCCCTCCATCGGAGGAAATTTTAGGTTATTGTCGGAGCAAATTTGACAAAATAACGTACGAGAACTGCTTATTTGAGTAATTTTAGCCCCTCTGTCGGAAACTCCAGCCCCTCTGTCGGAAGATTTCTGGCGCCACCTCTGAACAGAAACGACTTAGATGGCACATGGCACAGAATCACCGCATCCCGAAAAGCATTTGACCAGGTCTAAAAAACTGCGTCAGTGTTTTTCTCAATGTGTTTTTCAATTGTCACTGAACCGTTTTCGTTTTAGCCACATCGGTAGGACATCTTGGATAGCCTATATTGCCAAGACATTCTTCCGATTTAGTGTAACATTCAAATGCGGATGCAGAGAAATCATTGTCCGGTTCAAAGTGGGAGCAAGACTTTGCTACTTCGGAGGAAGAAGTGACTCACTCACTGGCTATTGCGGTGGGCACAAATCCAATTTAAATGAACTAAATACTAATATTTTAATTGAAAAACATATGGAAGAAAAGCTTTTGCTGACAGCCAGCGTCATATTAAAACAAAATTATGCTAACGTATCATTTTATGACAATAAAATATTTGATGACGTCATGCAAAAGTTGTTATGACGTCATAATGAAAATACTTATGTCGGCAAATCTTGCTTAAATATATATCATTTGAAAGCTTGCAATGAGACGAGTCAAAATATGTGAATTGCGTTAAAAAAAACCCTTCAGTGAGGAGCTAACGATGATTTTGTCGGATTTTTTACCGTTAAATGACGTCATCAGTCACATGACATCCAGGCATTTTCCAAAAAGTCACCTGGCAGATTATGAAAGCCTGAGCTCCCTACTACCAGAATCCGTTGAGAAAGCAAACATTAGCTTGAATTTCAGATTGTCAAGCTATATGTCCTGTCTATTTTAGAAGGCCATCAAAATTGAAACAACTTCATCTTTCGGATTTGATATTCGATAAATCAAGCATGGGGCTCAGGCCCTCCAATCAGCGATCTTGTCGGAAATGAAACCCTGAATTTCCGCCACTGATTGTCAACAGAGCTTGGAGAACAATATTTGCCAAAAGACAACACAGCACCCCTGCTATTTGATTCTTTCGTTGGTTAAAAAGACTCTCTTTGTTTGGCAGATGAACAATCCCACTAATCCAGTTACTGAGACATCCCCCTTCACACAATCAAATTCTACTTGAAAATCAATGCTGCACAAGAAAGGACGGGGGAAAGCTCACAAAAATTCCTCTAAAGTTTGTATTTCCAGACAGCGTTTTTGCTTTGCTAATCATTCAGCACTTTGAGCTGGTTACAGCGAGTACAGATATGGCTGCTCTTCATACGTTCAGTGCAATAGCAGTTATTTTAATCATAATAGATGCAGCCAAATGCATTGATGTCAATATAACAGGCGCTGGTGTTGTCAGAGGTATGATCACTTTCTATTGTAAACACAGCTGATAGAGCAGATACTATGACCCTGCTTCCTACTTGACTATTATGGTAAACAATGTGTTGATAATCCTGATAGGCCATCTCCGAAATAATTTAATAATCTAACAAATACGTAAAAATATGTTTTCTCTGCAGATCCTGATAGACTAATCTTTATGCTTAAAAATTACGATTTGCACATTTTTAGAACATTGTTTGTTGTCACGTAAATTATGAGATGTTTTTCTTAAAAACTTCCAATGTTTAATTGTTTTTCCTTAAAATGGTGGGAACAACAAATATGTATCGAAATCTTTTTGGATTTATGAATACACATCCAATATCTGATGAGTAAGCACTTTAAGCAATTACGTAACATTGTTACTTGACCGTTACATTCAGTGGCGTGCTGGGGATGAGATCGCAGGAGGGAAAGGGTCAAAGTGGCGCCCCTCATTTAGCTATCCTCAAATTTTCCTTAAAAGTTTTGGAAATGTGTAGAAAAGTACAAGAGCTCGGAAACATGCAGATCTATATCTATTTAGCTGTGGCGTACTGAAAGACCCCCAAATGAGGGGATATGGGGGTAGTCAATTGCTGACAGGACGTGATAGAGAATTTTCAAATAGAGAGTATGTTATTCTTTGTAATATCTAACAGTATTTTTGAGAATCGTTGTAGCGGCTGTATAGTGTTCTAAAGTGATGACGTCACAAAAACTATTTTTAGAATTTTTGAATTTGGCTCCCATAGCCTGAAAGAGCATCATAAAATACCTCTAAATATGCACAATCAGTCAAATGTGTTCCGAATTGGCTGAGATATGGCCACATGTGTATTAGCTCTTTCCGTATCAAATCTCTGTATTTTGGTCTCTGTTCATACCTTTATGAACAGAGAGAAAAAAACAGTGATTCGTTAGCAAACTTCAAATCTTTCATTGGCAATATCTCAACTGGTTTTGGACATATCTGGCCAATTTTGCATATTTGGAAGTATTTCATTGTGATATTTTATGTTATGTACAAAGGCCGGTACGAGGTAGACCTTGTTTGGATTTACTACAAATTTTTCATATTGAAAAAATACCTGAAGTTTTTTAGCTGCTGAGACCATCCCGCACAATACATTGTGTCGATTCACAACTTCTCTTTACATAATAAAATCAGAACTTCCAACCCTTTAGATCTATACATCGGAACAAGCCCAGGATATGACTACACATCCCAAAGCGGCATCATAGTTGCTGACGAAGGAAAATAAGCTCTTGAATTTTGATGCTTCTAGTTTCTTGGAAAATGCACCTTTTGAAGCAATTTTCAATAATGCAGGCTTTTTCTGAAATAAATATCCACAGACTGAAAGCTATTTGATGGTTTTAATCAACTTTCTGGTGTCGTTGTTTAATGTTTTAGCTTAAGCAACATAATTTTTCTTCAGATTGGGACATAATCTCTCAGTATCTCTTCCAATTGTTTTTCTTATCACTTTAGTAAATCAAAACTTCTTGCACCCTCCCAATAACTTCATAAAATGGTGCCTAATCCGACCATTTTACCGCCAAGCCCAAAATTATCGGCGGGTGCCTCGAGAACACCCCGCAACTCCTACCTCGGTAGATTCAGCGTGAGAACTTGAGATGGTATTTCACGATCGTTGTTACGCGCATCGAAGTTTGTAAGAAAGACAAGGTGGTGTGTTGCAAGGTGATTCTTGTCTCTTTAAAGCGATTTATCGGGGCTTGTTACAGTGTCCGCCTTTAGTATTGTTTGGTTATTTAATGTAAATTGTCCTCGTTTGCTACCTATTTGGCTAGGGCGCCTTTTGGCGCCCCTCATATTTGATCGGCAGGGGGGGGGGGGCAATCGGCGCCCCCTGCCAGCACGCCACTAGTGACATTTCATTATTGAGCACGGCACGGTCTAACCATATATACTGGTCTAACTAACCTGTCACGTCGAACAGGATCTGTTGTGAAAACATGGCATGTTTTTAGACTGTTAGAATATATGCCCGGTGTATATGTGCTGGTTTTTGAAACAGGATAGTATCGCAGCGCCTGTTTCTTTTGCAAAAATCATACAACTACATTTTCCCGATGCAGTTTTCAATCAAAGGTCTGACTTGCAACACTACATTTTGCGTTGATGCTTTTTCTTGAAGATGCCCATCAGGCACAATGGCTAGGGGGGAGGGGGGGGGGAAGTGGGGCTATAGTCCTATGCACACTTTTTTTATAAGAACAACTCTTATAAGAAACTTCCGGCTGAGGTTTGCCCAAAAATAAGAACAACATAAGAAACAAGAGGCTGAAATTCAACAAAACTCAAGAATTAAAATACCAGAAACCCAAGAAAATTGACGTGACGAGGTGAGTTCAGAATTCTGTGACGAGGTGAGTTCATGTGACCAGTTCCAGGCCAACCAATAGCATTGAAGTCATGAAAATCATGACTCGGCAGATTTTGGTACTTAGGGTATACCCAATCCATTTTATCATGGCTCAATGTCTTTAATCTCTGCAAATATTTACTTTTCATTGCGACAATGCATCAGTAATAATATTGACGTTCCATGTTTAGAGGTCGGATGGGATGAAAGGCCTTCTGTTGAGATACAGAAAACGGCTTCCTGGTTGAGTTTTGAAGAAGAAAAGGAAAAAAATTGAGAACAGGGAAAGTTTATGTTTTCCTCTTTGGGTATTGCCCTGTCTAAGTTTTTTATATGTCATGCAGACTGCTAACCCCGCATCCTACAGTACTTTCGCCCCTGATTGCAGTTTCCTTTGGGCAATTGTTAATTTTTTCTCGAAATGGTGCCCATGTCAGAGTCAGAGTCCAAAAAAAGGACGGTAAAAAACAACGAAGAAAATTTCGTAAAAGAAAGATCACATGAATTGATCAAAGAAATGGATGACTAGGGCTCAACACCAAGGAAACCTTCTCTCTGGCAGTAAGGCAAGAGAGGCATGGTAACCGTATATAACGCCTGTCAAGAGCACCCTCCGTCAACGCTTACAGAATCATCTAATTACAGAAAAATTTTTGGGATATTCTGGGGCCTAAACACTAAACCAATATTGCCAGATACTGTGATTTTCTTGTAACAAAGCCTTCCAATTTCCAGGCACTAGCCGAACGCTGGAAGGCAGAGTGGTGGACACATTTACAGGCATACCATATGCAAAACCACCAACCGGCAACCTCAGGTTCAAAGCCCCAGAAAAGGCCAAAGCATGGGAAGGAGTCAGGAATTCAACAAGTACTATCTATTGTCCACAGAAGAGTATTTTGTCAAGCGATATATTTGGGAATGAGGATTGCCTTTACCTTAATGTTTATCGTCCGAGGAATTCACCTGGCACGAATGTGTCTGTTATGGTGAGTATGATACTAAACTTCAGATTACAAGCAATTGCATTTTCTAGTTAGAGAGGTAATGGTTGCGAGATACCAAATAAAACTGGTGGTAGAAAAACTTCCCAGGGTACCAGAACCCACAAGCCCGGACAAAGGTTAGATAAGCTGGAAACCTGAAATCAAATATTCCAAACCCGATATCCCGACGTCCTGATATCCTATGACTAAATTGACCAACCAGTGAGATGAGACCCCAAAGCCCCCCCCCCCCCCTCAAGACTGGTACAATATATGTTGAGTTTTAGCGGCACAATCTTTTTGATTGATCTTATCATTCTCACTCTTTCGATTTTTTTTAAAAATCATCTTCATCAATGATAACCATTATCACTTATCGCAAGGAATCGGTTTGTGTCATGGAAGCACAATGTTTTTTATATCGATACTGATGTTTGGAGGAATTGGTGAATTGTTGCAACTTCCCTCTCCCCAGCAGCCTTTGCAAATTTCTTACTCGGATCATATAGATACCCTTTTTCGTGCTCCTGTAATTTTTTCACTGTAACACGATTACCGGTCTTGAACAAAAAGTTATAGAACATCGCAAAATAGAGTTTGCTTGGTCCTACACGATTAAACGCAACATATTAAACTTTTCCTTTGATATTGAACTTATTGAACTTGATTAAACGCAACTTTTCCTAGAACAAACATATTAAACGAAAGTTAATAAAAGACTGCGGTGATTCCTGCTTATTATCATTTTGCGTAAATACTTCATGTAATTTATGTAAAAAAGAAATAAATGGTGAATGCCTCTCCAAGACACACGCGTTCTTCCGTGTTGTAAAACCTATCTGCTACAATGGCGACGAGACTAGAGCGATAAACAAAAAAATCCTTGTTTTAGGTTTGGATTCACGGTGGTTCATACAGATATGGAGCAGGGGGTATTTACGATGGCGAAATGCTTGCAGCTGCAAACAACGTCGTTGTTGTTACTGTCAATTATCGTCTTGGTCTGCTCGGTTTCTTCTACGTTCCTGGAACGCAAACAAAAGGCAACTACGGTCTCCGGGACCAGATTTTGGCACTCCAATGGGTTCAGAGCCATATTCAAAGTTTCGGGGGTGACCCAAAACAGGTAAGGGACCCCCTTCTGCTCCACCAGAGAGATAAAATATCTATCCAAGCACAGATGTGTACCAGCTCATATTTTAGTTGTGTGTCAGCATTTGTCCCCTCCCCTTTTTAAAGAAGTGATGGTGTTTCCTGTAGGAACTGGAGTGATTCAAGTCTCCAACATTGAAAGACAAATGCTAAAACTTGATATTGCATTCACGTCGGGTAACCCTACACACAAAAGGAAAGGGACGATGTTCTGGCCTATTCTGGAGCTGAAAATCTTAAATATTTAATTGTATTGTAAAATGGATTATGAATTAAGAATCCGTTAATTAAGAATTTAGGGAGCATATATAGATAACCTACAGTGTTACCTACAAAGGGATTTTTATGCAATTTGGTCATCTGCTCTGCTTGTTGGGTAGACAGTGTTGGGTCTATCTATATTTCTACTTTTTAGGGCAAATGCTCTATCTATTTGTCTGAAACAACGAGAAAGTGCATCAGATGGCCATAGGCATTAGGATGTAGGCAATATTTATATATCATGGGGCTTCAAAGCATTTAATCAAACTTATATATCATAGCTGCATCATATAAACAAACCTATCTTCTATTCTCACTCTTCTCATGACACCATTTTCGCAAATTTTCTTCGTCTTTTGATTCGAGACTGATAATAACAGCCCGAATGTTCCTACCTCAGCATATATCATGCAATGGGGAAAGACTACACCGACTGTTAATGCGCATATGATGCAAAATTGAAAGCCAACGGGACTTCAGGCAAATGCTGGCCCCAACAACTGCCCAAGAACGATTACTGTGCTTTCTCGTGAATTTCCATTTTGATGAGATTTTTGTTATCTTTTTGTGAATTCTGTAAGCTAACCATGATCGTATCTAATGGTTTTTATGTTTATGTTTATATATATATTAACAATTTCAGGTAACTATTTTTGGGGAAAGTGCAGGTTCCGGTAGTGTGACATTGCTGATGTTGTCACCATTGGCAAAAGGTCTGTTCAAAAGAGTCATAGCCCAAAGTGGAGTGCCATCAAATTACTGGGCCGTACAAAGACCTCAGAACAACAGCCTTGCACGCAAGATTGGAGAAACCCTTCACTGTAACAACACTAACAATCTAACCTCTTGCATGCGAGGTAAAAGCTGGCAGGAACTAATGAAAGTGCAGGTTAAACTCTTTGAGGCCCATCCCTGTGTCACACCTACGGTTGACGGTGTGGTGATCACTGAGTACCCGCCGGACCAGATGAAAAATGACACCCTCCATGCTTCAGGTGTTGAGCTGTTGCTAGGGTTTAATAAAGATGAAGGATCCATGTTTATCCCTAGTCTTACAAAATGGGATGAATCTGTATACAGGGGTCTTCTTCATGAACGGATACAATGGCAATATGAAATGAGCACTGGGCTCGTTGTTGACATGGCAGCTTTTGAGTATACACACTTTGAGCAGAAAATAGCGTGGCTGAAATATGTTCTTAGCATTAATGATTTCATTAATGACTTTGATTTCAAAATCGGGATTTCAAATTTTGCCGACGCATGGGCAAAGACAGGAGCAAAAACATACCTTTATCATTTCACACACATGCCAAAATATGCAAGAGTACCGACTTGGGGAGTGGCACATGCTATCGAGATCGATTTCATATTTGGAAAAGCCCTGTATTCCATTGCAGATCCTAAGCGATATTCAGGAACTCTGGTAGCAAATTTTACGAGCGAAGAACGAAACATCAGCAGAACAATGATGGGAATGTGGACTGACTTTGCAAAAACTGGGATCCCAGCAAATACATGGCCTACTTATAATGGAATAAAGATGGAATACCTTGAGATCCAAGAAAAAACCATGGTGAAATCTAATTTCGGCCCGAAGAAGATGCATTTCTGGAATAAGTATGTCCCGGGAATGATGAAGAGAGTCAATGAAAAGACCTGCCCAACACTTAAGCCAGTTGTGTGCACGACAGCAAGCCCGTCAATAACTTCAACAACAACGAAAAAAGTCGTCAATAGAAGCTCAAAGAACGAACATGCTTTTGTATTTATTTACATTTTTGCAGCCGCTTTTCTCTTTGCGTTGTAAGCAAAGCTGCTGTCATAAAACAAACCCACTTTTTAAAGCCGAACATCGGGATGTTCTTCTTAAGTAATTACTAAGATAATCTGCTTAGCATTTGAAAATAGGTCTGATTTATTTTTGTTTTTTTCTTTTAACGCTGTGTATCAGCACAACTCAAATCTTTGTTGCTGTTGCTGCTATTAACCGTTGTTATTGTTGTTGTTGTTGTTTGTAATTGTTTGTAATTGTTGCTAGGCCCACCATATTTTGCAACAAACTTATAAGAAAAGTGCAGGATAACTTACGTAAACAGTCAGAAATACCTGAAAAAATCTAACAACAATAATAGTAGTTAAAATGAATAAAACAATTTTACAACCGGTTAGAAAGCCCCTCTTACAGGGTTAAAATGTATAAAGACTTTTGGGGTGAAAGGCAGGGTTTGAGATCAACAACGGCGAGAACTTCTACTTCCAAGTGTCAAGTGACGTAAATACTATAAACGCTTGGTTGAAGCAGGTTGGTAAACACGAGGGGCTCTCTGTGAATACATGAATGAGGTGTGGTGTAGCACGTGATCTTTCTATAAGTGTCTTATAGTGATCACGTGTAGCACGTGATCTTTTATTGCTCAATATTCTCCCGTTAAAGGATAATGTCCAATCAAATCATTAATTGTAACTCTCACCTGAGCCGTTGAATCGGCGCTTGTTCCTACAAGATATTTGCCATCGGGAGAAAACGCAATCGACAAGACTGAACACATGGTTTGTATGGTCTTTAGCGGATTTCCAGTCTCTGCATCTAGAAACTAGAAGAGGAATATCAATATTACTTTATACAGTTTCAAGCTGAATTTATCTCAAGTCAGCAGGAGCTATCATAAACAAACAGCAAACATAAAAGAAATTAATAGAAAATACAAGGTAGATAAGGGTGTTATAAATTTCGATATACTGAAATATAAATAAAATAATATAAGCAACTGAAAAACAAATAAAGCTCGAGATAACCCACAGAAAACTTGTTTATACACCAAACGACATTTACTTATATTCATCAACCTAGATGGCATTTTACGAGGTTTACGAGGCCGTTACGAGGTTCTGTTATGACCTTATGAGCCCTTACGATTCTTTTGATTGGGCATGCAGATATACAGAGCTTTATTAAATAAAATATAAATAAATTTAAAGTGTGGCAGGGTTAAATTCTTTGGCCCCCCCCTGGATTTTGTTTGGCACCAATAGCCCCTTGGTTTAATAGCGTAGCGTAGGCTGCAGCAATTCTGTCATCACGAGGCCATAGAAACTTTGCAAGTGTGCATCGGTCTTGAGTGTAGAAATTTATTTTTTGTATAGTTCTTTTCTCACAAGATTCAGTGACAATTTATGCTGGAGAACAACAATGTCTTCTGGGATTAAAACATGTCAGCTATTCAAAGGAAATTAATGCCCCCCACCTACTCATACCCTCGTTAATCAGCTACCAGGCAGTAAATGCTTGGCACAAACACTTGGAACATCCAGCGGGTTGAGATTTCTTTCTATATTTTACAGTTCTTTACTTGAATGCTATAATATTTCAACTTCCTCTTGTCCCCGAAAAACATGTTACTTGTCTAGATGTTTAATAGCCTCATACGTCCTTTTATAATAAATCAGAATTAGTAAAATGCAATGATAAGGATGGTATGATTTTTCCTTGAAAATTGACATTGGAATTGTAAGTTATCAGTTTTCATGCCAATTGTAAATGGAAGTACCATAAATCCACGAAAAAGCCTCCTAAGGGCTTATCAATTTAAATGGAGGCTGATTCCAGGAGGGGGCTTATACGAGGGGGGCTTATAAAAATCATTTCAAAGTTTTCAGACAAGTAGATTGTTTTGTAGCTATCTCAATATTCTCAAGTTCATTTAATTTGTCTTTTGACTCGATAACTCTTTCTAAATATCAAACCAAATTATGAATCAAAACACAAACAATTCGAGGGGAAAAGGCTTAAATATGACCGGGGATGATTTGAGAATTTAAAATATTTTGATCAATGTGCGAAGAGGGGAGCTCAAGAAGGAATTGCTGATATCATTATAATGAGTAAAACACAAACCTGTAGATAGTGTTGGCTTGTGGCGATAATTTCTTTGCCAGAAGGATTGTAAACACAATATGAAATGAAATCTCTATCACCGCAACAAGTGAACAGACATGCACCATCATCAACGCTCCATATCTGCGATGGAAAAATTAAAACACGCATACAGTTGATACCATTGGTTGATACCAATCTCTCAAGGGAAACTGAGAGTTATTCGCGATTGCAAATCCTTGATATAACGGATATCCCAGCAAAATTAGAAAATTTATCGGTGTCAGTTCAATTATTTATCCATCCCCTCCCCCGAAATTACACGATTATTCCTCTTTCTCAATTTGTACAGTTATTGTTGCCATAAATTTATCATCGACTTTCTGCAAATTACTGGCCTGCGTCACAGACCCAAGTCGCTACCATTTGGGCTGGGCAATTTTTTAATTTTTTTTGCAGGTTCTTCATATCTTCCTCGAAATCTTTGAACGGGTCACTAAGATTATCTACATGTTATACACGCACGTTTCTTTATACAATTCAAAAAAAGATAGGGAAATTTGAGATAACGGGTATTCTTCCTAGAAGGGAAACTGAAAAGGGTTCGAGACAGCAAAGTTTCGAGATAACCGTTAGTCGGGATAGTGAATTACTTTTACACATAAACCCTACACCAAAACGAGGGGAAATGGTGACATTCTCAAAAAAGCGAATGTTCGAAAGGGGGAAGTCGAGATAAAGAATATCAAATGTCATAATCGTACATAAATTACACTCTTTTTTATAAGAACAATTTTATAAGAACACGAGCCTCAAAATGGGTCAAAATTTAAGAACAAATTAAGAACAAGCTGAGGCTGAGCTACTGTAAAATGAAATTTTGAACAACGTCACAATCTCAAAAACGAGGATTTTCAGCCATGTGTGGGTGCTTTTTCAGTGAATATTAAAACATGGCGGCAAATTAAGTTTGTCTCTACGCACTTTGTTGGCAAAAGAGGCCTGAACACCTCCACAGAACGTAAAGCTAGAAATCGCATTGCTTATACCCTATAAATTTAAGAACGAATTAAGAATTATTAAGAAAATTAAGAACAGGAAAAATTAAGAACAATCAGCCTGAACATAAATTTACTGGTTCTTATAAAAAAAAGAGTGTAAGTCTAATCGTACATAAAATACTGCTGACCAGTCTGTTTCAGAGTAATCCCTGTCGTGTATACTCAGTGCGTAGAAAAAGATAGTTCAGAGTTGCATCTCAAAGTTTCATGTTCATTGGGATATTAAAGTTCCATCGCGGTATCTTCAAATTTAAACAGAGTTGAAAGTTTCCAAAAAATTTTGATCCCGGAAATCTATTGAACAATAAATCATTTAAGACGTAAATGGTTTAGCATAGACGCATTTTTAAACTCTTTAAAAAAGTAAAGAATTATTGGTGGATAAAAACCGTGTTCAAATCAGCGATGTTTATCGATTGATAGTCTATCAAAGCCGTCCAGTCTAAAAGTTATTCAACAATTACAGTTCAATTCAATCGTTCAGTTTCGTGGTAAATAAGCCCTTTGGCGAATAAGCTCTACGCGTATTAAGGTAAAACAAGAGAGATTTCTTTTAAAAAAATTCCCGCAATAAAGATTTTAAATGTATGTCAGAGAGGCAACTGAGGTCCGTCTCACTTTCTCGTCAATATCGCCAAACGTGGCTGGCCTCACGCAAATGGAAGGCTAATCAACAACGCTGGGGTTGGATGAAACTTAAGAATCCGGTCAGGATAATCCGATAAACCTTGTTTCATACGCTTCAAGGAGCATTTTAACTGGACCACGCATAGCCTAGGGTCAAGGAATGCTCTCCTAAAAACATGAAATCTAGCAAATCAAGATATCTATCCGGATTCTTCATGCCCGCCCTAGTATTGCTCTAAATGATCCCCCAATTGGTGCTAGCCTGGCCTGCTTCCATGTAAACAGGCCCTTCCATGCACCTTCTAGACATTTTAAATAGAGGAATAAATGCTTCCTAAAAATTGGCCAATATTGTAGATTGTTACCTTGACACATTTATCATTCGACGCAGAAGCAATTCTATTTCCATCCGGCGAAAAACAACACCAGTTGATTGAGTCTACGTGTCCCTCCAGCGTCCGGAGCAGGTTGCCATCAACAATATCCCAGAGCTGAAGAAAGGAGATTATTAAAGGGAAATTAATGGTGCCATAAATTTTTTTCACAAAAGCAAGGATTGGAAATGAGATTATAGAATACAAACTTTGCTAAAACATTTTTAGGAAAAGATTGCTATAAAAATAGACTAAACTAATGGTCTTTAAGTAGATGTCACGATACCCCCTTTTTCTTCATTCATTTAGATATATTTTTTCTATTCTATCGTCATCATACATCTTATCCTATGCTTCTTTTAGTTTAGCCGCTCTTCCCGAATCAGTTTAATGACCAACTTTTATTACATCATTTCAGCTCTACCTACGTCTTCCCCTTGTTTTCATTCCTTTTCGGTATCTACTTTTAGTGCATGACTCGGTTGTTTTTCTTACATTGTATCATCACTAAAGCTTATATTATGTTAGTCACTTTTCCTGTTTTTCTAAAATATTATTGGTTAAGTTCTTCACGTTTTTCCGCGTAGCTTTTTATTTAAACAGTAGTTTGTAATTAGAATTTAACTTGTGTTCCATGTCTCACTGGAGTCATGTTCATTGTTGATTGAATGAAAATGTTAATGTGAAACTTGTACTTTTCTATACCGCTCGAGCCTGGACCAGTCTGTCACGCACGGCGAAGGCTAGGTACCTAAATATTTATTCACTTAGGCCCTATTTAATCGAAAATCCCAGCCGACTGTCACCAATTGTGAAGGGCTGGGGAAAAGGCTAAACTGTCGTTTAGAATAAAAAGCTAAAATATTGTTGCAAACCAATGGGAAAGAACACTAAAGCAAGGATATATATGGACAGAAGAAACCTGCAGATTGTAGAAAATAATCAATGAGGCCAAATGATGGAAGATAGGCCAAATTGTCGCTTTAAAAAAGACTCACCCTCAAAGTGGCATCTGTTGCGCATGTAGCAATTACCCCCTGGTTCACCGGGTTGAACATGCAGCAATTAACATCTCCAGTATGGCCTTTAAGGGTTACCAAAGGCTTTCCAGTCGCAGAATCCCAAAGCTGGAGACAGAATAATTGATATATTGTCAATTCAATACAATACTCTATTGTGGGCCTAAAATTTGCAAAAACCCTTCCAACTTCTAAACTTTCATCGAAATCCCTGGTTTTTGTATCCCTAATGATGTAACTATTGGTAGATGAATGCCTAAAAATATTTGGATGATGTTCCTTGGGATTTAATTTTGAGGAGAAAGTTTGTGGGCTACTTTTGGCAGTCATAACTTGAAAAGTTGGAACATGTCATTAAGTGCCCAATAATTATTTTTTGAGAGTAAAAACCAGTCAAACGTGGTGTTGTTTAAAATCAGATTTATAATATTAAACTTATCGAAACTTGAATTTCGTTAAATTGTCGCTATTTCAAATTTTTTTGATTTCATTTTTTAGATTCTGGCAATATGTGCGAGCAGCAGATCCGTATCATAAATGGTATTGAGAGCCCCCGAATGAGCAACAAATAATGGAATGATGAGCAGTTGCCTAGTGAATGCAGTATTTTTTATCTTTTTTACATCTTTTTTTCAAACCAGGTAACTTTTGCCGATGCGCAGTTTTCCTACTTTCTGGATAATTTGAGGCTCAGGTGTATTTACTCTTCCTTTAATTCCAACATTGATTTTTCTGAATTAAGTCATAATAAATTGTTTTTGTAAAAGCACTAGATAACAGTTGCACATAAAATTTTTAGAAGCATGGTTAACTAGCTCATAAAATCTGTTCTCTTTTGCTAACAGGAGAGAAAACTTTAAAAAGAAGATTTCTTTTCTCTTCTAATTTTTCAATTTCATTTTAACTTGGCATGCTCCTACGTTTTTATACGTTGATCTTGTTGCCAAATAGAAAAAAGTGGATGCTGCAACTTAGAACCGACCTGTTCTACAGACTAAAGAATAAAAAACAGGGGCGGACACTTGGTCAAATATTGGGAGGGGGTAAGTCTATTGTTTTGATAAGATGACGTCATATTTCCCCATTGTTTTGGAACAAGATACCATTGTCCTTCAAAACATTGGGGGTTCATCCACAAGCCTCCACTGATAACGAAACAAAATAACTTCAATGGACTATCTTAACTGCTTGATGAACACTATCCCAAAAGAAGGATTCTTACTTTGACACTTTTGTCAGCTGATGACGAGAGGATCTTTTTTGAGTCAGGGGAAAACTGGCAGCAGTGAACTGTATCCGTGTGTCCAGTCAACGTGAGCAAAACTTGGCCCGAACAAGCATTCCAGATCTATCGACGAAAAAAGGATCACGAAAAACTTAATTGATTTGGCCATTGCACCATAATTCAAACTTAGAATGCTTACTCGATAACTAAGCTGTTACTGCATTTTACTTAAGAGAAAGATCCCTTACAATTAGAGAGGAAGTTAATTGAGGCTAGATGTACGACCAACGGTTTTACCAGCTTACTGTAAATAAATTGATATTGATAATAATAATAAAATTAATAATAAAGTGGAGGGGGGGGGGTAATGTACAATGTGCATAGATAAGAAGCTTGTTGACAGACTTTACTCTGATTTACTTAAGCCAAATATTAAAGGCAATCTGTCACGAGGTTGATTGATTATAAGAACAAAGGGGTTTAATATTGTTTCCAGTCCCCCATTAATTTATCGCATTGTAAAAAATATGGCGGAGCGCTGGAATCGTTTTTAGGCTATTGTTTCAGCTATTGTTCTCGTTAACCAATCCACAACGAGACAGATTGCCTTTAAGCCCACCTTTATTACGGCATCACCACCGCATGACGCAATCCGATCTGAACCATCCTGAGCCCAATGACAACAAAGAACAGGTCCTGAATGATGTTTGACAGTTAAAAGGCAGGTTTCTGACGACTCGTCTGGTTTATTGCTGAAATAGAATTGGAAACTTACCCTCTTACGTAGGACTTCCAGGCGTGGTTATTATACAAGCTAATAAAATACAAACAAATACAACAAAATTAACGATAACTCGGAGAGCAAAGTTATGAATTTTTTAGAAAAATAAATTTAAAAAAAATTATTTAACCGATTTACTAAATTAAATTTACGACAAAAAGTAGAAACTGGTGCATGAGAAGGTGCACCTATGGTATATTTAGAAGCTTTCTGTTGCGTGAACAGTTGCCTTAAGTTGCTTTTAGTTTCTGGCAATGGTTAACGAAGATGCTTTTGAGTTCATTTGAAAGAGGGAAAGACTACGAGGTATTAATTTTGCATTTTTGCTGTTGACAAGACTCATGGAGGTAGCTGATGCAAAAGGTTTATAGGGGCTTAGTGTGGAACTTGCCCCCCGAATACAACTGCTTCATTGAGATAGAACTGTGTGAAATGGAGCCTGAAATCTAATTTCAAGGAGGGCTGCAGTTCTTTCCGCATCTATGTCTAGAAGCGATGACAGGGGGTCTTAGGAGGGTGGGGGAAAGGTCCGGGGGCCGGGCTCTGATTGTCCTGTATTTATCTTACAAAATGAAACTATCAGATTGTTAAAAGATCTATTTTATACGCAAAATACTACTATTTTCAGCCACTTATATGAAATTACTGCCTGTAAATTTATTACAGAGAAAAAGATGTCCGCATGTCCTTTAAACATGAATACAATTTTTTGCAAAATCAGACTTTTTATCCAGAATCTTTGTCATAACCATACTGCAAATACAGAGGCAGTAATTTGCATCATGCGTCTATATCTGTACTTTCATGTGGCAAATAAAAATACATTGATAATAAAGATAAGTTCTGATATGAATCGAGTGGATACTCACCACCATCCAACATAAAATTTCTTCTTTTCAGATCCACTTGAAACAATTGACAAGGCTTTGGCATGTACCCTCGATGCAAAGGGTTGCGCTAATGCAAGTTGAATTAGGCCATATTCTTGGTTTCCAGGCGTTGATAACAGATAGGAGTTGATGCCAACAAAGTGAACGTAATCCAGCAGTTCATTTTTCACCTAGCGTTAAAAAAATAAAATACTACCAACAAATAAAATCATCTATTTATTTTTTCTGGTCAAGAAGTAACAAAAGTATCAATTGAAATATGCGGTAGACCTATGAATGAGCATCATGATCATTGTGAAATCTCGCTGTACGTTAATCTTTCTGTCCAACTATGCAGGGTATTAAGGAGGTATGGTCAAGTTAAGGTGAAAGTCATTTATTTAACGTCAGTGGCATTGATATCTTATGAAAGCCAGTAACCTTTAGGTACATTCTTATGGATGGAAATAAGATACAGCAGTAAAAGAGAAGGAGCAATGACAAAGAATATTAGGGATACATGCTCCCGCCCTCCTTCGCCTCTAAAGGCACAAAGAGTATTTTCGCAAGCATGCTTACATCATCTTGGACCAACTTTATGATTTTATGGTAGCTGTTGATCAAATCAGGAGCACCAGTAGCTCGTAATTTTTCTTCAATCCACTTAAACGAGAGCAGCAGCTCAACTGCTTTGTCCACCATTTTAGCTTCGATCAAGTGGTTTATGATATTCCAGTAAACATAACCATCATTAGGAATCGCAGCGAAGTCACCATTGAATTTTTCGGAGTATTTTTCGACTAGCTCCTAGGATGAAATGTATGATCGAGTGTGATTAAAGCGGGGATTAATGATTGGCTAGGTACATTCTTAAGATCAACAGAATCATATCGAATCAAACGATCATAAAACAATTATCAACTGTCTCACAAGCAACTCAAGACGACAGTCCATTACCAAATAAATTGCCAGCATAAATTACCTATGTTTTCTAGAATATAACTTTATAAGTATGGCTGTAAGGGAATGTGTAAAATTAACAGACGCAAAACAGTTTAGGGTTAGTTAAGCGAGCAAGCAAAACTGACGTCTAAATATTTGAAACGGAAAAGACTATGTTGACAGAAAAGGCAACAACGATTGCAAGATGAGAATAACGTCAATTTATGAATTTGTCATACATTATTATGTATCAAATTTACCTTATGGAAGTCGGCCAATGTTGGGCCACTATGCGATGCAGTCCGGCTCTCCTTCAAAAAGTCCAGTTGCAAATCGTGCACACTGTATGTTTCATACGAGACATCTGTCGTCGCAGGATGTCGTTTCGCAAGAGACCTGGAGATCAGCTCATCCATAGTATCCTCAGCCTCGATTTCCTATCGCAAAGAAGCTAACGTAGGTAAGGAGCCTCGGTTAGGGTTAACATATATTATTCTACAATGCATAAGAAACTTTCTATAATTGTGCAAAAATATTTTCCTAGTGAACATTTCGTTGCGAAACAGGACAAAAATTGCGGTATGCTGTACACTGATGAATGTCATCTCAATTGAATTAATTCATTCTCGAAATCTTCACCTGGTTTAATATATATAATTTCATCAATTTTTGGTGTTAAAGAACTTTAAAATGGCTTTGAAAAGACAAACATAAAGCAAATATATAATTTTTGCAATGAAAATGACAAAGCAGCTTCGCGGATTTTAAGAAAAAAAACCCAGGCTCTAGGGGTGCATTCACTTGGTGCCTCGCTTTTTGTATTGAATATTGCTCCTCCCAAATGGCTTCCTAATTAGGGACAGCCTCTGCACGCTAGGTTGTTTCCAATCCATCGTCGTTGTTTATTGCAACGTATTTTTCTTTAATTGATAATACCTTTCGCAACTCTGCGCTTGAGCGTTGTATACAGACTGGTGACGTCATTGAAGATGAAGACATTTTCTAAGATTATCGAATCCAGGCCATATATTCATAAAAAATAACCAGCGAAAACCGCTAAAATTTTTCTATATAAACCGAAGTATGGCAAGTGAAAGACCTGCATTTTAGTAATCTATTACTGTTGTTAAGGCTTGCCTCGTTTGTTTTAGCGCCAATACTAGAAATGTTAAAGTTACTGTTACAATAACTAGAAAGGCAAGAAACCCGTGCACATGCAGTCATATGTCAGGTAATGTTTTCCTTAGGCTCTATGATCCTAAGACATAATCATATGGCATTTTAATGACGTCATCACCTACTGTTTTTACCTTATTAAACAAAGTAGGCCAAGAGTCTAATTACCGAAGTACAGAAAATATGCAAATAGCCGATATTTCACGATGCATAATTCGTACTCCACAATATAACTTCCGCAACTAAAACAATTTGTCCTTTTCCTATTCCTTTATAATGTCTGTTCGGTTTAATATGCACACTTGTAATGTAACTAACAAGAAAACGGCTTAATTAAAATGCAGCTTAATATTGTGCAGCTTATATACATATGCAGTCTATTTTTGTGTAAAATGGTACTCTGTAATTAAAAGTTCGTGTAAATTCGTGGTCATCAAAGAATCAAGAATCCTGCTGTAATAGCATTGCTGAGGTTGTTGCAAAGTCTACGAGGCAAAAGTCGGGCCATTTCTGTTTTTTGACTGTGTCTGTGACAAAATCAGTAAACAACAAAAACGAAGCAGTTACTTACATCTTCGCCCCAAAGAAGACCAAGGACTTTCGCAGGAATTCTGCTGTCTTCCTCGAATATGGCAAAGTATTCATATTTTCGCTTAACTTTATCTGGCAAGCTGCTTACACTTATTGCGATGGCATCACATAAAGTTGGATACTCGTAGGCCAATTTCGATTTTAATTTGCTCACTTTATGATCTTGTAGTTGCTTAAGGTAGTATTCCCATCTATTAGAATGCGCTTTCAACAGTGCACCGATCATAGAAATGGCCAAGGGAGAGCCCTGGCAGGCGTTTATCAACCCTGCTGCTTCAACTGGCAAAGTAGAGGCATCGGAATGAACCCATTGAGATAACACAGACTTCGATTGATCCTCAGTAAGTCCTTCCTCAATATGCACTTTCAGGACATTGCCTGAAATTTAATGGGAAAATCCACAAAAATACTTACATACGCTAATCTATTAAATATATGAAAAATCGAGTGAGATATTTCCGATAAAAGGTTTCTTTGTCTCTATTCAAAAAGTAATGAACAGTGACAAAATTTCAGAGGTTTGACAGGGAAAGCTTGTGCTCATGGGACCATATCTCAGTCAGTTTGAGACAAATTTTACTGATTTTGCAAAATCAGTGGCATATTATCATGATCTTTCTGGTTATGAGATCCAAATTCAAAAATGACACATTATAACTAGGGAAGCTTGGCTAATGATTCACTTAGCTACTTGAATTCATTGCGAAATAAATTTCAAATCAAGAAATACCAAGAAAGCACATATAAATCAAGGAAAGGACCATTTTTGCTCATAAATCAAAATCTGCTTCAAAACTGACAACTAATTGAATAGTAAATATGATGGGTAGGTTTCGAAGTCACATCACACTCTACGACATTAACACGATGTTATGACTTACTTCAATATGATCAAACTTTTGTCATACTCAAAAATAGTGCAGCATACACGGGCTATGCGTCACATTTCTATTAAGATCAACCGTTGGTTATAATGATTAACCATACATTGATTAACTCAACGGCCAGATTTTCCGTAACCACTTCTTTGGGTTGTTGGTGTGAAGGGGTTTTTTTCTTCTTTTTTCATTCTCAATGGAGATGTAAGTTTTAAGTTTATACTGGTAGAGATCAAAAGTAAGCTAAATACACGCACCTTCGAAAGCTTTGCGTTGACCCCAAATGACTCCATTACACATATGACATATAAGCAATGTTAGAAAGAGGTATTTTGTCATACTCAGATGTACCTATTGGCTCATTGCCACAAAATCACAGTCTCCTTATCAAAGCATTCAAAATATATAAAATGTTGTGAAAATTTCATAAAGTTCAATCAATGCACTCACCTGTGATATTTTCTGCTACAAAAACATTTCTGCTTGTTGCAAGTGTTCTCGCTCTAACATCAAAATACCTTGCATCCTCTTTTGTCCAGAGATCATCTAGAACCAACAATGACCTTGGATGATCATGTGCAAACAGAATCCTTATCCTATCTCTTGCCTCTTCTAAGTTTCTAGGCACACGATGAGTATTCTCAGAATCTAGTCTAGCACACAGATTCTGCATCTTCATCAGCAACCTTGCAGCATCCACAACACCAATTGACACCCAGAATACTCCACCTGGGAAGCAGTCATGAAGAAGGTCTTTGTCAGTTAAAACTTCAGAAGCCAAGACAGTCTTGCCAGATCCCGCCATTCCATGCAGTAACACCCATCCATCACCATTTTTTAGCTTGCTAAGAGCATTCTTCAGTTTTTCAATTTCCTTCGGCCGTTTTGCATGGACAGCAGGTCTTTGTGGAACCCCTCCATCTCTTAGAATCGCTTCAACTGCGAAATATTGACAAAATCAAAAAAATTGATTATAAGAGAAAAATTGATTGATTATATATATTGATTATATTATTAACAATTTATGTTTAAACTACTAGCAGGATTATCTAAAAGAAGAAAATCTTAAAAATAAAGAACTTGTACAGAAAATAAAAAAAACACAAAAAGCAGAAAAATAATACCTCGCACTGAAGTAATTTGATTATAAAAAGGCCCCATAGCGACCAAAAAAAGAAAGAAAATTAAAATCTAGAATGAATTAAATTCAGAATATAAATCAGCGAAAACACACCCTATCTTGTGGGATTGATTGTATCTTACCTGAGAAATAGCCCTCTTCTTCATCATCGGATCCAGGTACTGCATCATTTTCATCAATGCCAGATGAAAGTAACTCAGCTAAATGCTCATAACCAGCATCAATCAATGCATCATGAAAATAGACAAATGCTGAGCTTCCTTTATCCAATAATGTATTTAGCAATCTCTCCGTTCTTCGTCTACTTGTTTTCTCAGTTTTCACAAGTTCAACTTCATCCAAATCCAGAACTATCTTGCTTTGAAGATAACTAAACACATCCTCTGGCCTGAGGTCATCACCAATATTCTTTTTGTTTGAGATTAGTAAAAATCTCTGCTGCTCATTCATGATGTCTTGTTGTGATTATAGATACACAACTTAACTCGCAAGTAGACATTCCCTGCAAGAAACAAAGAATTTAATTTCTTTTTCAGTGAGATTTCATTTCTTAACAAAGGGGCCTCTTTCTTGCTATTGATAAGTTTTACTAAATTTTCATACCTTTCTAATTTAGTCTAATTAAGATGTCCCTCGAAATCCAACACACAATACACAATAGATAGCCCAACATTCTGACTTTAAGAGTGAAAGCCAAAACCTACCACAAACTTGTTAATTGCCTACACAAATGATCTTTTTATAGGCAATAGGCTTTGTAAGCAGCGGAAAATGAAACTTACATGGGATAGGGGCTCAAACATTAACAGCCTGGTTCTGTTAACTGCAGTAAAAATTATTTGTTGGCCATCCCTTGCATAAAAATTCCATCTGCTCTTCGCTGCAACTTTGTAATTTTTGAGAAATTAACATAAACACGACAAACGTAAACTTCCCATATGTCCTATCATATATTCCCCATATATGTTATCATATCTTCCCTATTCGTTTCTGAACTCTTTTTACTTTATGCACTTCAAAAGCACTACAATATCCCTAATAAAAAACATTTTCAGTAACATGTTCGAATCTAGATCTTTTCATTCACAATCAGGCTGTCTTGATTTGTTTTGATGTGGTCATTTTGTTAAAACCATTTTTTACGTTTATTAATTTGCAATTTTACATGCGAGAATGCTAGCTTATTAAAATACCTAAGTGTGTAAAACCTTTCTTTGGGGTATTGTACAGCACATATCGATATAAAGATTAAAACAGTATAGAATTTCAACAAGGGAGTAATCATCCGTGTCCGGGATCAATATAAGGCCAAGGGTGCCGTGATAATATCTTTCCTCGCCATAAATATTAAACGAATCCACAAACCTCTAATGATCAATTATTCGACATTGTAAAATGCTTGGTTTTCAAGACCACAAATATCAACAAACTTCGCACTCAAGGGCTTTCGACAAGGAAAACGAAACTAACAATCTCCATGGGATATGTTTTTGAACGATCTTGTTTCAAAAGCCCCCTCCCTAACCTCTTTTCGGCGATAAATTGTTGTTGTTGTTGACGATAACTGGCGCTTAAAACCACTATCCTTTTTTTAGATCAGTGACTGAAAATTAGGCAGAGCAAAGAAACGTAGATAAGCTGAAGTGTAGCAGGGATTAGACTTCCTCGAAATTCCTTGTCCAGGGACGGATTTAAGCGGCAATGATTGAGAGGGGTTGTTGGATAATGATCGGACGTTGTGCCAGCCATACCCTTTAGGCGACTGGAAACCATGTAAAGAAAGCAACTTTTCTACATCATTTTGTTACTACTGACTACAAAAAATGCATTTTTACCGAATCAAAGCAAAATTTACCGACGAACGCAAAAATGTTAGAGGGTGTTGCACCCCCACACCCCCGGTTAATCCGTCTCTGCCCTTGTCACTTTGGTTAGTCAACAAATTGGTTCCAGAGTGAACAGAGAAAGCGAGCGACTCGTGAACAAACGTAAGCGAGGTTAGCATAAAAATTACGTATGTTAATTAATGACATGTATTCCTACTACAGAAGGGGGGATGGGCAGTGACAGAAGAATCCATGGAATCCTAAAGTTTAACGATTAGGGAAAGCTCCATTCCAAACCTATACATAGGTTTTCAACATTTCTTACATGTTTCGAATTTCTTACATACTACGCAGACGTGTTTTGGACGCTCTTCAGCAATATGTAAAACAGAAAATACGAATACTTAATTAATTTTTACTTTAAATACATATGGATTTATAAATGTTTTAAGCTCTATTAGAAGATCATGATAAAAATTAAGAAGAAACTCTCTATAATCCCTTTTTAAAACAACTGATATATTTATATCTAAAACTTATTTAAAAAGATAAAAAACAACTGATATATTTATATCTAAAACATATCTAAAAAGATCAAAAACCATCTTCTACCGTGATAAATTTGTTACCAACGTATATGTATGCCTTTTGATTACTGCTTTCACTTCTTTCTGTTATATTATTATAGTTTCTTTCTTCTGCTTTCAATTTCTGATTCGCTTTCATTCTTGCTGTTTTAGTATCAAACCAAGCTTTTGAAATTTAGCGTTGTTATTGAAAATTTATCTTAATTCGATTTAAAAACAATAGCTAACAATATTTACATAAATACACAATGTTAACTAATCAAAATCGAATATAGCTACCAGCTAGTACATAAAAAGGAATTATGGATACAAAATTAAAGATTACATTGCATTTTCTGGCAGAAACTGACAGGCACTGCATTTGCAATTCAGTCCGTCCCATTGTTTTATTAGATTCTTAAAACTCTTCAAATTTTCTGCGAATTTCAACTCGTTGGGTAGGCCATTCCAAATCTGTGACCCGATTGACATAAGACTTTTGGATCCAAATGTTGTATGATTAGGTCTATTCATTTGATTCGGTAATAAAAGTTCTTCATAAAAAATATTTAAACGAGAGCTTCCGAAAAGAAGATTGTCAAAAAAGATCAAACTACAAAAATATCACAGCCGGATAAAGTCGGTGTGTTGCGTCGCTCATCTGTTTCGGCCGGATCTTCTCGGGTCTTCTTCTATGGCCGCTTTCCAGCGCGCCCTATCCTCTGCGTCTTCCATCGTGCATCTTCTTTTCCTCTTGTCTGCCGTGACGACCATTGCGATGTTGTTCACTGGCCGTCCCTTGCTTCTCGCTTTTTCATTTCTCACTAGCTCATACTTTTCCATCGCTTCGCGGGCAGGCCCTTGGTGGCGCAGAGTGTGTCCGATGAAGGCCCATCTACTGCGTGCCACTTCGTTGGATGCTTTCTCGGCTCCTGTTCTGCGGTAGAGTTCGTCGATGATTAGGTGTAACATGGGCTAAATTATTCGGATTTCTTAATGAATGATTTGACGAACGTAATTTAAAAATACTCTGCATAAAAGGCAGGTTTAGCTGTTTTACTGTTTTGAATATTTCAAAACATAGAATTTTTTGACGAGCGACGAGCATCGTGCATTTGTCTGCCTTCACAAGCAGATCGCGATACTAACTTGTATGAACATTATAGAGAAATGTTAGGGCACATTCTTGTATCTGTTCAATTTTCTGTAATGATTTAGACGATGAAAAATACCAGACCAAGGGACAATAACTGAAATTGGAATATACGAAGCTCTGGACAAGAACCTTTTTCTCCTGGAAACCAATAAACGTCTTCAATCTTTTAAGAACATTTAATTGTGTTATAGCTTTTTGCAAAGATTCGAAATATGTGAATGGAAATCAAGTTTGTAATCCAATGTTACTCCTAAAAGCTCCACTGTCTCCTCAGATTGAATTTTTTTGCCATTAATGATTATTTGTTCTCCACTAGTATTTGTTTGGTATTTCCTAAGAATTATAGCATGAAATTTTTCAGGGTTTGCAATCATTTCATTTTGTTCTAACCATGATAAGGCGATTCCCGTTTCTTTTTGCAAGGTATTTACAAGATCACACATGTTTCTAGAAAAATAAGAAAGTGTATTGTCGTCTGCATAATTATAGAGCGTTGCTTGTTTTATGAATAGAATTAATTAATCTATGTAAACATTGAATAGGACTGGTCCTAGCACAGAGCTCTGGGGTACACCAGACATAACCTCTTAAAAATAGCTGTATGAACTGTTTATCCCAACACACTGATTTAGTTGTTTCAGATAGGAATAAAGTAGAACTAGAGCATTTTCCTCAAATCCATACGCATGCAGTTTTGCGATAAGCAAATCATGTGGGATACAATCGAAAGCTTTCGAAAGATCCATTAAGACTGCACCAACAAGATACTCATTGTCAAGGCTAGTCTCCCAGTCTTCCATCAAACGTATCAAAACATGCTGGGTTGCATACGTTTGTCGATACGCAGCAATGAAGACTGAAAGCGTGTTGTTGTTGAAGATGTTGTACCAATTGATTTTTTAAGACTTTTTCATAAATCTTTGAAAAGGTATTGAGAACACTAACTGGCCGGAAAATTTCTTTCTAATGTACGATTTGATTCCCCTTTATCTAGTGGGCAAACTGCCGCTTTCTTTGCATCGTTTGGGAAACGAAAATTTCGAATGCTACAGTTTATTGCCGTAGTTAAAGTATTTGTAAGTTCATTTGCAGCCAAGGATACAAGCTTCGGGGGAATTTGATCTTCACTAGTAGATTTCTTGCCATCCAGGGATTTTAATAGTTTTGCAACTTCATGACTGCCTATCTCTTGAAAAGTGACAGTAGCCAGGACTTCCTCTGGGCTTTGAATATCAGCTTGGACACTAGGATGGTTTTTATATTTATCAAGAATCAAGCGAACGATTTGGCGGTCGTCAGAAATTCCAGTATTTTTTGCAAGGCTAATGGGCTTCTTACCGCTGGATTTTTCTACTATATTTATATAATGATCATTCAAAATTTCTGCCAGTTCTTGGTCATCTGTTATGACGGTATCATTTTTCACAAGAGAAATATCGCTGCTTATAAGTCCTCCTTTATTTGATAAAAAGGGTTTAACAAGATCCCAGAATTCTTTATTTGACATAGTTCCATGTCTAGTTGCTTCCTTAAAATGATTTTTAATCGCCTTCCGTCTTAAAGAGACACATTTATTTCTTTGCTTCTTTAAATTAATTTTATTTTTTACGGTAGCGCCCTAATCATGAGGTCCGGTCACATGGCTTCGAATTAAAATTGCCCTCTAGCTTTGCATTGAAAGTTCTCTTTCAACTGTGATTTAAAAATTACACCAGATTCCAGTGAACTTATATCTCTTGGCGATGCATTGAAAGATGTCTGCCCTTGAAAGTACAATGACCTTTTATCAGTTTCTGTTTGGCAACCTGGATGGCGACCTTTTCACTCCAATTGTATTTTACTATTGCAAATAAAGACCAGCAAAGTGAATCTATTAGTAAATGAAGTCAAATCTTCGCTCCTAAATGAAAATAATGTTCATTCAGTGAAAAAAATGTTATTGGCCATGAAATAATGGTGGAGACATTTCTATTCTGATGTACAGATTATTGGGAGAAAGTAATATATTTTTTAACATTTTGTAAGATTATTTTTCAATCAAATCTGAAAAACCTTTTTAAGTCTTAATTGCATATCCTAGTGGCAGCTTTTGCAACAGGCGATATAATTTAAGTTGCGAAGAAGGGCTACATTGAGAGAAGTCACACGAAGCTTTAGATATGGCACCGGTGGCAAAGATTTAATTGACTAGAAATTTACTTTTTCCAAGAGGCTAATTGAATGTCAAGACAAGGCAATGAGGTTTATCACACAAAGCATTATCAAATATATTATCAAGATTAGAACATCTAGCAACCTGCCTTGCACATTGTACAAGAAATCTCCAGCAGTGAAAAAACTACAAAGATAATTGCAACAAAAGAATAGATAGATAAGTTGATCTATCAGTTTAAAAATGAATAGATTGATAAATAATGAATACATAAATAGACACATAAATGAATAGATCGGTGAATAGGTATTTATTAATAAGTGAATTACTAAACACAAAATCACTAAATTATGAAAAAGAATGGCTGAATATGAAGTGACTAAAACAGAGCACTTTTTGTAACTTTTGTAATGCCAATAAAATTTAAGCAATTTTTTCTTTAGGACCTACTCAACTTCCTATTCAACAAGACTTATAGCTAAACATAGAAAAACTAATAAAAGTACCCTGTGCAGAAAATCTAGAAACCACAAAAAACAGTTATGAGGGAGGCCACGGAACTAATGTAGATTCTACAGGCAAGCTTTATGCTAAAATAATTCGAATGAGAAATGGAAAGCACTGGCCATGTTTATGTTTTATAACAAATCAGGATGGCAACAATGCATTCATATTCGATGTCAATCCTCTTCAAAGTTTGAAGTCCAAACATCATCCTTGATAAATGAATCAATAACAATTCATGTGGGACAGAGAGTGCGATGCTGTGATGAATTTTGTGATGGAGCCAACACAAATACTTCAAGGACCAATTTTCTTACCAAACAACGTACGCGATTCTTTTAAAGCAATAGGATTTATAAGGACTTTGTGAGGATTATTCTCGAAAACAAAAGGATTTTTGCAAAGATGTACGAGATTTTCGTGAAGTGATATCTCCTTCGAATATCTTTGAAGGTTTGCTGATGACGGTAATTACCATAATGAAATGGAAAACTGTGTTTAAAAGTCTTGCAGCGCATTTTCACGTGTTACATCATAGAGTCTGTGACTTCAGAAGCATCAATTTATGGACCAGGATCGACACACCTGCAAAGTCTTCGAAGACCCGGTTGAGCCCCTGTGGCACAATCATAGTATAGTGGCACATTTATAAAGCCACCACAGACTCCTGTTCCCGGCAAGTAGGCGGGCTCCACTTTAGAATGAAAACAGTCCGCAGCATTTTTGTTATATTCACAGCTAACACCCAAGCGGTGAAAGTGGTAGACGCTGTTCAATGTTAGAAGGTGTGGTGAGCAGATTTTCCCCAGCTTCGCACAAACTGCTCCACAGGACTCCCCTTCTGCTCCTATTTTGTAAGCTGCCGATGAGACTAAAATAAACAGCAATGTTATACTAAAAAGAGGAATATTAACTGTTTTTATAAAAGAAAAGAATATTAATATAGATAACAATCAGACAGGTTAATACCTGTGTAGCATAAACACATAATACGAAATTCAATATGCGAAAGACATAAACAAGTTTGGAATGAAATCATTAAATTCCTTCAATAAATAAATGTCAAAATTTAAAAATTGATAAAGAGAAATATGCCAAACGAAAGAAGAAAGTTATAATGTAAAAATGGCAGCAAAATGACATATAATAGAACAAAAAATGACACATGAAACTAATGAAAGTTTATAAAGAATATTACTTGAGTTATAGAATTAGGAAGGAAACAACTAATGAGCATTAATATGATTCAAAACTTTATGTATTATGAAAAAAGAATTTACTACGTTTATAAATTATAGTCTACACACATCAATCTATTGTGCTGTAAAAAATTAAAAAGCTCAACGAATAGAAAATTGAAAAGCATTAGTTTATAAACCAAAAAACCTCTTGGTTATATAGTTGGCATACAAAAAAAACGTTTTAACATGGTTGACAAGTATAAAGAATTTCACTTTCTTCTTTGCAGTAAAATTTCTAATGCGCAGGTCGGATTCTCTTACAGATGAAATATAGAGAGACAGAAATGGAACTTTTTGAAATAGGTGACAAAAGACAAGTATGTTGTAAAGTAGGCAGAGAAGCAAAAAGGCATTTGTTTGCATTTTTGAATGATTTATAAAAACATAACAAAACGAACAGCAATTTATTTAGCCATAAAAATCTACTCTCAATCTCTATCTCGATCAGAGTGTCCAGCCTCGAATTAAAGGAGAACTGACACGCAAAAATAACTTTAGCTTATTCTATGCAAAATTTGTCGCTGACTTCAAATCTGGAAAAAGTTTTCTTCTAAGATTCACCGTTTTTCTGATATTTGCACTTTTATCCGTCAATTACGTCACAGCCAGGACTCGGGAATTTCCCGAAGCGGAAACAAGATTATCGCCAGGAGTTGTTAAAATTCTCGGTTGACGTCACAAGTGACATGTTAACAATGCCGTTGTAAAGGCTTTCACCGCAACGGTGAAAGTACAAATGAAGTTTCGTGTTTTATTGAAAATAGTCCGCGGTGAAAAGACAAAAAATTGTCAGGCATTTCATTTATCAGTATAAAAAAGCTAGAAAATCTTAGCTACATGTCTGCTAGGACGCCAATATCCACATAAAATTTATTTTTTTGCCATGATATCTTCGAACCAGCATGCTTTGAAACATTGAAAGAACCTCTAAGCTTGTGAAAAGAGGAGTCGACTTTGTTTGAAAACTGATACCGTTTCTTCAAAGTTTTTACTTTTATAATTACAAATGAAATCGCAACATGGGGGAGGGGGGATGAAGCAATAGCCAAAAGACAAACGAAATCTAGTGGAGACGGCGGCAAAAGCGATCCTGCAACCTGCTTTGGGTGCAGAAATATGAATTCAAGAAAAAACCTTGGTTGACGGGAGCTGCGAGTGTGACTAAATAATAATTTCACTGAACTTGATTATCGTATTTTAACGGTTGAGATACTAGGGAATAACCTAGTCTTGAAAAAGACCATCCCCTACCCAAGTCAAAATTGTTTGCAAAAGAAGATAATGCGCCAGTTGATATTCTTATGACAACTAAAAATCATTTTCTTCGACTAAGAAATCAAGTTCTGTGACTAAGAGCTAAGAGCCTATTTCGTAGATCCAGATTTTTCAACAGCCTTAAAGGTAATTCCCGAAACCCTTCACACCCGATGAAAATGGCATATAATCCGCACAAGTGAGACTTTCAACCCGCCTTTACTATTTAATACCACGATACAGTTAACGAGTTTGAAACATGGAAAAACAATCATAGAATGCTATATTGATAGTGAATAACTTGCAGTTCCGTTTAGGGCATCATAGGCATTTCAGCGAATTAGGACATACAGACAAAGCAGTCTGGACAAAGACCCCTCAATCTGAAATGAAATTCTAGTTTTACGATACCTGATCCCATTTAGATTGTAGCAATAGCAATGTTTTTAATAGAAACTCCATATCAGTTTGTACTTCCAGTCTGTTCTTTGTTCATAATATCGTCACTGTTGAGCCATGGAACGACTGTCTGTCCAAGCGGCAGCGCTGGTTGGTAGCAAAAACTCAGACGGCTGAAATTTTCCATTTGTTTCGAAATCAGTGTAATAAAACTCGGATTCAGAGTCCCGAACCATTGAAAAAGTCAATTATGTGTCAAAAATGCAAAATAAGCTCCTTTCAGATGCACAAAATAAACATTTGTCCGCAGCATTTTCTTAAAGGTTTCTATAGAGAAACACAATACGTGCTGAGAACATGTCACTTGTGACGTCAAAGATGATCGCCCACTCGTGACGATTTTCGCCTGGAGTCTCAAGTTGTCGGAACAATTGTCGTTTCTCAACTTAAAACGCTTGTATTTCAAAAACGGTAACTGTGATTTAAAAATTTTTTTCGTTCCCGGAATTTGCTTGTCACAAACTACCGTTTTAGCCAAACTTATTTTTGCGTGTCAGTTATCCTTTAAGTGCAACACGCTGTTTTTATGTAACTCGTGACTACAGATCCGGGGTTACATTCCAACAAAGTATTTTTATCGAAAGCGATAGTGAGAATAAGTGCAGTTCAAGAACCGACTGTGATGTGGATGATGATGATAATAATAGGGGTTATGTAAATGTGGTTAATGATTAAAAGGATACCTAAATTTGATGCAGATACCTTGCAGATAAGAAACTTCTTCGTAACCAGTTTTCATCATTTAAAGCTCAGTAAAAGAAGTTTTCGTCAAAATATTTGTCCGAAATTTTGCCAGGACGAAATTTTTCTGGTTAATGTACTTACTTTCATGATGTGAATTCACAATAATCCTTATCTTGTCGTCTCTTGTACAGTATGACCCGCTCCCCGCAAAGTAGTAACCATTGCTTGACAACGAGGAGGAATTATAACAGCGCCAGCGGTACGAAGTATCTGTTATTGAAGGTGCAAAATGCGCTTTTTTGTCAATATACGATGTACAGACGGGCTGGCAGAAGGTTGCCAACTTCTCTTCCAGTTCTAGATATGACAAAATGACATAAAAATATACGATATGAATACGTTGTAAAAATATAGTAAGATAAAGGTGCCGAACTGTAAGAAGAATAAAATCATGATCATTGTTTGTGAACAATATGAACAAAAAGGGTTGTTTATTGAAAGCAAAATAATTTCATAAGTGGCTAGAGTACACCCCTTAAAACAAAGTAGCTACCGACCCAAGACAAAAAATGGTGTTTTATTATTTAAAAAGGTTAATTCTAGAGCGAAATTGACTCGGCGATGGTAGACAGGAGACAGCAGAGCGGGAGTTATGTTTGGGGCCTTTGAAGGTTTCAAAAAATTTTTTCATAATAATTCCGTAAAAATACCAAAAGTCTTAACTATTCTCACAAATTATGGATGAGCAAGTCACAGAAGAAAACTAAGCATGTACTCGCTTGCACGTTCTTGGCCGAAACGCAATAACACCCATAGATATCATGGCATCTGTATTAACCAAATGCTAGACAAGTCAATGCTAGATGCAGTGTGAATTATTGATTGGAGAAATACTGTTAGACAAAGTGAAACTGAAGAAAAGAATTCCAAGGCAGGTAAAAAAGAGAGTTGCAACAAACTTTGGCCTTCCATCGACGTACTGTTTAAACTTAATGTTGTATATTTTGCAAACGACTTCGAAGAAATCAAGAATTCGAAGAAACTTTAAAAACTGGAAACATCAAAAAATACCCCACTGATAGTTTAACAATATGCAGACGATCAAAGAGGGATAGCAATAGATGTTAAGCTGAAGATAAAAAAAGTCAAGAGAGGGAATTTGATAAAACAGCAAGTTAACAAACGACAAGAGGGAACGAAACAGCTAGAAATTAACAAGAAAAAGAAGAAAGACCATTATTCAATATAGCCAGAAATTATGACGAAAGAGAAGAAAAAGCTCAATCTAATACATACCTCTAGGTGGACAGCAGTTTTTCAGCCCCTCCAAAGTCTTTATCTCCTACGAAGAAAATAGCCATCAACTAAAATAATTATAATTTTAATTAGTGTTATTGATTCAATCGTTAAGTTAAGAGGTGCTAGCATATTCAAACAATGGATAGTTTTCTCTGGACTTACAGTGTCAAAGATTACACTGTCGATAATTTTAGCAAGCATAAATTAAATTGCCTCTTTTAAAAACATTCCTTGCAAGAACATTTCAAAACAAAATCTTCGAAGATAGTGAGTAATCTATAGGTAGAAGAGAAAATGTCATCTATACCTCTCTCAACTTGACTGCAGTCCAACCAGTTGCATCAGTGATCAGAACACCCGATTTCACGGAACAGCTTGGATACTTAACTAGCTCGCACAGAACTGAGCGATTCTCTTGCATCTTGTAGTTCGCGTAATAGCAAAGGCACGCGGCGAGGCATTTCTGAATGCACTGCAAAAAGGATGCAACAGTAAGAGATCTCGTGTTGCTACTGATGTATTTACTGTCATAAGTTGTACCAGTAACCGAACGTCGATGAGATTCAAATGTCTTTTCCGGGCATTTGCTACCAATTGCAAGCCAGCAAGCCCAGCAAAGAAGCAGAAATGTACAACGAAATCCTTTATTAGCCATTCCTAAACAGAAAATCATCTGCGTTTAATAGGATAGAGATAAACTGGCCGTGCTTTAAGCAGTTACAGGTAAATAACCTGAACGTATATGAAACGAGACCGGGTTATTGTAAATGTTTTTGAATATATGCTATTGAGTTTAGGGCGTTTATTTATTGTAGTTTTGGACATGCGCAGTAAAATATTTTAAACTGTGGCAAAGTCATTTTGATAGGAGTTTTGTTTTTGTCGTGGTTTGGGCCAATCACAGGATGGGCTGGTACTTTATTGTTACGTTGTTGTACATGATTTTAAGCGTAGGAAAAGGACCATTCTTCAACGGTTAATTTTGTTGTTCAATGTGCAAATATAACACAGGCTATCTATAAATATTAACAGTCGAGGCATTTAAATTATGCAGTGTTTTTTGCGGTACTTATCTTTGCCACTGATTTCACAAAGGGCTGAAACGAGCTTCTTTAATCACAGCATTGATCCCAGTTGGGCCGTCAATGTTTGGCAGGGCCGTCGAGAGGCAGCTCGGGCCCATGGGTGATTGTCAAAACAGGACCCCGTTGAGAAGATTTTCTATGGCCACGCCCTTCAGTCTCCTGGAGAATTCGGGAAACGCTCTGTTCAATTGCAGTTGCTGAAAAAGTTTCTTAAGGATTTTTACAAGAATATGCAAAAACATTTTACTTGAATCAAGGATATTTGGGCATTTCTCTGCGATAAACTTATAAGACTTGGTTACATATAATACACGGCTTTTATTGCATTGTAAATAGATCTTATCATATAATTACGGCCCCATGGGGGCACGGACCCCGGACTTTTGGCTCCTTCTAACTCCTCTCTCGTCACCCCTGATGTTTGGACCTTGACGAGATGCGAACTGGCACCCAGTGATGCTTAAAGGACAAGTGATACGCTATTGGCGCCAAATCTTTTTCTTCTTTTAACTTAAAGTAAAATGCTGTATGAGAGTGTTGTTGAAATATTTTTCCTTTCTGATTTCATTTTCCTACTTAAAAACCCTTTTCAAATTATGGCGGGAAATGAGTCACGTGACACCGTGACGTAGATTGTGATAATTTGTTATTGTTGCTACTGGTATACAGTGCAATATTAACGTTTACAACACAGTTCTAAACGAATTCAGTTCGTCTGGACCTGTCGCGTCGTGTTTCGTAAACTCTCTATTAATGACAGGAAAATTCCGAGTTATCACAATGTACGTCATCGGGTCACGTGATAAAAAGCAAAATCGTGCCCCCTGTGCCCCCTGATTAGAATTTTTTGTTCTAAACCAGATAAAACTTACTTCTAAATGATGATCTATTAGTTAATGAAAAGAAAAGATAGGGTGAAAAGTGTGTCACTTGTCCTTTAAGCTAGCTACTTTTGCTGGGTTTCCCTTTTGACTGCCAAATCTTCGTCCTTACTTTCTTTACTGTAATTTTGCCTGAGCTACTTCAAACTAGGCTTCGTTTCTGCTTCTGTGTTCGGCTACCATTCTAGCCCAACAATTCTCGAGCTGATGGATTGAGAGGTCTCATTAATGATGAATGTTTGACGCAGACTTTCTAAATGTGCTATGGAAGAACAATTGAAAGCTCTATCTAGAATTTTTCGAGATCAATTGTCTCTACCTTTTCATGTTGGGGTCCAGTGACGTCGCGTGGCCATTCTCGCTGGGAAGGGGGGTGTAAGAGATGAAAAACCATATTTTACCGACAGAAATTCTTTTGTTACATTAATATTTTGTTATAAATTTGATTCTACCAACGAGTTCTCTGAAATTTGGGGGGAGGGGGGGTTTACAGCCCACACCCTGCCCCCTCCAGCCCCATCCCCACAGCTGAAATTAGGGTTTGGTTTTGTATTTATCTGTGTTTGGCTGAATATGTCACCCACTTCGATGGCTCAGTGGTTTAGGTCACGGACTAAGACCCAAAAAACTGGATCCCTAACAGGACCAAACCTTAACTAAAAGTGAGGGGAGTCACAACTGTTCTGTAATTTCAGACGTAGGAATCACGAGGTGTGGTCTTACGTAGATGAAGAGGATAGACCAGGAAGCTGATCGATAAGCATAGCTTCTCAGTGTCCTAAAAACTACCTTCGGATGCTAGGTACCTAAAAACTACCTTCAAATACAAATGCAAAAACAACTATATCTTGAATGCGAGAGGGAGAATGCATATGATGTTGAAATGAAAATAAAAAATACTTTGTAACTCGTGCCTTTAAAATTGTTGTTCACTCTTTATTAATTTAATCTATTTCTTTATTAAGATATTTAACTTTTGCATATTAAAACAAAGGCAGTCTGTTTCCTACTGCGAGGGATTTTATTTTTAGCTGAGTAAAACTTACACTTGGTTGATATTGATGAACAAAAGGAATAACAGCCAATCAGCGACCACATTGAATGATTTAATATTCACTGTTCACATTCAGTCATAAGAAGGAAATATGTATTGGTTTAAGAATAGAATAGAATAGAATAGAATAGAATAGAATAGAATAGAATAGAATAGAATAGAATAGAATAGAATAGAATAGAATAGAATAGAACACAACACAACACAACACAACACAACACAACACAACATAACACACAATAAATTTTTGGATTTTGAACATACAGCCCAAAACAACATCATAAAAAACTCCTAAAAGTACAGAATCATTTTGATCTGTTCTGAAACTTAAGATCAGAGCCAAAATCAATAATCCATTAGTAAACTTAAAATCTTTCATTGGCTACATCTCTGAAGATCTGAAATAGATTTAACCGATTTTGCAAATTAAAAAGTATTGGGTAACGATTTCAAGTTGGAGACGTGTTTCTTTGGAAAGAATGCAGTGACACTAGAGGATTACACTCTTGATTAAAAGATTATACTAGGCAGATGACACCAAAACTCTTGATAGACCTGCGAGTAATACTCTTGATAGACAAAGCATTATACTCTTGATAGACCTGTGAGTAAAATAGTAATGTGGCTAACTGATAAGAATAAGTTAATAAGTATCTTGAAGGTAAAAGATGAAAAAGTGGCTGTTGTTCATGTTAACATTGTGTTTACCCAGTCAAATACATGGCTTGTTTGTGCTGTGTCCTGTTTTTGAAATTGTATAGTCATTTTGTGCTATTGTTTTTCATTTTGAAACAGTTCTTTGTGCTGTTATTGAGCTATGCAACCGAGCATTGTGTACAACCTTGCTTTATGTTTTAAGAGATTTTTTAGGCATTTGGAAGACACTGAACTAATAGACACAAACTTATTGCAGCTAAAAGATACTGTAATTTGTAATTATAACAAACACTTGTTTCCATCCTTATCTTTGTTTTGTTTGCTTTGCATGTTTGTTAAATTTAATTTGATTTGTGTCTAGTATTTAGGGGATACATAGCTGCGAGATGAAATGGTTGTGCTTTGGAGAAAGTCAGTTCTTGGAATTTTTTGGCTGCTACATCTCACTTCAAACAAGGCAAATGGTAACCTCTTATCTGAGATAAATCAGTACATTACCAGCCAATTCTAAATCCTAACATACTCTGAAAGTAAAACCATTTTTAACAAATAAGGCAATTTTAGAATTATTTCTATTGAGCATATTATTCCTGATGTCACTAGCCATACCAAACACTGGTTGGCATCTAGGGCAGCAACAACCAAACATCTTTTCTGTCTCTATATCAAATCTTTATAAACTGATCTAAGCCAGTCTGCATTCCTTGTAGAGCACAGGGAAAATTTTTTATCACATCATCATGTGAGCTTCTAGCTGCACCTGCCCCATATCTTGCACCTGACCCATTGAGATTTTCACTGAAAATCTGCCTCAAATGCATTGGACTCCTTGTTAAAGGAGCTTTTCTGTGCTGAAATAAAGGAACGCAAACTGGGAGCAAGCTAAGCAGCTGGTGCCATGAATTCAATTCAACTATTTTCAACCATCATTTCTAAAATTTAAAATGAACAGTCATTTGTACTACATAAATTATAGTCATGCTTTCATCTTATCTTTTTTAGGCATATTCACAGAATCATAGACCCATACACTGTCAATACCTTCATCCAAACTTGTCACTGGTGTCCACGATGGCATTGGAAATCTACATGCAACAACTTTACAACCATATTTCATTTCTCTCTCTAATTTTTCTTTCAGGGTTGGCATCATTTCAGATACTCCAAATATTATAATTTTATCATATCCTGAAAGATCTACTGTCCATAAGTCTTTCCTTTGAAATTTCGCTTTATTTTGAAGACCTTTTAACCTAGCAGCTATCTTTGAGTAGACGACTAACCAGAAATTGAGCTCTACTCCCAGTGCTTCATAACCATTTTTAGCAGCCTCAAAGACAATTCTTCCATCACCACTGCCCAAGTCTATTAATTTATCCACATTGCTGTTCGATCTTCGATGTCTATTGCACATTTTAATAACATTTCCAACTTGTCGACTTGTAGCTGGTACATAAGGAAGACAAATTTTCCTCAGTGCTGGTGTTACAAAGGAGGCAGACACGACGGAAAGGCCTATGGCTACAGCTCCAGTTATACCAACTGCTACTAAACCAAACTTCTTCCTCTGAGAATTCTGGTTTCCTTCACTGTGCATCTCAGCAGAACGTCAATCTTTCAAATCAGCAGTTTGAAATGTCGAAATTATAAGCCGAAATTATGGCCTAGCCTCTTTTTCGCTCTACTCTTTCGAAACTGCCTCATGCACCATGAAAACACTGTTTCACTTCCACTGGCAGTGCTCAGTGGAGAAATATTTGAAATTTGTCAGTTTCTTTATACTTTGCTTTATTCGTCTTGAAGTGACTGCTGGTAGGAATAATTGCGAGGTGACCAAAGGCTCAGAAAGCTTCTGTACTGCAATAACGAAAATGAGGGCTGTCAGAGTGTCTCAGTTTGGAGGTCCCGAAGTTTTGCAGGTACTCAAGGATGTTAAAGTCCCGACTCCAGCTGGCAAAGAGGTACTTATGTTAAATTTTTACACAGGGCCCGCGCCACGAATTTGAAGGGGGGGGGGTAAGGCTAAAATGTAGGGGGCCAAGGCTTCTTATCCCTTTCACTGCAGCTCACAAACTATTTGTTTCGCAAAATGGTGGGGGGGGGGGGGATGGCCACCCCGGCCCCCTGGTGGCGCGGGCCCTGCCTTATCTCTGATATTTGATTCCAATTCAATCCCACTTTTCTTTGAAACCAAAGAAAATTTATACCTTTATACCTATAAGTAGTTGAAATAAGGCCAAACAAAGAAAAATTAGAAACAAATAAGGCCAAACAAAAGAAAATTAGAAACTATATTAAGATTCCCATATATTCATACACCCATTTTTCTATTTTTTATGTCCTAGATCCTTTATATTTTTTATGTTTTTTTAATAAGAAAGTTTTTTCAGCCCAGCCCTCAGACTTTTTTAGCTATTTCCTAATTTCAGCACTAAAACTTTCTTAGTGCTTTCTTAACAAAAAATTTGAAAGTTTTACGTTAATAAGCATGCACAGTAATGGAGAAGATGAAATGCTACATATATGCTATATTTCTCAACAACCCTCAATGTCATAACATTTGTTAAGAATGTAGAAGCAAGACAACAACTTATCTCAAAATATATAGATAACCATTATATTGATATGCCAATAATAATGAATATAGAACTAGAGATATACAAGGTAATATAATATGAAAGATGTGTAATGAAATTACACCACAATTTCCTTTGAAACTTTGAATATCAAAATTTTTCAACTTTCTTAGGTTTCAAAGATCCAGCCCTGAACTTTCTTAACTTTTTGAAGAACCAAGCACAACTTTCTTATAAAATACTTTCTTATAGAAAAACATGTATATGACAAAATATAACCCCTTTCTCTTTTGAAGACTTGGGTGCTTACCCTTGACAGTAAAAGTGGACCTGTCAGGCATTCAATTCTGTTCCTTATCAAAGTAAAGACTAATTAGATAGGTTGCAAGGAATGAAATGTAATGTACTTCAGTAAATAGATTGCAGCATTTGGACTGGCATTTTAAGTGAGGTTCCTCAAGAATGCATCCTTGGATCACTTCTTTTCCTTTTCCACATGAAAGACCAACCTCTATACATCCATGGTAGCTCTGTTAAGGTATTCGCTTATTTGAAGGATTTTCAATTGATATGTTTCAAAGAGGAGTTTTTTGCCATCTAGGGGTGCTTAGTCAGCAGTTTTCCAAACTTATCGACAAATACAGGATGGCTCATCCACTTTGTCAGCAAATGGGACTTGAAAACCCTTCTTAAGCACAATAGCTATGGACGGGCCTGATTTTACTGGTACTGTGTCTCAAGGTGTAACAAAAACTATGGACTCAAATATCACTGTAGAGGTTATTATTATCTTCTGGTATTGATCCCTCTATTCCACCTTTTTATATTGTTTTATATTATCACGATATCACTCCAGGTGTTGATTAAAGTAAAAGCAGCTGGTATCAACCCAGTGGATACATACATCAGGTCAGGAAATTATGCAAGAAAACCTTTCTTACCATACACACCTGGAGGGGATGGAGCTGGTATTGTCCATGAAGTTGGCAGTGATGTCTCAAAATTTAAGGTACCACCTTATAGCCTTTCGTAAATTAGCCATATTCACAACACTTTGTATCATTGTACTATGCATTTTTTATATAAAGGAGATAAAGAAAGTTAATTTAAAACTGAATTTAGTTGAAAAGTTTATTTTTCCAAATTTTTTCCAGTCTGTTGAACTCTTTTTGCAATTAATAGGCAGGAGACAGGGTTTGGTTTTATGGAAGTTTGTCTGGCTCATATGCTGAATATTCTTTGTCAAGTGAATCAAAGTTGTTCAGTTTACCAGACGCTGTTGACTTTGACAGAGGTGCTGCCATTGGAGTTCCATATTTGACAGCATATAGAGCCCTCTTTCACAAGTAGGTGAAATTATTGATTTGATGATACTAAGGTTTAAAGGGTCATTGCAATAAATGGGGAGCTTGAAAAATTTGTATTTAAAAGCATTTAGCAAAGGTCCATTCCCGTGGCATACCATAAGGATCTGTCCTGGATCTTTATTCAAACTTTGACAATTGAGATTCCAGCCTTGCTTAAAACACTTTCCTTTATTGATTCAAGCTGGAAATGTTGAAAAATGATGTTTGTATGTCACTTTGGAATGCAAACTGCATAAGCTTCCAATCCATTACACTTGGGACCAATGAGCAGCTCATGAAAATACCATCATCCTTCGCAAAAGTGGATTATCAGGATAATCTTGTTGACTCTACAGGGCCCGTGCCACAAGGGGTTTAAAAGCAGCAGTAAAAGAGGTAAGAGGCCTTGGCCCCCAAACATTTTTAGCCTTGGCTCCCCACTTTCAAATTCATGGTGTGTGCCCTGCTCTACAAGTATTGCTTAGTATGCAAATTGACCAAATAAGTCAATTGCAAAGTGCATCTCTCAGATGGGGAATGGAGAAAACTATGTTGCTGCACTATTCAATATTTAGTCACAATCAGATACTACAATATTACAAATACTACAAGTACAAAAAAATACTACAATGCAACAATATTACAATACGAAAATACTATGATGCAACAATATTACAATACGAAAATACTACGATGCAACAATTCTTCAATGCGACAATATGACAGTGCAACCATACTGCAATATAACTACAAAAAAATACCACGGAGAGTGTGTACAGGTATATATTTTCTGCAGCCAACAAGAAGATCATGATTGATGCCAGTTGAAAACGTGAAGTGAACCCCCAATATTGACAATCAATGCCATTATAAAAGTTTTGACAACTAGATCGGTTAATATCTCTCCTAAGTTTATGAATTTCAAAGAAATTGGGCACGTTTTCTTAATAGGGATTATCACCAGAGATCAATTGTAACAGCAATATTACACAAATTTTAATGGGAGTTGCAAGAATCACGCTGAAAATTGCTGAATCTTAAGATATATTCCTAAAATACTCACAAAACTTTCATCAATAGAATCACAAAGTTTTCAAACCCTTTTGAGGCTGTACCAAAATTTGGCAAAGTTGATTAAGAGAATTTCTGTATTGGATCATATTGTTTTGAAATTTAGCTTGCCTGATACCAGTGTTGACCAGACTCGTTTAACATATTTGTAGGGCTCTTCACAACAAAAATTGACATGATATTGATTTTTTTTGTTAAACACGTTGACATAAAAACCAATATTTTTTTCTGGATGCTTTCTCAAATCTTGTTTGATTTCAAAGTAAATGGAATTTTGATTGGTATTCTTGTCTATTTATCAATCTCTTTAAAGTTTAACTAGGTTTCTAATGTCAGCGAAAAGGTGATTCTGCTAAGTCGAACAATTGAAAGTTTCATTGACAGATGTTGCCCAATCTAACGTCGCGACTGCCATTAAAAATTTACCTTGCAATGTAGCATAATCTTGCCTTGTAACTTCAAAAATATTATAGACACAAGAAAAGACCCCCATCTAATTTTTTGAATAGAACATTGTCGAGAAAAATTAAAGAGTTCGATAAATTGAAGAGAAGTAAGAAGGGCGGAGACCCATAAGTTGTACATTTAACTCAAATTCCACCGAAACTGAAATGGCAACATTTTTTACCAGATACCTTTTTGGATAGTAAGTTACCAAAAAAAAAAAAAGAAAATCATTAATTTTTTCCTCCCAGAAATTATCTGATACTATTCTGATAAATGTTGATTGGTGAAAATGAACAAATTCTATACCGCGTATTAATTTAATAAATAAAAAAGTTTTAAAGCAACTGATTCACATTCTATTGTTTTAGGCTGTTCCCCGATCTCTCTTATGTTTCATGTTTCGTTAACAAGTCACAGATGATCACATCTTTGAATATCGCGAACGTTCAGGGTCTCTTAGTATCTATTTCAAAGTATTTTACGTCTTGAAGCCTTTTTTATGTTCTTCTTGCGATTTTTTCTTATCAAATTTCATGTAAGAAGTTTTTAAGAAAGCAAAAAACGGCTCGAATTTTAAATAGTTTAAAAGGAGCAGTACTTTAAAACATGAAAAGTGTCACAGCTAAAGGGGAAAGCTGATATAAGGGATTTAAAAGGTTTGACTTGCTCTCCTTAGAGTATGATGTGGTAATGCTCATAAGACTGTAGAAATTTATGTAGATGACACCTTTGCAGCTGTTATGTCAGTGCCCCTGCTGTTTTGAGTTGCGCCGACCAACTCGAATTGGAAACCGGAATCAAACATGTTTGCATTTGCAAATTTCATCCTCCTTGATACTTTTCAACAACAAATTTTGTACAATTCAAAGACTTTTAAGGCACTATTTCCCAACGCATTTCGAAGGCCATCTAAGTTACCTTTGATTGGATTATACAATAGACTTTTTTTATTTATCCAATAGGCATTGTTGGACAGATTCTCAACGCTTTTCTACTATAAGCGTTGAATAGTTGTAGAACAGGACAAACTACCTTTAAACGAATTTTGTTAATCAGCGGATAATCTGAACTCAATCTACAGCCAGGGTAAGCCAACATAAATTCATCGCAAAACTTTTCAAATAACTACCCAGAGAAAGGAGTTCTAACCTGGAGAAAGATTTGTAATAGATGTTGCAACACTTGAGAAGTTCGACGATGCTCTGTAAAAAATATTCACCAACCCACCAGCACAGAAAGGTCTTTTCTGTTACAGAATTATTTGCATGGCCACTTCTGAGCCTTCTTAAGCAATCCACACATCCCGTCATCCTGTAGATTGACGTACAATTCGGTTGCCTGTACAAACACAGAGAGGGTTGTTTCTGTGTTCATGTGTAACGTTAGCCTATTTTCATTCATTTTTCTTAATACCTCTCCTTCTCCACGTCACTAGGATTTTTAGCGATGTTTGGGTGCTTTTTTGGTGAATATTCAAACCTGTCGGCAAATGAAGGTTGTCGCACTCACTTTGTTGGCAAATGAGTCCTGACTACCTCCCTAGAGCGAAAAAGCTAGCAATAGCACTGGTTACACCCTCTTAATTTAAGAACAAATTAAGAACAATCCAGCCTCAGATTTTCGAAAAAGTTAAGAACAGTCAGCCTGAACTTAAATTTACTGGTTCTTATAAAAAAAAGAGTGTAGAAGAGGATTTGCAGATGTCTGTTTACACCCAGCCATCGTCATGCTTTGTACGTCGCCATGCTGTGTGTTATGATTGTGAACATAATAGTCTGCGGGTATCACACGACAGAAAAAATATTCTTGTCGTCAATGTAGAGCTCTATTGCAAAGAACCATTACGCTGCAAAGGTTTGCAGCAACAAGTTGTTGTTTAAAAGCAAAATAAGGCATAGAAAATCTTCACAAAGAGACACGCAAGATTAGGAATAGTAGGGTGGTGTCGTAGTAGCAACCTGGATCAATCCTGTTTTGCACTAAAGCATGTAGAATTCTCTCTTTACGGCACTGCAAGGACTGCGGGGCGTATTACAGATTGAGGGGGCTACAACGTTTTGGAGGGGCTAAACATGCTAAAAACCAGGATCAGGGCAATTTTTGGTAGGATTTTGAATATATTTTGAAAATTATTGGGGGGGCTAAAGCCCCCGTTGCTCCTCCCCTCCCACTTCCACGGTTCCTGTGGCACTGAGCAATGAAGCTTTGATTAGGGTTCTTTTGTCATGCTTTGGTAGAAAATATTGTGTCTAAAAAGATTGTTGCTTCTACACCAAGAGAAAATATGTCAACCTTCAAAGAAAAATGATTGGATACTTAATAGAAATATCGAACAATACATTTTCAGACCAAAGTTTTTTCTTCTTATATTTGTGACTCAAATCTATATTAAATTACTAGAAAGAGCTACTCTATTTCTTGAACAAGCTCTTGATATACTTGGATAGCTAAATAGTTCAACTCCGATCATGTCAGGGCACATTCTAATAATAAGCAAAATTTCTTGGAGAGTTTCTCTGAAAAACACATCTGTAATACCTAAGCCGTATGAAAATTAGATGAGAGAAACTTGTTTGTGAGCCCTTATAAAGCAAAGTTATGGCAAGCAATTTTTAGAAGCAGGCTTTTTGCAAAAGAAGGCCTTTGATACTGATTGGACAGTTGAAAGAGAATTGAAGGCGTTACAATTTCATAAACGATGACAAGAATGGCGTTGTTTGCTTGGATTGCCTGTTTCTAAAGAATACTTAAATAATTTAGATACAGGTATTCTTTGTTGTTATGGTTTTAGAATGTATTTGGTTAGTGATTAAGTCACAGATTATTGACAACAGCACAAGATACATTCATTACCTATACCTGCCGCTGCCAACATCTGCAAGCCACCCTGAATCGTCTTTTACCAAGCTATAACCACTTTTTACAAATAACCAGCAAGGGTGTTGGTGATGCAATCAAACACATTTTAACACAACTTAATGGCACAATAACCTGATAAGAATATTTTTTAAAAGAAAGTTTGTAACAAATGTTTCTACTTCATTATCTTTTAAAATTCCATTTACGTAAAATTGAAAATCCGCTGTTATGTAGACAACAAGGAATTCGTTTTCACCCTTGGGCTTTATTGGTAACATTGCCAAATATTTTATCTTGGAGTATGCGTACATATTCTATTTTGTCAAGAGTACAACCAAAATACTTTTGCTAAATATGTGACTTTGAATTATTTTTTATGCCTGTAAGAACTCATTCTTTTAGTTACCTATAAATTTTAAAGATGTCTTACTTTGCAGCCCTGCTCTCATATTCTGGTTGGTGTTTCTAAACTTCCTCTGTGTCATCTTGAAAGAATCGAGTCAAAGGCCATTCGCCTCACCAGCGTGACCAAGTATCCTAAATATGCTTGCAGACAATTTGCTTGAATTTCTGATTTAAAGCTGGAGTTCTATTGCTTTATTTTCAGATGCCATGCTAAAGCAGGGGAAACTGTGCTCATACATGGTGCAAGTGGTGGGGTGAGTTTCTTAGGGCTCATTTGAGAGATATATTGACAATCGTCGAAGAACACGCAGGCGTAAATAATATATTTGTTAACCTAGTTTCGGTTCCAACGAATCTCTGAACTGCACGATAGTATGTATTGTCATTATAAAAAATGCTGCACGTATATTTGTTTATGGATGTGGAATGATAATGACGTCAGAGCTAGAGGGGCAAATGTGTCGAAATGGGAAAAAAGAGGTTTCTTAAAACTGTCTTAAAGTTCCCACGGCTGGTGCCTTTTCTTGATAATAGGTACTGCAGTGTTTGAATTACCATACCAATTGCATTTCAACCCATTCATACGTGTATCTAATTTTAGAAACGAGTATTTTGTCACGTCTCAGGTAGGAATAGCTGCTTCACAGCTAGCAGTTGCTGCGGGGCTGCGTGTTCTTGGAACAGTTGGATCGGCTGAAGGAAAACAGATCCTAAAGGAAAATCATGTGCATGAGGTTTTCAACCACAGGCTGGAAGGATACGTGGATGAGATCATGGTATTTCATAGTCTTTGATTAGAATCGCCATATGCATAAACAAACTTCTTGTTTTCTCAAACAAAATCCCGTTTGTGGGTTTATTGTTATAAATTTATTTGCACTGACATCAGTATCATACATCATGTTTAACCTCTGCTATCATTTGTTTGCTTGTTTTCATTTTACCATAATTGCTCTTTCTCATCTACTTTACTTCCCATCCCTTTGAAGCTTATGCATAGCTTGTACAGACAGTTTTCTTCTCTTTTCTCCAAATAGAAACTTGATGCTATTGTTGAAACGATATATTTTTGTGTTTATTTTCCAGGCTGCCACATCTGGCAATGGAGTCGACATTATTATCGAAATGCTAGCAAATGTGAATTTAGGCAATGATTTGAAGATGCTTGCAAAAAATGGGAGAGTTGGGGTAAGATGACTTGTTCTTTTAAACTAGGCTAGCAGTTGCCTTCGATCTCAGTCGTCCCATTAACAGTCATTCAGGTTTTTAACGGCATTTGAGATAATTGCAAAGCTCTCTGTTCAGCTCTGCTTATGGTCGATTTCTACGGGGCTGCGTCACGCATTTAACGTTTGATTTCAACGATGTTCATGTATTTTAGGTGCCATGTTTGAGAATTACCAGAATGGCGAATGTTAGAAAGCAATAATGTTCTAAAAAGTTGCAGACTTGACAGCTTGAAACAATTTCTTTGTGACCATCAATGCCTGCCAAAAGTCTTATCTTAAGCAAGTCAAATCAAGAATCTCTGGCGTCCTTAATTTCGCAAATTTATTCAGTAGTTTTTTTTAAGAAACTCCTTCAAGAAAAGTGTTTTCTTTAAACCTTAGAGAAAGATTCTCCAGATTTTGTGTTGATAGTGATAGTTTGTGTGGAAAACTGAAATGACTTTAAATATCTGGCGATAACTTGTTAAACAAGAAAAGATGAAATAAGAAAGTGAAAATTGCATCAAACTTAAATTTGTGTTCATAATTTTTTATTTTTATTTCATGATTTTAATTTTTTGGATCGATTTTTAGAGTGAATTGTCTAAATTGTAAACAATTGGATATCCATGGAAACTCTGCTGCCATGACGACCATAACCGCAAAGAGGATGTATAGATTTCATAAAAATAACATTGTGAACAGTTTTTTGGCGGTACAGAACTTGAAAATGGCTTTGAAAAAAGCAAACATCGTATAACATATTGGCTAAAAGCTTTTTCGTCTGACACTCCTCAGAGCATAAAACGTCAGAATAAAAGTCCGAAAGAACATGATGAAAGATTGATACCCAGTTGTGAATCGAAATAGGCCAATCAGAAAAACGCAAGCACAAGATCGGAACAGTTGTCCAATCAGTGTCGCGTTTCTAAAGAAAGATTACCCCCAGAGTTAAAGAGAGAAAACAAACTCCTTCTGTCTAAGATGGTTTCTTCATTTATGAATAGCTTCTTGTTCATTTCAGGTCATTGGGAGTCGTGGAGTAGTAGAGGTAAACCCACGTGACGCGATGGCAAGAGAGGCATCAATACATGGAGTCATGCTATTCAATTCAAGCCAGGTAAAAGAAAACTGCCTATTTTTTTTCCTTTTTGATAAGTAATTTGATTGCGTTATCACGATGCATTACACTGATTCTTGAGAACAAATAGAAGAAGGCTAAACAGACAAGGCCTCTAGGTTTAATGAAGACAATCGCAACTGCTAAATGTGAAACCATGCGTTTATAATGTTTTGCTTTATTAATGGGACACTTAGGCCTATTGGCACCGAACACCTTCATGCATAAATTATATTTTGCAATTGTCTTTTTTCTTGATCTTACACTTTCTAAGACCCCGTTTACACTGTGCCGGATAAATTTTATCCGCATAAAATTTGTTCGGATTGATTTGCGTTTACACTGTGCCGCACAAATTTTGTCCACTTTGCCCTCCCGTTTACACTGTGCCGGATAACTACAGTCACGTGACCTTAATCATTCACAGAACGCTCAAAACGAGGTCATCTCTAGGCAACCGATTTTCAATAACACCATATTTCCCGCCGAAACGCCAAAGGTGCAAAGACTTTTCCGTCATTTTTCAGAATCAACTGCTTCGCGTTCAGACGAAGTCCGAGAGAATTGTCAAAGCACATTAGGCCAATATTGTTTAAAAAATTCTTTGTTTGAAATAAAACGTCACAGAAATGGCAAACAAAGTAGGGGAAGCTGAAAAGGACTTATCGTATGTATGGAAAGTATGTAAAGTAGTTATCGACTATAAGGCAGCAAATGTGGCGAAAGGTCTTGATTGGGAGACGGTGAAAACAAAATATGTTGAAATAGCCACTCGTTTTCAAGCAAGATAACCGAAAGCTGATTCTGGAGTTAATCGTGATGAATATCCCAATTGTGAAAGTCCAGATAAAATAAACAAAGCTAAGATAGCCCCTAAAATTAAACGAATCAAGGCCAACTTTAGGAAGGCAGTTGATAGTGGAAGAAAAAGTGGAGGAGGCAGGATAGTTATGGCCTTGTACGACGAATGTCATGAAATTTGGAGTGGATCTCCAGCTGTTGAAAGCCTCCCTGATGGGATTGAGAGTACCTCGTTGCTGGAAAGAGATTCACAGGAGGAGTTGTATGACAATTCGAGTTTGACGCCATTCGAGTCTGCCAGTGCCAGTGCCGAAGGGTTAGAAAGCGACTCTTGATTGATTTCAGGTCAGAACTTGATTTCCATACAGATCCAAAAAAAATATGGGTGAGGCTAGTAGAAGTCTAGTCAAACATTTCCAAATAAGCAGAAACTCTAAATTGACAAAACGTATCTCTGCTGATGCACAGTTGCTTGACATTGCCATGGAAGAAATAGCATTAAAAAGAAAGTTAATGGAAAAGATGGATGAAGCTGACAAGCGTTTTGAAAACAGCATTCAGGGAATTGCCAACAGCATTAACAGTTTGACAGCTGCAATCACTGGCGGTTTTAATTTATTACAAGGAATGCTTAATGCTGGAGCCTACCAACAGCCATATCAACAGAGCCATCCTTACATGCAGAACTATGAACAACAGAGGCCTGATTATGGTGGCCAAACAGCTTATAGAGATATTATGTAAAATTTTAACTTTGTTTACATCAGCTTCCTTGTAAATTGAATTCATAACTTTATTTTTCTTGTCACACTTCAATTATCTACTTATACTTCATCTATGATTATTTTTGTTTCTGGTTTAGTTTAATCCACATGTTTTGAAATTCCTTTGCTCTGTTTTTTAAGCATGTCTCTACGAACGGAGTTCATTTAGTTAGATGTTAATATTTGAGAATCATAATACCGTGCAGATGAATTATTGAAATGGAAACAGATTCAAAAAGAAAATATTTGATCAAACCATCCTACAAAGTGCATCTCTAAAAACAAAATATATAAAAGCAATAAGGATTGTTCATTACTATCAGAATAAAAAGCGATAATAATAGAACAAAATTTATTTTCAAAGAAACTCGGCTTTAGGATCACCCAAAAATTATCAAAGTTCATCAAGTAGAATTTCTTCAGGAACTTCTTAGTTTTAGAAATGTTAAATTCTATGACTTAGAAATGTTCAGTGAAGACACCTGAATAATTGCTTGAAAATATTTATTTTTAGTTTTTAATAAAAAAAGAGCCAATGTGGGACAAATTTTGCTTGAGCATAAGTATATACTATCTGTTTGAAAAAGTTTTCACCTCATGTTCCAATATCACATAATGATTTTGACAGTTAGAAGCATTCTAACAGCCAGGAATTATCTGATTGTTTGTGGGGCTTGTGGTATTTTCAGTTTTTTCATGGAGGCGTTTACTTCAATCCACCCTGTTTTCTTCTTTGCTTTACTTGCAAACTATCAAATGTGATTTTGAAGCAGACTATATTGCTTTTTGACTAGTATAAGTGATTACCGTATTTCCTCTAAATAACGCTGCTGTGTTTATAACAAACTCCAAATTTGTACGCGCCGTTCAATAGAGGTCAGCGTTTGTTGAAGAGCAGCATTCAACACAAAATGAAAAGTTTGTCAAATGACAAGAAAAAGGTGATGAAAAAAGATAAAAACAGACTTTAAACAATATTCTCTTTTTTCAAAAACACGTAATAAAGATTGTGTGAACAATTTTTAAAGTTTACTTTATGTTATTTGTAATTTTGCTATGTATTAGTTGTAATGTAATTGTAGTAAGATATTGTAAGTAGAGGAATATTAAAATATAAAAGTTTAACTGGACTGGACAGAACACTGATTTTTGCTTCATATCTGCAAAGAACAAAGTCATTTACTCAAAATATTTTGTAAAAATATTTCAAATTCTCTTTCCACTTGCTTCATCTTTACTTCCCAAAGTATACCTGTTTCTCAGCGATGGGGGGCTGCAAGTCATGGTCTCGGCGCACATCTGCCAAGACCATGACTTCATCTGCAATCCTCTCCTTTTGCTGCTCACAAAAGTTGTGTAGGACAAAGCATGCATAGATGACATATTGCAGATCTGGCATTTTAATATCCATTTCTCTCTTAAAGGCCCCAAACCGACCTTTCAGCCTTCAAAAAGCACATTCCATTGTAGTTCTTCCTGAAGAAAGCTGCCATCCAAAAAATTGCTCTTATGTAGTGTTTCCTCCACCTGGGTATTCCTTCATCAGATATGGAAGAAGCGGATAGGCTGGATCCCCAAGAATACATATGGGTACTGGTTCTTCTTCATCCAATATCTTTCTAGGAAAACTTGGTACTTTCCCATTTCTCAGAAGCTCATTAATTCGAGAGTTTGCAAAGATTCTGGCATCATGGACTTTTCCAGGCCATTCTACAACCACATCAAAGAAACAATATTTATAATCACAAACTGCTTGGATGTTAAAGGAGTATCTGTTTTTTCTGTTGATGAAATCAGTCGGATTTGTATTTGGTTGCTTGATCATGCTTGCCATCAACAGCCCCAACGCATTGTGGAAAACCAAACTTTTGCTCAAAGTTTCTTGCCATATGGGAAACCTCCTCTTCAGTTGTTGGCATCCTTATGTAAACTGGACCCATATGTTTTGTTATAGCACAGCACACGGCTCTAACAATTTTTGAAACGGAAGCTCTTGAGATACCAAATGCCTTTGTCACCTTTCTGTATCTTCCCTCGTCACTCAAGTAATACAGTGTAACTGCAACTTGTTTCTCGACAGTTATGGGTTTTCGTAGGTGGGTGGTCTGCTTTTCGATGAAAGGTCCAAGCTTATTGCATAGGACGTAGAAACTGTCCCTGCTCATGCGAAAGTTTTCTCTCCATTCTTCTGGGACAACAATGTTTCGCGTAAAATTACTCCACCATGCTCCTGTTCTACCAGGTTTCTCCCAAAAGCTTCTCGTGACAGTCTTTCTTTAGGCCTTTTAATGAAACGGTTGATTCTAGAAATTTTTACTGACCTGTTGTTGATTTGCGCAGTCAACAATTTCTTCTGTCGTCTGTGGGAATACGTTAAAAGAATGGCCACGATTTCATTGAAATTTGCCGCTGCAGCCAGTCCAGATAAAAGAATAATCAGCGCTTTTGACGCATTTGAGATTATAACGCATTAGAGACAGGTTATTCAAAAGACAAAAAAGGTTTGATGATCAATCAGTTAAGAATTTGTATAAGAAATTCAGGAATCGGGCTAAATCTGCTTTAAAAGAGAGCAAAGCTTCTTACTTTTATAGTTATTTTCAATCAAATTGTAACAACATAAAGCAATTATGGTCCGGCATTAAGTCAATCATAGATATCAAGAAATGAAATGCAAATGTTATAGCGAAGATGAAAGACTCTAATGGTAATATAACATCTGATCCAGCTGTAATTGCAGATATCTTCAATAGGTTTTTGTTGATGTCTCTCACAATGTTACTAAATCAATATCAAGATCTCAGAATTGTTTTATGGGTGAAAGAAACAATAAATCATTCTTTATTTCTCCGTCTGTCTCTTTTGAAATATGTGATATAATCAATCTGCTAAAAGAAGGCAAACCTATAAGGCCAAACAGTATTCCAACTAAAATTTTAAAAATTTTATGTTTTCTTATATCCTCTCCATTGTCTCAAATCATAAATGAATCATTTCAGTGTGGCATTTTCTCTGATAAAATAAAACTAGCAAAAGTTATTCCCCTGTTCAAGAAAAGTTATTCTGCTACAACATCTAATTATAGACCGATATCCCTTTCGTCAGTCGTCAGCAGAATTACAGAAAAAAACTAATGTATAAACGTCAGTATAACTTCTTAGAACAACACAATGTTCTGTATTCACTTCAATTTGGTTTCCGTGCAAGCCATTCTATAAACCATGCACTCATTAGCATGACAGAGAATATAAAGGAAAATCTAGACAACAGAAAGTATGGATGTGGAATTTTTCTTGGTCTGCTAAAAGCGTTTGATACGGTAAATCATGAAATTCTTTTGGGAAAACTTGAACACTATGGAATACGTGGCCCAGTTTTTAACTGGTTTAGATCCGATCTTACTGATAGAAACAAAATGCCTCTGTTAATGGTTTCAGTTCTAATTTACTTAGCATCACATGTGGGGTACCACAAGGCTCTGTCCTTGGTCCTTTGCTATTCCTTATTTTCATAAATGACTTGCCTAATTCATCTAAAAAACTTGTCTTTTATCTCTTTGCTGATGACACTAATATATATTTTGAAGCTGATGAATTTGGTGAACTTGAAAAAGTTGTCAATAAAGAACTGGGTTATGTCAAACAATGGCTTGATGCTAACAGGCTTTCTTTAAATATTAAGAAAACTAATTTTATAATTTTCAGGTCACACCAACGCCCTTTAACAGACAATACGAACATAAAAATCGGAACACAAATCATAAAACAATCTCAATATGTTAAATTCCTTGGTATTCTACTTGATGAGAATCCTAGCTAGAAATACCATTCAAGTGAACTTGCTAAGAAGTAAGCTAGAACTTGTGGCATATTTATTAAGATAAGACATTTCGTTCCTGTTGATGTGTTATTATGTCTCTACAACTTTTTGTTCGCTTCTTTTCTCCAATATGGACTTGTAGTTTGGGGTTTTACCTATGAAATCCACATTGTTTTCTTATTGCAAAAAAGAGTGATCAGAGCTCTTGCTTTTCAAAGTTTCTGTTCTCCTTCCTCACCCATTTTCTCTGACTTAAAAATCTTAAAATTACAAGACTTGTTTCAATTAAAACTTCTATCCTTTGTTTATGAATGTATCAATAGAATATCGCCTGTCTGCTTTCATTCGTACTTTGAATCAATCAAGTCTATTCATCAACATGATACTTGAAAGGCTTCTAAGAACGAAATTTTTATAACTCTAAAAAACACCCTTCAATATGGTTTAAAATCTGTCCGTTTTTCTGGTGCTGCATCGTGGAATAGCATTCCTACAGACATCAAAGAATCTGTATCATTGGTTTGCTTTCGTTATAAATTGAAGTCATATCTGCTTGCAAAGAACATTAACAGCTAATCCTTGAAATTTCTTCACTTCCCACTTACAGAAATTTGAGTTTCATTTTCGGTATTATTTGTTTTGATATCTTTGAAGTGCTGAAATATCTTATGTATACTATAGAGGGGCCTCTCTCCTCGACTAGCTTTGCTACTGAGAGAGTTCCTCCTTTAAATAATTCCTCATACTTACATATCCCACCGATAATTTGTGTTCCATATCTTATTGTTATAGTTATTGTTTGATATTTGATGTTGCTGTATTTTTATTAGTATGTTGTGGAATTTAAAATAAAATGAACCTGAACCTGAACTATTTATGACCTTTTCCCTGAGCTCGTACATGTCCCCGCAAAGTAAAGTCAAAACGACGACGACGTGCAGATTGGTGAAAAAACGATTCTGTTTAGGAGAAATGAGATTTGGCACCACCTCGCGCCACCTTCTTTCTTTTTATTTAAAGAGCCTCGCTGTAAATCAAAATCAACCTCGCAGCGGATGTGGATAAAATTGATCCGGATAAAACCGTTTACACTGTACCATATAGCAATCTGAAGTAATTTAATCCACTTTCCTAGGTGAACTAATTTTTTCCGGATAGCCGCTCTCAAATTCGTGCGGATAGCGTGGGTCTAGTGTAAACGGGAGCCCTATCTGAACTAATTTTGATGCGGATAAAATTTATCCGGCACAATGTAAAAGGAGTTAAAAGGAGAGGATGCTTCTCGTCATTAGTTATGCTCAAAGGCCCATCAATATCTTGAATTTGTATTTTTATATAAAATATACAAAAGTCTCAGATTTTATCTTTCATCCCTATAGAAAGAAATAGAAGAAAGTGTTGCATTCATTACACGTGGGCTAACGATGAATTGGTTCATGCCTGTAGTTGGAAGAAAATACCCTTTACATGAAGCATCTTTGGCGCATACAGATATAATCGAAGGCAGTGCTGCACGCGGTAAAGTACTGCTTTCAATGGAATAAAAAAGACATAAATTCCCAGCTTTCTATTAACAATTTTCTGTTTCTGTAGTTGCTGTACAGCACTGTATCGCTAAACATTACTGGTCTCCAAGACTGACAATGCCGCTGCAGTTCTTCGTAAATTGCCTTGTTTTATACTGGAACAACGTGAAGAGTGGAACATGTCGGGCAATGGTTTCCTAAAAATATGTTGTTGGATAGTAACTGATATGACGCAGACTTTTATAATTCGGAAATGGAAGAACATTTAATGTAATTTTCTGGAGAATTGATAGAATTAGACTTGTAGATCGGTTGTAAAGTCCTTTAAATTGATTATTCCGAATTGATATGATAATTGTGAAATTGATATATCTAGAATGAATGTGCTATAAAAGCTAGAATTGAGGGAGAGTTTTTCAAATGTGGATCATTGTGCATACCTAAAGTTATTTTGATCTATAAAAGTTATTTTGATCCGAAGATTGCCAGAGTGCCACATAGCACCAAAACCTGCAAACATTACTTGAAAACCTAACAGGTTAAAACTTATTTTATATTTTCCTAATTCGGAACGAATTTTCTATGTTTCATAAGCTCGATCATGAGAAACAAAACTCTCGCCCTGAAAGCCGTCTTGCAGATCTAAAACAAAAATCAAAACTTGTCATTTTGCAATTGGGAAGCATTTACTAGAAAACCCAGATTGTGCCAAAAACTCTAAAAGTAACTTGTTCCTAATAATCGGCAAAGCTGGTATTCATTTCATCTAGCCTTTTGGACTCTCGTTGCTCACTTCGATTGTTTTTGGCAGCATCAGAAGTCGACAAAGATTGTTTTTATGGCTTCACTTTGTTCTAAACTGTAAGTAAACTCGTCATATAGAGTTTTCCTTGCGGGGAAACTACAAAGCTTTTACTCCATTTTCGCTCCCCTTTCGACTATTTCTTCGATTTCCTCTCTCGACGTTGTTTGTGTTATTTGTTCTTTATCTTTCAGTTGAAACTTGAAGGAATTAAGTTGATTTTATAGTGTCCCGTCCTTTGATGCCTCAAATATTTTTATTCGCATCTTCCTGAAGCTCCGTAGCCGCCAATTTTTTTTAAACTTTGAACTGACTTCACTGTAAAGCTTTATAAATGGTTTTGAAAAATTCAAACAGAGAGTATAGAGCGTTAAGACTTATGATCGCTAGGAAAAGTATTTACTTTAACAAGAACTGGACCAAACACAGATCCTTGTCTGACTGTTTTTGAAACAAAATGGTGTTGCAATCCCCATAGTGCAGGTATTCTTGCAAATTCATTTGCAATAATGTTACCTGGGTAGCTGCCTTCCATCGCAGCTTTTTTAGCAACCCTAGTCTCTTCTTGTTTCATTTGATATTTTGGAATCTAGTTTGATATTTCCAACCTTGTCTATTTTGAATTGAAATTGAATGGGCATTTAATTGAAAGCTTTTGTCGATTCAGTTCCATATTGTGTTCTGGCGATTTTAAATTATACTCACTGTATTCTCTATTATTGCTTAGTTTTTTGTAGTTTTCATACACTTTAATTTGCCAACTAAATGGGCTTGCTAAAGGCAGCTTGCGATTCTCATAACCTTCTTACGTGAGACTTGAAAAGCCTAATATTGTGACGCTCATGAAAGCATGTTTCCATAGATAGAAAAGCAGGATGTTCACACAATCTCACCATCTGTTTTGCCTCTAATCTATCCCAGAATGTCCTTCGTTTAGATCTTGCATGCTGGGAACACGCCACTTTTTAACGTCTATCTGTTTGCTAGCAAGTACTTGCTTACATCGCCTACTGGCATGGATTTCACAATGTTTTTAATAATTCATAGATTGCTCGGTTTTCGACTGGCAGACGAAGAGGATTTTATACCTACCCGCTATGGCAGAAGCTATTTCAGTTTGAATCTTGACGTTATTAATTTCCTTTCATAGTGCACATTTTTAAAGTGACGTCAAACACCTCTCGTTATAGAATCCTCAACATAAAAGACTCTTTGTGTCCTAATTAAATACTTGCACTAACGTCAACGACTTTTCTCTATTATTCAATACACTCTCCTTTTTATAAGAATGTTGTTTATAAGAGTATTCAGACTCAAAATCATCCAATTTGTAAGAATATTATAGGAATATTGCTAAGCCTCACCCCGCATAATTGTGTCTCATTTTTTAGCAGTTGCCTGTTTTGCAATTTTCTGAAATGGGAATCGCAGAACTGAAATACATCGTTTTTAAAAAATCGTGGTTTTCATTTAAGACCAGGCGATTCCCTAAAACCATAACAGATTTGAAAAAATAAGTTCTGGAAAAAAAAGGAATAAAATCAGGCTGCTGGAAAAAAATTATAGCATTCTTATAAAAAAGAGTATACTATATTTCAAGGTTATCTCGCCTTGATCATCCTGTCGCACTATATTTTGGAATCCCACCAAAGCTTAACATTTTCATTGTCTATAAAATCTCTTGTTCAGCACCTTCTTATTCACGCCCTTTTCGCGTCCCAACACTTCCGTCACATTTCCGTTTGTTTTTCTCACCCTTTATACACATTGAAGAGCTTATCATCCCCCTCCCCTGTTCCTTTGTGTTTCCAGCCTCTATGAGCAGGGCCTAAAATGAGAAATTTTTACAGATCCACAATTGGCGTGGCAAATATAGAAACTAGCACCATAATGCAAATAGCATGTCTTAATTGAGCAAAATCTTAAATGAATAAAGTATAAGTAGCGGTATAAGTATTGTAGAGAAGCTGATTCTCTACAATATATGGATTGGTGAATTGGTTTAACAAGACAGTTAGTAACATACAGTGATGTCTTAACTTATCAGCAAAACGTTATTGAAAGGAAACCCTTTTACATGGTTTATTCAAATCTTTTTAGACCTCTCAGGATCTATCTTGCTGATTCTTTTTAAACTTTGTATTCCAGAGAAAACACTGAAGAAAAAGTCATTTGAGCTTTTCACATTTCATATTATTCAGCAAATCACAGCTGGGTTCGCACAACCACCCCCAGTTGCACGCACGCACTAACAAAATCTCAACGTTCTATATATATACTGTAAACTAATTAATCCAAAATAAACTACCAATGACGATGCTCTATTCAATTTACGTCAGTTGGCTCAAACGAAAGTGTAATTATTATAATCGAAGCAATTAGAAAATATGGTAAACAGAAAAGCTGCGTCACAAAGTCACAAGATACATTTTAAGGCTTAATTACACTAAACCAAAACCTTAATCGACTACGCAATGAAAATTTACGTGAAAACCCGAACAAAATCACCGAATTTATTTTTTCTTTCCTTTCACCTTCAAAAACCCCCTTAAATCAGTCTTGCTTCCCAGACTTTGGTGTTTCTGGTTTTTTAGAGCCATATCTTTGCTGTAGTTTACGGAACTCGACACTTGCAAGATTAAGCATATTTATTGCAACATTCATATATTTTTTAAGTTTTTCTGATGCTGCTTTCCAGACCTGCTTCTATATTGCTATAGGTTAGAATCAGCCTCTCTACATCGGCAGAATTAGGGTTTGCTGCGAGAAGGCGTGTCATTGTCTCGTCTGGTAGAATTCCTCTAAGAACAAGTCTCAGATCTCTGTGATCTAAGTCATTTATTTCTCAAATTTCAATGCACGACTGAATGAAATTATTGCAAATTATTTTTGCAAAAAATCTGGGGAGGACTATAGTCTTTGTTATGTAACATTCCCAATTAAATGTTCCTTCCAGCTACCACCGAGAGGCTTATCATCGTTCAGCTGCTGTAACCTTGCGAGCAACTTTTTCTGAAATCTACTGAAAGATATCACATAAACCCCAAAATACATGACGGGTTCATTACGGGCAGGATATTACAAGCTCGGTCTTGGTCTTCAGGTTCAATGTCTTTTGTAAATCATAAAAGCAAACTAACTTGAGATGATGTCTTGAAGCTGAAGCTGTATACAGAGTCCATCTTATTTCATAACAGCACAACAATATCATAAAGCGCAATTGATTTTTCTCCGCATGTGCTGAATCGAGTTCTAAGTTTCTTAACTCTTATTTATTATCCTTTGCTTATTATAGCAATTTTCTTATAAAAAATAAGTAAAATACATAAGACTGGGATCGCATGTGTTGCCCTCTGCGTGCGCATCGCGTTTTTACAGCTATGTATCATGATGCGTCAGAGATGGAAAAATTCATCTTTGCCGCGACGCGACGCGCCAGAACAAAAGGAAAAGTTGTCGAACAAGGGCAAATTATGGCTGCCAAAAATATAAACATGGAGGGCCTTATTGAAGGCTGTCAAAAGGCTACCATGTCTGTATGACACAAGTAAGAAAGAATACAAGGATGAAATGATCGGAGAAAATGCATGGAAAAAGGTGTGTGAAGTGGTTTTCGAGAAGATATACGAGAGTGAAAAGGATCTCGGTGGAGGTATGTTTGCAATCATTTGGTATTTTAAAACTATTTTTTGAGGATTTAAAGTTTTTAAAACCCTTTTTGCCTTTTTCCAAAATTTTGGATATATATGATTCAGTTGAGTAAACCTTTCTTACATCTTATTTCAGATGCCATTCTCGTAAAGAAAACATTTAAAAATCTGAGGGATCGTTTCATGAATGTCCGCAAGGAATATACACTCTTTTTTTATAAGAACAATTTTATAAGAACACGAGCCTCAAAACTGGTCAAAAGTTAAGAACAAATTAAGAACAATCTGAGGCTGAGCTTCTTCAAAATGCAATTTTGAACAACGTTTTTTCTCAAAATCGAGGATTTTTAGCGATGTGTGGGTGCTTTTTCGGTGAA